ACTATACATTTTTTTCAGATAACTAAGAAGCTAAATATGAAATTTTATAGTGCATATTTTTGCATATTTCGAAATAAAAGTGCTATTTTGCTTACGTTGTAATTCTATTATCCGTAGCCTTTAAAACATTTTTTCTTAATAATAATAAGTACCTAATTAGGTTTAATAGAATTAATTGTTTATATTTGTAATAGATTCATGTTAAGTAACTAATTCTTCTTCATATGGTATGTTATATATTATTGGAAAATTTCCAGATTTACAAAAACTAAGTACAACTATAACTATATAACTACAAAACTATATCCTATTATAGCTGCACTAAAGAATAAATATCTGATATTTGACGTGACAGCCGACAATATCACCTAATAATATTATAGCATAAAGTAATCATTATATTTGAGTATGAATAAGTAAGCGCCATGTACACGTATAATATAGTCAGCGACGGCGGCAATAATTATCTTCGATTATTATAGGTAATATTCGGATTTTAACATTTTATTTTTATATGAACATATTATAATAAGATTTCCAATAATTTGTTCACGACGTACGCGAAATCCATAAAATACTAATATAAGTAATTAGTTAATGTTTTGAAAAGCTAAGATTATAGAGTTATAGAACTAACTATACAAATATTAATGTATATTTAAAATTCGTCGAAATACCCGATTTCGTCAACAAATATTCTGACGCTTATAAAACATTTTTGCAAATTTCTAGATTTCGTTTTTTTCTAGAAAACAATTAGAATCTTATGTAAAGCTCTTTTTATTAATTTTCAAGCCTAAAGTATAAAATTTAAATGCCATTTTGTCAAAATCTTATATTCAAACTCTTTTATATATTTTTTTTAAGTATGGTAAATTTATTTGACATTGGCCATTTAGAGAGATATACTCATATAAGATAATTTGTATTAACTATTTAAGATTTTATGTTCAATCAAATTAATTTCATCGATATTTACGAAAAATCTACGAAAATATATATTTTTCAAAAACTTCAAACAAATTAGAATGTTTTTTGAAAACTAACTAACCATTCAGTAAAAATATTAATTTTCTACGGTTATTATATTTTGAGTTACGAGTACAATAAAAACAAAAAAATCGATCCTTCAAAAATCAGTGTGCCGTTAATATTAGGTAGATATCGTTTTTATGTAACTTTTTGTCAGTTTTTCGCAATTAATAAGAAAACTGTTTTCTATATAGGAATTTCGTAAAATTAAACCCTAAAATTACCAATTATACAACATTTCCAATAAGAAACCTTGAATGATTGGGATGATTCGATCACTCTTCTAGTCATAATCGTGTACATAAATTAAAATAAAACACACAACATTCCTCGTTTCACTTAGATTATAACATTTAAAACATTCTAACATTAATATTCTTCATTGTATACCTAAATTGTAAATACATGTAAATACGCACAATAAACAACGTGATTAATATAAATAACTAGCTGAATCATCCACCTCATCCGAGAGATATTATATTATTTTTAATAAGAACAAATACCATTTCAATGTAAAAAATAAAAGTAATAGATTAAAAAACGCATAATTGTTGTACATGATACAATGATATTTATTAGATTCTGAGAGAAATGAAGACTATATTAGTCTTATCATAAAAATGTTTTATTTTTTTTTTCTTGTCTGTTTACAAGATTTATACCAAGAGAATTGTTTCGATCATTTTAACTCTGTGAGGTATCTAATTAGTAATAATGTCTATTTGGTACTTCAGGGAAGAAATCATTTTTAAGTTTCTCAAAAATGTTAAGAATAATTGAGAATAACAAAGAAAAATATAAAAAAACTTAATTCTAGTTTTAAAATTGGCGTCTCCTATTATTTTGCCACGGAGGTAAATACGGCAAAAAAGCAATTCAAAAATAATGTGACTTTTATAAATTAAAAATATAGTTTTACTTGAATGAATTATAATTGTTTGGTATTTAGTTTTTTCTCTAGTTCTATTAAGTACAAATAATGTTCTTTAAGTCATCACTATTTTATTTATTTTTTAAGTTTTTGAATATTTGAATTTTACAATAAATAATTTCAAATAATTTTGTATATTTTAACATGAAAGAATAATAAACTAATAAGAGAAATAAATGAAATGTTATTATAAATCAAAAAAGCAAAATCAAAATTAATTTAAAATATTAACATGTTCAATAATTATATTAAAATATATTTTATATTACAGGTCAATAGACATCGACGAATTATTACTAGAGGTGGGCGAATTCGGAAAATATCAAAAATGTAATTTATTTTTACTGGGACTAGCGTTACTATTCACAGCTTCGTCTACCTTGGCATTTGTATTCACCACGGGAGATATGAATTATAGGTATTTTTATTTGTATATATATTATTAAAATTTAGTTATGTAAAGTAAAAATATGTAATTAAATCAATAAGAAATATAGGTAGTGCAATTTGATACAAATTATTCAAAATTACAAAATCCGAAGAGTACATTTTAATAAGAGTCATCATAGTATTTACTAAAGGCTAAAAAAAAATTTACAATATGCCCTTAGCTTAAAATCTCTTAGTATGTTTTGCAACAAACGAAACGAAATTTTTAAATAAATTTTTGCCTGAAAAAATTATATCAATTTTGATATTTGGATTGTATTCAATATTTAACAGTTAAATGTATAGTAATTACGAAGAACGATTTTAATAGTCATTCATGATATTACGATACCCGATATTTAAATACTATAAAACATATTCACAAATACAAAATTATTAAATTATTAAAAACGAGATATTTTAATTAATTTAAAATAAATAAAATATCTAAAAGTTAATATATACACTCGTAGACTGTAACAAGCACGAGATTTATTTTGTTTTCAGATGTTTGATTCCCGAATGCGATTCTGAGACAGAACAAACAACACCTATTTACTTGCCAGAATGGCTAAACCAGACGGTTCCGTTCCAAGGAAATGTTCCATCCAAATGCTTACGGTACACAAAATACAACTTGACCAATCACAGATGTGAAGGATTTAACAAATCATTAAGTACAGAATGTAACGAATTCGTTTTTGTACCTAATGGGGAAGAGACAATAGTTTCTGCGGTAAGTGAACCATCACCATGTCATCAAATTATTTTAGTTTTTAAAACAGTATAACATAATGTGTAAACGAGGAAGTAAGAGAAGATTGGAAATCACCATTACTGAAACATATATTATTGAAATATTTTAAATATTTTATGAAAAATGTTGATCGACTACTTTTTTTATCTCCCTAAATGATTAAGAAAAAAGTTAGAATAGTCGTTATCTGACATCTCCCTCAATAGTTGTCAGATAACGACTATTCATTATAACTATAAAAACAGTTTCTTTGACGATTTTTAAATAAGAATATTGGAATAAAAAAAATAAGGAGTTATATAGAGAAAAAAAGAATTCAAAGTGAGTTATGGTTATAACCACTTCCTGAAATGGATGTTAACGCTGTGCATAGTGACATGTTGTCAAAATATAACTGATGCCATAAATAATGTTTTATACATGTATATATTTATAAATATAATTGTACTATTAAGATGTCAGCCTATATTTAAATCCTATCTGCAGTAATTGTAATACTTACTTGGATCAAACCGAAATGACAAATTTTAAAAACAGTGCCTTCGAAATATTAGAAACCAAACTGGAATGAACTTTTAAATTATTAAGATTATTTTTGGTTCCAAAATAAAGCGCTTTTATAAAGTCATTAACCCAATGAGGATGCTAGATTTTTTCGAGTTTCCATTGTTCTTTTAATCGAATAGATGCGATGTTTCCGGCCAATTTTATTAATAAGTATAATATATATATAACAATATTATACATACATATTTGAATACGGTACACTATTATTTGGATTTCATTCATTTATTTTTCAATTTCTTCTGTTGAAATGTTATTATATTTAATATATACAAAAATACAAACGAACAACGACTTCGAACTAATTTATGAAAAATACGAGTAATTTTTTTTTCTCAAATATCTATTGTCATCTTATATTAAATCGTATTATAATTTAAACCAATACCATAGCAATCACTCATATAATCATATTTTATTTGCACCCGATTATAATCATTGATGTCCTGAAAGTCGATATAGTTAAAAAAAAAAAAAGTCAATCTATCCGCAAAAACATGCATGATGCGTCTTTATAGATGAAATTCAAACTTGAAATCTACGTATAAAAAATGATATTGATAAAATGTTGAGGTTGAAAAGTTTGAAACACAAATCAGAACAGTTAGGTTGGATTAGATAAAAATACATTTCACAACGATGTTCATCTGGTGTTGATAACACAACAGAAATAGTAACGTTATTGAAATATTTCCAACGTCACTTTACCAATCTTTTTTTCATTTATATGCACTAAGTCAGACATGTCACATGTGCACATGTCTTATAGATAATCATGCATAGGGCTTAATATATATAATTTCAATGTTCATCGATTTATCATGATTATTTCTGATTAATATGAAAAAACAGTTCAACATATTTTGCAAAAACAACAAATGGAAACTGACGATCGTGGGAACGCTGAACAACATTGGTCAGTTCATCTCATTACCAATATCTGGTTTCTTATCAGACAAGTGCGTAAAATTAATGACATAATTTAAAACCAAATTAATAAATTGAAACATATGTGCGTGTTGATATAAGGTATGGCAGGAAAAACATAATCATCATTGGCAATGTATTAGCGGCCACGTGCGGTATCCTACGTGGACTGTCGGTAAACTACGCCATGTTCTTGATGCTGGAATTTTTGGATGCTTTATTCTCCGGTGGAGTTTACAGCGCGACTTTCATAATGGGTAAGTAACTCGTGTAACGTTCCGCAACACTACGATCATATTGACGTTTAAAATATGGTGTATGCACCCGAATTCCCGTGGTATGTGTAAATGATCTTACGACTATATTATATCTACTTGCATAATGCACTGCAATACGTTTACGCAAATTGCAGGTACCTACAGTATCGTAAGTACTGACCGGTAACATTTTTGAAACGGTATTAATTTGTTTTGATTATTTTTTACAAAACTCTATTTCTCTAAAACGCCTAGGACTAAACCGACATTCTGTCACGTGCAGGTCTCGGCTTAGTCGGTGGAAAACACAGGGTGTTCGCTAGTTCGGTTTTGAGCGGTTTCTACCCAGTCGGTGAGGCGCTGGTCGGACTACTGTTCTGGTACCTACGCGAATGGAGAAAATTCTTGATATTCATGAATTTGCCGGGATTGGGTTTCGCGTTGGCGTACACGTAAGTTTTCGCCTACAACTCCATTACAATACCTACACAAATATTTACATCGAATAATATATACATCATATACATCATCAACTGCACACTGTATTGTACCGTCTATCAATTATTGCGACATTCGTGATACAAATACAACTATACTGTACAATGTACCTACAACACGTGTCACTATAGCGCGTAACGATGTGGCGTGTTTGCGCGCAGAATTATTCCAGAGTCCGTCCGGTGGATGATTGCTGCGGGAAAAATAGACGAAGCCATACATGAACTGAAAAACATCGCCCGGATAAACAATAAAAAACTGTCCGACGAAACTTTGAAAATGCTAGAAGCATATAAGAACGCAAACGACAAGGAGATCGAAAAGGTAAATGCAAATAACATACACGTACCAACATACCGTAACAATAAATATTAAATTATGTTGCTGTTTCTTTAAAACTTGACGTAACTGAGTAAGTTTTGATTATTATTACATTATTATTATCAGATAGAAGCCTCGCAGAGCTCAATCAGTTGTCCTAAATCGGTAGCATTTAAACGGGCCATGGGTTCTAGACGTATACTACTACGCGTTTTCAACTGTTCGTATTGCTGGTAAAGTATAAAATATTTTAGAACTTACATTTTATATATACACTAGATGAACCGACAAACATTGTTTTGTCATATAAATTATTTCTAAAGAATATTTTGCTAGAAAAAAATAACTTATTTAATATAGGTGGGTATATGGTGTGTATAGTATATGATATATGGTAGATAATATAGGATGTGGTATATAAGTGAAAGAGGTATGGAGTGCTGTGAACGGTGACGAAATATAAAAATGAAAAAATATCAAACATTTATTTTTTCAATAATTTATTAAAATTAATACTTTATTTTATATATATCGCTAATTATGACAATATTAGGAAAAATCAATATTAATTCAACAAAGTGTATAATATTTTTTGTTATCCCATCTTTTGCCAACCCAAACAAATTAAATGGTTCGAGAGCACGTCATGTATAATTGTCCGTGTGAAAAATATGATGTGCTCAAATCTAAGCCACAGACAGACATTGTTTGGTCTTGAGACTTATTGATAATCATTGCAAATACCAATCTAATTGGAAATTGAAGGCTTTTAATTTGTATTGGCACATCTGTGGGTATAATAGGAATTCGCGGTAATAATATATTTTCACCTCAGAATTTTAGGCTTCGATAACATTTTTCATTTTTTTTTTTAATGACAAATCGCGTGCCGTTGCACAACCGTGGAGGGTTCAAATTACAAAGAAAAATAACCGGAGATCCAACCTTTCAGTTGTAAATTATGCGGTGGCTTACCTGGTAAATCTAATGAGTTAAAAACTGTTGGATAGTTTACAGCTCCAGTAACATTGCAAATTGTATCAATAGATTTGTATAACACTAATTCTCTTGGTAATAAATATTGTATCTTGAGATTCAATTCGTAGACGTCCATATTTTTTGCTGTTAAAATTGCTCTTTCTGCCAGCCACTCATGATTTGTGTATTGTCTGTGTACATTGGGAAATATCTGGTCAATGAGAGCATCTTGCGAATCAATGATTGTGCAAAAATCGGTCGGTAATTTTATGCATCCGGTTTCATCTGTAGTAACATTCCCATCACCGATATCTAACAATTGTTTTGAGAATCTTCCGCGCTTAGCTTTTTTTGATTGAATCTCAAGTATCGTAATCGTTCGTTCACTATCTTTACGTACATGTCGACCATGAATTTTTGACAAAGCTCATGATATCGTAGAATAACTTTGTCCTGATCACGTCTAATCATCAACCGATATGCGTAATAATTCTTCGAACTAACATTCTTGTTTGTTTTGGCACCTGTTGCGGGATCTTGTTCAATATTTATGTAATACCCGTCATTTAATACCAAAAATAAAATTAATAGTTTTTAAATAGCTTTTAATAGTTTTTTAATAGTTTTATTTAATAATTCAATTTCAATTAAGCAGTTATCGATCGGGTCAAAAAATTATTAAATTAAATTATGATTTATTAAACAATAGCACTTTTCCAAAATTTTTCGTAAAAACCTTCTCCTGGCAATTACGAACAATTAAAAAAAATTTGAGCCAAATCGGCTCAGCCGTTCTAATTGATGAAATGTTGTACATTCTTGACTCCATTTTTATATATACGAGGTGTGTAAATAAAGTAATGAGACTGATAGCGTAGCTAGTTATCTGGAAGCACTAATGGCTTTCCGATTGAAAATGTTTGTAGATAAACATGTAATGAACCTTCAGTACGAGTTTGAACTTCGTATTGTCACGTGTTGGTCTATGGCGATTATATTCGTAAACCAGTTTTTTTTAGTACGTTCTAATAATGGGTGACGACAATTTTGAGCAACGATGTGCTATCCGATTTTGTCTTAAACTTGGTCACAGTGCGACAGAAACTTTTCAAAAGCTTCAACAAGCTTATGGAGAAAGTGTGCTTTCAGGGGCCCAGGTTTTTAGGTGGTTTAAAGTATTTTCAGAAGGCAGAGAGTTGATTGAAGATGAACCTCGCAGTGGAAGACCTTCAACTGCAAAAAATGATGAAAACATCATCAGAGTTCGAGAACTTGTCCGATCCGATCGTCGATTGACGGTCAGAATAATTGGAGAACAGTTGGAATTATCTCACACCACCGTTCATCAAATTTTGACCATTGATTTGGAAATGAGAAAAATCTGCGCAAAAATGGTTCCGAAAATTTTGTCACAAGACCAAAAGGACAACAGGAGGGACAGGTGTCTCGATTTCTTGGAACAGATTGAAAATGACCATTCTTTCTTAGAACGTGCCATTACTGGAGACGAGTCTTGGATTTTCGAGTACGACCCAGAAACAAAGCGCCAGAACCAAGAATGGCACACATTAGCTTCACCGAGACAAAAAAAAGGAAGAATGAGCAAGTCAAAAATCAAAACGATGATAATTTGCTTCTTTGATAGCCAGGGAATGGTTCGCAAGGAGTTTGTACCTCAAGGCCAAACAGTCAACCAATACTTTTATAAAGAAGTTCTCGAAAGACTTCGAAAAAGGGTCATTCGGGTGAGACCAAACATCAAAAACACCTGGGTGCTGCATCATGACAATGCACCTTGTCACACAGCCATTTCAATTAACCAATTTTTGGCAACCAAAAATATTCCCATGGCCCCTCAACCCCCCTATTCACCTGACTTGAGTCCTTGTGACTTTTTTCTGTTTCCAAGAATAAAAATTCACCTTAAAGGACAACATTTTGGGACACTAGAAAATATTAAAATATCTGTGACCGACCAACTGAAAGCTATTCCAATAACTGAGTTCCAGAACTGCTACGAACAATGAAAATATCGACTCCAGCGCTGTGTGAATTCTCAGGGCAATTACTTTGAAGGAGATAATATAAAATAGTCACTTTAATTCAATAAAAAAATTATAAAAAATTAATCTCATTACTTTATTTACACACCTCGTATATATACAGTCAGTAGTAGTAGTTATGATTTTTTTTATACATTTTTCAACTTGCCCCGCTTTCAAAAGATTTTACCTCTGGCGCGGTACATTATCTCTTCTCAGCCGTAAACGCGAATACCGTTCACTAAATACGTGTGAAATCACGAGTGAAACAATAAGCTACGGTGATCCGGTAATTGAGCGTCAACTTTCAGAGCGTAAGACTGCGGGTTCTCAAACCCTATAGTGTCACATATATTCGTATTTTCACTCAACATTTTCACACCTATGACACCCCCATGTCATCAACGTAGGTTTGTGTCATCTCGATAAATAATCTCATTGTCCATCACTGTCCATTGCGATTCGCCGCATAAATATTATGTATGTGCAATACATATGTATAAATATATATTGATTAAAACAATATATTATGCATATATAATAATATTAAACTCCTACCCGTAAGTAAATTGTATTTTGTACATGGTTTATACAGGATGGTGAATACGTTCGTATATTACGGATTGTCGATGAGTGCTGGTTCCATAGTGGGTAATCGGTATGGAAACTTCATTCTCTGCAGCCTCGTCGAAATCCCAGCGTTGTTTTTGGTCATCAAGATTCTGAATACATACGGCCGGAGAGAGTCACAATGCGTCACGCTCCTACTGTGCAGCGTACTATGTTTTTTGCTTGCGGTCATTCCATCACGTTAGTCAACATTCTAATACAACTGTAAAGTTTTTAAAAAAATAAGCAAATATTATATTTAGCATTAAACATAAGCATGAACACCATTTAAACTGAAATGTATAAATAAAATTGATATCGAAATCCTAAGAATTAAAATCGAATTGAATTTTTTTTTTTGTTATTTAGGTATTTATTTCTTTTAAAACAGTTTATGAAATCGATAAATAAATTTGTAAAACTGATAGGTATACAAATTAAAAGTATTTATTTCGGTTTCCTGTAATTATGCGGTTGATAAATACACTGCTCTGTAAAACGAGAAATATTAGAACCTATAATGGAATAAATATCAACTAGTTGATATTAAATACCAATACTTAGTCCCTGCCGGATAAAATTTTTGATAGTGTTTTGGAAAAATGTTACTGCATTTATATTAACTATAATTTATTACATTAAGTACGGCAAGTGAATTACTGTAATGACTATAATATATACGTGTAATAAAATATTTTTTTTAGATGCGGTTGCCATTAACGTGTCGTTGTACTTGATTGGAAAATTCGCTATAACTGTTTCGTTTGTGATATTGTACATGTACACTGCCGAAATGTTTCCCACGGAAATCCGACATTCACTACTTGGTATATGTTCCATGTTTGGTAGATTTGGTTCGATGTTGGCACCACAAATACCCTTATTAGTATGTATTATGTAATTATTTCATATAAGTGTATTTTTTCGACTTGATGAAATAAAGGTATTGTCACTGTGTCAGAGACATGACAATGGTAAACACCAATACAGACAGTGGCGAACTGAAACATATGGTGTCTGAGGCGTGAAATAATATTGAAGGCTAATCAATGTTTTAGGAGTTCAAAAGAAAAGACTGTGAGCTTATAAAAATATCTATATATAGATATTTTTATAAATTAATAATTATATTATATACATATGTATTTACTTTATTCAGATCTTTTGCATGGTTATGGGATTTTGATACATTAGACCAGAAGTATTAAAATATACTGCAGAAGTAAACACATAAAAGTCATACACTGATAATAATAAATAATATAACAATAAAAAAGTACAAGCCGATTTATTAAAAACAAATAAATCTAATAAAATACACACGTATACACTTAGTAAAGATTAGTTGTGATTAAAAAATAAAAATTATTCATTCACTTTTTATTTTTATTGTTTTTATTATTTTGTTTATATTATTTTTATTAATCTGACGAATCTGTCTCCAGCTCTTCAATAAAGTTATGAAGACTTTTGATAAGTATAAAAATATTTGGTAGAGGGGTGAGAGCGCTAGAAATGATTCTTGGCACCGAGCGCTGAATATGCTAGGCACGGCACTGCACTTGACAATAACAACAACTACGGCTACGCGCTAAGATATTCAGTTGGATTAAAAGCGTACAGTTAACCTACATATGTATCGTCTTATCTGCACAATTCATTGACATTTAACTGTCACAGTTTCATCAATCGGTATTTTCAAATATCAGACATTTTTCACGGCACACCGGTTGAGGACCACTGGTTTAGTGCGTTAACCCAAGCCACGAATATTTCTATCGAATAAGTGTTGTTTAAAGTATAACATATATTTTAAAAGGAACTACAATTTCTTCTTCTTCTTCTTCGGTAAACTAGCCCACGAGGAATCCTAACCTAACCTGGGGGGCCAAGGGTATCTGCCCCCCAAAATGTTTTCAATATTTTACAACTGTTTAAAATAATTATTTATTTTTAATACCAACAAAAATATTTTCAGTCAAAAATGGCTTAAGCTCCAATTAATCATTGACTGTTTTTAGTTTTATATCATAATATCATATGAAAATATGATATTAATTTTAATAAAAGAAGATTAAATTTTTTTCTGTCTTATTTTTAATCAATATCAAAAGTTAAAACCTAAATTCAATACAATTACAATATACATGTTTAGGACCCACCGAAAAACATTTCTAGATACGACCTTGACTAAGACCATCCCGGCATACATCCTTTCCTTCGATTTTCTCCATCTAATGCCTGTATCCTCCAGTCTACACCTCCACCTAACAGTGGCGTCGATCCCTATATCCAAGTATGGCGACTGCCATAGTGAATTATGTGGTGGGTGGGTACTGGATGCTGGGTAGGTGACACATACCTTGGTACCCACAGCCCAATGTGTAAAATGTATTATGAAAGTATTAAACTATTTAATATTCAACATAACTACATAAAAAAGGTCGCGATTCCTGTTTCTTTTCAGTATACGTGGAGGCTGGTTAGACATTTTTTGAATTAAGGGGTTGATATTTATTGGTAGTTTTATGTAATAAAATTTATAATGGCGTTTTGAAAGTTCATTTACTATTTCTATTTGTAAGTCATCATGTAAAGCTTGATTTGTTATATACCAGGGTGTACCAGTGATGGTATGAAGGGTTATATTTTGAAATGACTGAATAGGGCGAATGTTTGATGGTTTGGCTGGCCCCCAAATTTGGATACCATAGGACCATAGTGGTCTTATAACGGTTTTATACAAAAGTATTTTTATTTTAAGTTTGAGTTTGGATTTTAGAAGAGGTCGAAAAAGGTGGAGTCTACTATTCGCCATTTTTCTTTTGTTTTTGAGGGCCCCATTTTAGACGCTTGTCAAGTAAAATGCCGAAATATGTGGTTTCATCACTTACAGGAATATTTACATTGTTTAATTTTATTAAGGGATTAATACAATGGCGAAGGATAAAGGTAACTTAAGTTGACTTGCTCTCGTTTATTTTAATCAACCAGTTTTTGCATCAGGCTTCAATTAAGCTTGTGTGATATTGCAGGTTGTGAGCAACTGTAAAAATATCATCGTTTGTGGACAATTAGGCTGTGTCATCGACAAAGGTGGCTAATAGTGTGTTAGAGGTTTGAAGGATATCAGCAGAATAAATGTTATGGAGGTCAGATGCTAAATCGCTACTTTGGGGGACAGTGGGTAGTCCAATCTGTCCAGTCCTCGGCTGAAACTTTTTCACTATGGCATATTTACTCAATATTTTTAATGACTTTATTGCGATTTACTATGGTGATAGGAGAAACTGGCTTATTAATTGTTGGTTCGGAAATATTTTTAGCGATAGTAATTAGTAGGTAATTAGAAAGAATCATAATGATGTAGATAAGAAACGGTAGACGGTTGTACCACAGAATAAATTAAATCAAAATGGTCACTTCTAAATGTAAACAAAATTCAGCCACCATATTTTTGGAATAGGTACTAATTTCTTATCACACTAAAAGTGATAACATTTATTCTGTAATTGTTTTGAAAACATTGATGTGCACGTGCTTCATAGTTCATTGTATTAACTCAATGAATTATGTGTATTAAACCTTGTTAATTTCTAAATAAATAATTCTCGTTACATATAGTAACTATTTTATAATGTTGTTATCATTGATATCAAGTGATCAACATGAGTTTTAAGTATTTAGTAATAATTTATACTAAAGTTTCAGATAATATTATAACCATAAAAAATTGAGCAATTAATTTATGCCTCCCCCAAAATGTTTCACAGATATTCCACTGACGTATGAGTAGGTTTGGCTACGTCAATCATGCTCAGCCCATAGCAATCTTTTGTTCTTTATTGTTTCGAGTATATTGGATTTATGGAAAATCGTTTCTAATTTATCGTTTTTTCTTATTCTCCGTTCACCACTTAGCATTTCCTTTACTGGTCCAAAAATCCTTCGCAGTATTTTTCTTTCCAAAATTAAGAGTTTAAAATCTAAAATAAACTACATACGGCAGTAAAAATATCATTTAACTACGGCTGATTAATAACACACTAATAAGGATATTACATGGTTGACATATAAACATATGCCAGGTATGCAGATGCAGTTTGCTGTACAACACATTAACTCCGTGAAAAATTACGCCTATTTCCCAATCTCGGTTATCAACAGATAAAATTACAATTAAATTGACAGTCAAGATTTCTGAGAACAATTTCTTGCTAATTTTTCCGTGAAAACTCTCTTACACAAGTCTGTTATATGACATAATATGATAAAAATATCAAACTTTATAATAGTACGTAAATCTAATTCTTACGCAAGAAACGAAATATTAAATATAAACGATTTATGTAATATTGTTTACTATAATTCAAGAGGTATCGTCGTCTATTATCTGTTTTCAAGATTACGACTCTGAAAACATTGTGTATGATATAGGTATATTTGACTATAAATATATAAATAATATATATATATATAATATATAAACTTCTATTGTTTCGCATTATTGAAATCAAACAGGAAACAAAGAACTTCTTTGATATTTTGCTGTTTAAATAATTAATTTTTTATAAAAACGTTTTGATTAACTCGTTACTTTTATCTTGTTTTTTAGGCTATTTATTTCGGTGAAAGAGCACCGTTAATCGTTTTCGGCGGAACTGCTTTCCTGTCCGGAGTATTGGCGCTTTTGTTTCCCGAAACATTTAACAAAAAAATGCCAGATACCGTTTTGGAAGCCGAAAACATTGGGAAAACTTAAAATGTAATTTGATTGCAACAATATACTTTTGTACCTACATACCATTGAGAATTGCTTATTCCATTAATAGAAGAAGTATCATAAGAAATAAAGAATACAAATCTAACTTATTTACATATTATCTAGGGAAATAATATTATATTATTATAAGATACTGATATTTTCAAATTAGGTTAATCAATTTTTTTAAATTAGACGTTGATAAAACGTATCGACGGTGTTTATAATTTATATACATATTATATTTTGATATATATATTTATGATTTAAGACTTAATACAAAAAAACAATTTATAATAAACATTTTAAAACATTCCAAATATACCTACATTTATTTTAAATATCTTCTATGAAGTGAAAAACCATACTAAATAAATATTAATCTTATTGTTATACGTATATAATTTGTAATATTGAAATATGTATGTATACATTCTAACAGTTCATTTTACTATTTTCATTAGTAACTCGACATCGTTTTTACAGGTGATAAAAATAAAAATAAATAAATAATAATAATATATAAAAATAAGTCATGCTTAAAAAAATTAATGTTGAAATTACATTTAAAAAAAATAGCCCTATTTATAAGTACCTAACTTCTCTACACACTAGACTGAAACCCAAATTATATGAAATATACATGAATTGTCGTAATATGAAAAAAAATTACAGTTATTACAGTTAAATAATAACTTTTGTGTAAAATTAAATTAACGATAATTGTGCAACATAATAACAATGTAAATTTAATTACTAATAACTAGAGCTGGGATTTAGATGCACTTTTTATCTGAAGCTTTCTTTATGATGCTCGTTTTGTTAAAAATATGCTTTAGGTATTTTTAAATTAGAATAAGAAATTTTACTTTGCATTTTTTTACATTTAATGACAATTTTTGATTTTAAGATCATTTTTCTCATTTTTTAAGGCATTTTAGGGGTTTTTAAGTCATTTTCGGTGTTTTGAATTTTATAAAATTATAAATTAAAGATTTTTTCTGCCGACGGATTAGTGTTGTTGTGTAAGGTGTGTAAGATATGTAATGTAAAATTTCTGTTGAAAAACGTTTTACCATATAACATATAAATATATCAAGAGATAAACATATAAATGGAGAACAACGAAGAAAACAAGTTGAAGAACAAGAAAAAATCATGTTTATCTTAGGGCTGACAGAATACTGGTCTTTTTAAATTATTTTGGTAAACGGTATACCGGAAAAAACTGTATAAACGGTATACCGTGTAAAATGTATAAACTTTGTACTTACACCAGCTTTTCTTCCTAGCATAGTAGATGCACCATCACTGAAAAATGCAATCAAATACTTTTTGAGAAAATCATCGGTCATTTCATAATAAAATATGTTTGTAATAATTGCATTTTTTATTGCTTCAGCAGATTTTGCACTTAATTCTACCATGTCTAAAAAAAAAGTTATTCATTTCTCACCAATAGCAGTTCTTAAACATATTACTAGCATAGTTTTTTTACTCAATGTGGTGGATTCGTCTACTATAACATACAGTTTTCTTTGTTGGTGAATAATCTCACTACAAACTTTTTTTCTCATTTCAATAGCAATGTGATAAACTATATTAGAACATGACTTATCACTTTGTAAGATTCGTCCCATATTAAGGCCATTATAGATTTGGAAATCAATGAATTTTGGATGATCAGAAAAAGGGCGTTGGTTTTTAGCAATACAATATGCAGTTCTAAACACTTTTCTGTAGTTTCTATATCAATTTTAGATAATTTTTTAATATGCTGAATATCATCAAATTTGCTTTTATGAATAATTCTTTCCATATATAAATGAACATTTAAAGTTTTATGCAATAAAATTTTCTTCTTTAGATTTGCTTGTTGTTTTTTAATATCTGGTCCAACAGCACAAATTTCATCTTTGATCCACCCTTTAGCAAAATGAGTTCTTTTGTTTTGCTTAAATTTGAGTTGCCTTTTTTACAAACTTCACAGCCAAGATTATTTTCATTAAAAAAAATCCAAGGATATATTCATCAGTAAAATATTTTATGTTTTTCATCCCAGCATTGTGGTCGAATATTTTCTATGCTTTTATTTTTGAGATTTTATTGGATATTTTAGCATCCTATAAGAATAAAAAATGTAAATAATTTTAAGTAATATAAATCAAAAAAGTAAATAGAAAGTCAAATATAATACTATAAACTACTATTGTCTATCAATTTTTATTTTTCAGTAAGTATTCAAAATAAAAATAAATGAAAAAATAAAATGTATCATTCCTTGAACTATTCTTTACCTACATAGCTTCATATATGTATAAAACAATAAAATAATATTATATTATTATTATTATTGAGATTAAAACTGAATATATTTGGTATAAGAATGAATAAAATAGTATAATAAAATATTATTAATATCACAAATATTGAAATATGCATATATATGAGAATATTTAAAAATTATGTGTAAATGCAGTTTATATACAAAATAAATAAAATTAAAATTGTTATTTGTTAGTAAAAATAAAATATTATGTTTCTTTAATGAAAGAAAATATTGTGCAGCTATTAAGGTATTAAGTATCAACACAATAGGTACTTACATTATGTTCTATTTGAAAATTGAGCTCAACTTCTTCTACAAAATGTGATGTAATAGGAAATACCTAAAATACATTTTAATTTTTAGCACCTATCTAGAGAACATATATTACCTGAATATTCAAAAATAATAATCAAAACAATTGTGAAATACTTACAGGGTTTACGGGAGGATGAGAACTATCTTTACACACATTTTGATAATCCTATAAATTAATATAGGTAAATTGTATATGTTATACTTATTAACTGTATAAAATATTACTTATAAATAGCAAAGGTGGACATTAACTAGTTGCAAATTTAAAGCCAAGTTATTAAACTAATTTTTTATAACTTTGCAACTCCATAAGTTAATTTTTTATTTAACTTCAAGTTATTTTATGAGATCTATTCAACTAAGTAACTAGGTACCATACTTTTTATGTTATTTAAAACTGTATACTAGTATAGTATATAGTACCTACCAATATAATACTTACATATATTACTTATATTATTTACCTTAAGTATTTAGCTGACCAAATATCTTTATTGAAACTGTTACAACTAGAAAAATTAATACAAATAATAAATTACTTACTTCTTGGTCAATCTTTTTTGATGATTTTGATTTTGTTTTTATAACAAATGTATCCATTATTATTATTATAGAATTAATAATTAACACCAATATATAAATATAAGAATATTAATTTTTAATCACTATAAATTAAAATATTAGAAGAGGTCTGAAATTTTAGTAATATTTCGTTAGTGGACAGTAATTAACAGTCATAGAAATAACTCGTGTCTCGTTTTCATAAAATCAAAATGTCAAATGGCAGCTTTCCTTGTTAAAATATAAACTGACAGTTGACGACACTTAAAATAAATATGAATTTATCAGCTTAGATAATAATCAATATCAATATTTTTAATAAATTGGAAATTGTTGACGTTCTAAAAATAGAAACATCAATAATTATCACTGAGATAGATAAGAAAATCTACAACCATAGCTCAAGTAAATTAGATAGCGTTTTCATATCATATATATTTTATTCTATAGCCCATAATAATATTATTTTTATGGTAAAACCAATTATACAGATTGTGTACTTATTAATCGAAAAAAAAATATCTTATATATTTATATCTCCCGTGTATCTTAATTCGTGATAAAAATTGAATTTACATATTCAAATTTAAATTATATAAGAATGTTCGTATTAATCCGTACGAATGTTTGTTGTCATTTATATTTTATTCTGCGTATCCATGCGTTCTTTTAGGAAAATGTAGTTTGGGAACGCTAATTAAAATTAAAAGCTAGTATAGGAGCTGAGTTCCCATGCGTTCCCGCCCAAGCCGAACACTGCCTATGGTAATAAAATTTCGGGCGTTTAAGTACAAAACGTATAAGGTTCCATCTGTAAGTTCTGCAGCTGACGTTGATGGAACATATGTATATGTCATCGTGTATGTAGTAGCTACGTTGTCAACGATTTAACCGACCATTATTTAGTATTGAGACACTTGGTGAAAAATGAAAAAAGATGTTTACTAGTTACAGTGCCCGGAGAATGACTAATTGTAGATAACTCTTTTCAGAGTGTCAATGATTTCATTTTATTACTATATGGGTGGGAGTTATCGAACAAGTAGATAATAGCCGGCATATAGCATTTGCATAACTTTTTTATCATAAAGCAATATCTTAGGACGATGTTATGACTATATATAACAATTTTGTTTACACCAAATTTGTTAATTACTATTCGTCTAGACAAAATCATAATGTTATGACTACGTATGATCTAAAGACTATTTTATTAACACTATATATCAACATCATCATATACTCGAAAGAAAACATTATGATGCTGTCAAGGGCAAACAAATCTTAACGTATATACAATATATTTAAATTTCTCATTACCCGTTAAAATTATTTTAAATATATCTTATCATTTTTGTTCGCTGGAACCATAGATGTATACAATAGTATTATATATTGTATATATTTGTGGCTGAAACGTAGGTCGGCCTTATACACAGATATATATTCGTTGTATATATCTATGGTCGTATACGATTACGATAACGCGACATTGGCACAACAGGTCGGGTAATAGATATAGAGGAGAGAATGTACCAGTCATCGGCGGCGGTGGCGGCGGCGGAGGGACCAGCCGAAGAACAAGGGATTTCTTTTGTCCCAAGATTGGCAAATATATACTACTACATAGAATGTACACTCTGGAAATAGTGGTAAAAACACGACTTTTTATCAAACTGTCAGTTATGTGAGGCGTAACCTTTTGGGATCGTCGATGTGGTAGACAAACACGAGCAATTACTGTGTAAGAATTATAAAAGCTATATAGTACTGAGTTTACAATATAGTATTTGAATATTTATCTTCAGAAACACTTGACTACTGCTAAAAATTATTAACAAAAGCGCTATCTGTTGAGCATAATAACTTTATCAAAATACAATTTCAATTAAAAACATTTACACAATTTTCGACGGTCTCCTCCAAATGTTATTCGTATTATGTACTGATTCTATGATTTTTGCTCGTTGTTTTATATTGCAGTGAGCACGTTAATTTTCCGTTTCGAATTTTAACGAGTCTAAACAAAAAAATTCAATCGGCTCTGGTTAGATGTTCCAGAACCGTCTCCGGCAGTGAAGGAAAGAGTCGAACGAAATACGAATTTGCCGCCGCAGGCCACACGCCGTGTTGATTTCGGAAGTAGCTTTCGTCGTGAATCCATTATCGTCGTCAGTGGCGTATCCAGGATTCATTTAACGGGGGCGTTTTAAAATGTAATTAACTCATGATAATTGGGTGCTCTGCCCCCCTCCTTGTTACATTAATAAATACCATATATTTATATAAATGATTAAAATTTAGACAGTATATGTAAAATCTACAAGTTGTATACAATGTTTATTCATATTATACTATAAGTTTGCTATTTGGTGAAACCTAACCATAACCTAACCTAACCTAACTATAAAATGCGGTCGATGGGGGTGTTCTAACACCCACATGACCCCCCCCCTAAATATGCCCCTGATCGTCGTATTATGCACAGTTAATCTTTCGTATCTTGTCTTTTTTCGTTGTGTGCACCTCGAATTCGTTCACGTATGTTATTATTATTACATCCGTTTTTTTGTTTAAACCACGTTTTTCTTTATTTTGATGTTAGACGAGTGTTGTTCTACAAAATCCATTTCCTTAAACTTATTCGTTACCATGTTTTAGGGTGTTCACTTATCAGCAACAATTGTGATTTAATGTGCTTTTCGTCCTACTCTACAAACTTGTTATATCTTCGTTCGTGACTGTGGTTCAGTGGTTGCGTGCACGCAGATTTATTGTTGCCGCTCCGTCGCCAACCGGTTTTTCGCGGGAAATGGTCGACGATTACCAGCCACATCGCCTGTCTTCGATTGCAGTGCGTTTTCTGATGGCTATCGGAGTCCGTCGCGACACACACGTAGCCCAGATATATTCGGCCGGCATTCGCGTCTGTCAACGGCCCTCTGCGCCACACGCGTGTGAGTCCTCGCGTGTTTTTTTTTTTTTATTTCGTTTGGCATGAATGTGAAACCAGGCTTTTGGCGCCTCCTTCACGCCAATCGGTATCGGTGTGTTTTCCGCCACTTGATTCCCGAGTCAAACGGGAACAATTGTTTTGTCGCCACCAACATACTGTAATTTGCCGGTCCGGCCAGTTCCAGACTTCAGCGTTCACCATCAACGGCGTCACCCCATCTTTTCCAGGAGGGTCAGGTCACGTTCGTCATTTTTTTCTTTTTATTATTATTATATAGTTATTTTGATCGGACTAGTTATTTATTATTTAGTATATGTTAATATACGTCAAATAGTATAATTTTATTTAGTTTATACTGTTAATGGTCACACAAGGTTACATATATATATATATATATATATATATATATCACCCTCCTTTCTTATACAGTCCACTGTCTTGTTATCTTTCCTATTTTTTTTTCCAGCTAAAGTTAACAATATACGACCGGCGAAATATGCCGAGTAAAATTATTTATTCGATTTTATGGTCCTAGTGGACACATTGTATTGCTCACATCCCTGGTGTACGGGATGAAGTCCGCCATCTACAACATAGTTACATGTAAGTATTGGTCGGTTTTAAGTTTTAATGAAGCTATTAATTATTGTAAATGGTCCGATCTATAAATAATAATAACAATAATAATCTATATATAAATATATATATAAATGAAGCCAAAAATGTATAAAATTTCATTAATTGAGAAGGGCTGGCCCAGGTTAGGTTAGGTTCGGCCCGATTTGGCTCAAATTGTTTTTAATTGTTTGTAATTGCCAGAAGGTTTTTAACAAAAAAAAAATGTTGGAAAAGTGCTATTTCGGCGGTGAAGGAACCAGCGAGGACCCGCTTTCTACTAAAACGATATAATTATAAATATAAATTATGAATTGAAAAATTTTAAATTTTGAATATACATGGCATTCATTTTTCAAGTAACTCTGATAGAACAACTGTCCAATAGGCCAATTTTGTCAATAAATATTAACTGTGGGTCAGCTGACCCCTGAACCCCCCTGTTTTTAAACTATCATCAAAGACAGCTTTGCCTCCTTTCGTCTAAACATGTGACACTACATAACAAATTTCTCCTCTACAAGTTACTCCTTTGACCTATCTAGTTCTTACAATCCAAATGTCTAAACTAACCAAAGCTCTTTTTTAGGCTCCTCTTGTTATTGAATAATCTTTTCAATCAAGTAATTTAATGTATCCTTCCATCTCTTGTTCTTATTGTAAACATTTAAACAAGTGCCAAGAATAAATAAATTGGTCGCGATCCTCTCGTGTGCCAATCACTCCATCATAACATCTGATAAGAATAATATTGATAATTCTAACAATTACGTCATGTATCCGAAGTTTTTTTCTAATGAAAATCAATAGTATTGTCAGGGGGTGGAGCAACGAAATCAGAGGCCATTTTAATTGAGGTACTTTTGTTATCAAATTATAATCAGTTATAACTGATATTCGTTATTAATTGTAATTTTAACTACGGTTGTTCGAACGCGGAACGAGTCTGCTCGGCATATATATATATATATATATATATATATATGTATGTACTTGTTTCGGGCATCACAATGCAGCGGACATAAAACCAGCTCCCAAGTTCCCCCTCCAGCGTCCAGCGACAGGCCGTCGAGCGATCACGATGCCGACAGTCACGACCGTTGACTGAAGTGAAAAAGGTTAGGTTAGGTTTGTCTTTTGCCAACGGTTGGGCCCGACGCACGTCTGTGTCCGCCCATCGTTAATGTGTGCCATTTTTTGTGCTGCCACACCAAGTCTTTCGTGGCCGATTTTTTATATATTCCTCATTTTCCTGGTGGATCATACCGTTCCCGATTGCCGGTGTTGAGTGGCTGGATCATCGTGTCATCTGACAACTGCGGGTCAACATTACGTGTATCGACGAAGAGGGTATTACGAACCAGGTCGTCTTTTTTTTCATTTATGTAATATGTGTATTCCAATGTTCCTATACGCTAATTTATATATTGTGTATTAATTATTTTGTATTTTACCTAAAACCTTAGCATTCCCGGGGCGCCCTATATTAAGTTATAATTAAAATTATTATTATTTAATTCATGGTGATATATTACTTTTATATATATTTGAGTAACCCACTTCGCTCCTGTCCTCATCCATAACATGCGAGTCGTTGCCGACAACCGCCTATCATTGTAGGATCGGTAGCGGCGCCACAATGGTAATTGTTCAATATGTGATCTCCCAAATCTCAAATTCTTATTGCACTTAATACCTTGAAAAATAATACTACTATAAGTAACATATGGAAATGCGCAGTAGCTTATAAAGAATATTACTACCATTTCATGATGGAATAAAATGTTACTAACTTCCTACTGTAACTCAAATAAAATAGCTGACTGATTTCATTATTGTCCTATGCTGCCCATGTAATTTGATATCAGTGTCCATTCTGTTTTATTCTATGGTTATTGTGCAGTGGCCGATTTTTAGCGTTTTGGCGTCCCTAGGTTTAATCACTCTGCTCTACCCCTATCAATCTACTAAAGAACCAATATTATTTGGTCTAAACCTTTTTCTTAAAATTTTATTCAGTTTTCTTATCAAAAAAAAAAAAAAAAAAAATTAAAATATTAAATCTTGAAAATAGAAAACATCTAAAAATAAAATATTTCATGTCATTTGGAAATTACTAACAAAAATGCGTCAAGAAGTTGGAATGGACAAGGTAAGAATGGCATTGGCTGAAGTAGTAGAAATTAATCGGAAAAAAACAAAAGCTGGTAAAAAATCGTAGTTCGATTGAACATTTTATGTAAGCGTTTTGATGAGGACGAATGCCCAGATATTCCTAGTTTTTTAAAGTAAATAGGTCAAAATGTAAGAAAGAGATCTTTTATATCTGAATAATAGCACTCTTATATTTTTTAAATAATATTATAGATGTTAAAGATGTTATATTATTATAATATATTATATAATTATATGGCATTGTATATTTTATTTTGTTTATGCATAAAAGACTGAATTTAAATCAAATATTAATTTGGAGACTTTTTTTCCTAATATCTAAATAAAAGACGTTGGACTTGATCGGTGAGGAGAGTGAGCCAAGTTCGACCAAACGATTTCCGTAACCGTCGAAGCTCGCACAACAGGTTCAACAATTTCAACATTGACAAGGAACATAAATAAAATAATTTTACTATAATAAAATACAAAAAATGTGGTGACAGTTGGTAACGTGCGATAGTGAGGCTACGCTCCGTATCCCCACAGTATTTTAAGCTTTATTTTTAATTTAGTGATTAGCTTTATCTTTTAACGTATTTTTATCAGACATCTTTAAGCTAAGTGATAATATTAAGTGAAAGAAATTCGATTTGAACTTCAGCTACACTCCTTAAATCAAATTTATTGATTGATGTACAACTTATACAATTTTAACCAAAATATATCTACAAAAAATGGGTAAAAGAAAAAGTTGGGTGTGGTCATATGCAAGGCGAATAGGAGATCGAGCATTTTGCGATTTATGCGATAAGAATACTTGCAATGAATACTCTTGTGCTGGTGGAACCACTGGATCTTTGCTAAGGCACTTGCGTAATAAACATAATATAAAACCCCCGGAAGAATCAACAACGACATGGTAAATAAAAATTATTAAATTTTCTTTCAATGTTAAAATTATTTTTATTATTATTTTACTCCATTAATAATTATATATTATTTAAATACATTTTGTAGGTCTGAATCTGGATCTAATAAACAATCTAATGATTCCAAAGAAATACATAGTGAAAGCAAAAACAATACAATTCTTATCGGACAAGATGATACAATTTTAGTTAAAGAAGAAATTACACCTTCTATTTTGGATTTTGTAATTAATGAAAATTCAAAATCTAGAAAACGTCGCCGTATTTCTGAAAAATGTGGGTCTGATAATGATCGTGAATGCAATAATGAAAGAACAGAGTTAATTCATCAAGCACTGGCTTCATTAATCGCAACAAATCAATTACCAATATCATTTTGCTCGAGTCCTGGATTTTGTCAATTCATGGCTATCGTGGAGCCTAGTTATAAAATCTGCAGAGATGAAGCAATGAAAAAAAGACTATGTTCTTTAAAATTAACCATTGAGGATAAAATTAAAAAAGAATTACAAAATGCAAAAAGTGTAGTCTGTACTATTGGTGCAGGTTGGTCTTCTGCTGGTCAAAATTCTTATATAACTTTAACTGCTCACATAATCAACAAAGAGTGGTCACCAAAGTCATTTACTTTAGCCACGCTTGATATGACTTCAGAACCCAATACAGTAGAATTTATAGCGGAAAAATTAACATGTATATTAGATGATTGGCAAATTAATGGTAAAATTACGACCATTGTCACTGATAACACACAACATTTAATAAATGCTGTAAAATTAATACCGGCTATTAAAATAGATGATGAAAACATGGATGTGATGTGTGCTGCAAATAGTTTACAATCAGCCATTAATGTTGCGCTTAAAGAAAAAAACTTTTCGGAAATAATAAAACAATGCAATGCTGTAGTTGAGCATTTTAGACATTCAAATGCAGCTAAAAAGTCATTGTTAAATGAACAACAACAGCTAGGAATCCTACACGAATCATTGGTGCAATATTGTGAAACACGGCGAAACTCAATTTATTTAATGTTCGAACTCCTTTTAAAAAATAAGAGACCAATTTCAAATGTATTGGCAGATAGAACAATTACATCATCGGATATTTCTCGGAAAATAGAAATTACTAAATCCCAATGGTTGAAAATAGAAAATCTTGTCAGTCTCCTTAAACCACTATATGTTGTAACAAATTTATTTTGTACAGAAAACCATTCACCAGCTTCAATGGTCAGACCACTAATTGCACGATTATTGGATCACCATTTAAAATTGAAAGAAACTGATGATGTATTAACTAAAAATTTCAAACGTACTATTATTTCTGAAATTAAAGAACGGTTTAAACTTTCTTGGAATGAAACAAATTCTGTCCCTGTCAAACAAATTGCATCTTTTTTAGATCCTCGTTATAAAGATTTAGAATTTGAATCAATTTCTGCAAGAGAAAAAATTCAATCGTCTGTTAAGGATTTATTGGAAAGATGTAGACCTGAAATTAATTTAGAGAAAGATCCACCAATTCAAAGAAGTGATCTTGAATATTTGTATGGAAATATAACAATAGACATTAATGATTTAACTATTCAACTTCAAACTTATATAGCTGAACCTCCATTACGATTTGATTTAAATCCATATGATTGGTGGAAATCAAAAGAAAATAAGTATCCAGCTCTTGCAACATTAGCAAAACAGTATATTGCTATTCCTGCCTCATCGGTAAGTTCCGAAAAATGTTTTTCTACTGCTGATAATTTAGTGACCTCAAAAAGAACCAATTTATTAATGGACAATGTTAATATGCTGATGTTTCTATATCATAATAGAAAATTATTACAATGAGAGTTAAAAGTTTTTTTAAATTTATTTTAATATTATTACATTATTATTTGTTTATTTAAGCATTTATATTTATTTAATATAAAGTAATGTTTTGTTATTTGTAATATTGTTTACACTATACCTACATTCATAAATGAATACATTTCTATTAGAGATAATTATTCAATAGGATATGTATAATAATTACTATGCCTAATTTAGTCATACTTTGTAAAATTGTTTAATAAATCACTCTAATTTACATTGAGTATACTATTTTATAGTACATCTTATATTACTAACTTTATCTCATTAATAAAAATAAATTATTTTAAATAATATACAAAAAATGTGAAGAGTGAACTTTTATAATCACATATTCAAGTAGATAGCATCATGTATGAAATATTTTATTAAAATGTATTAGTGTGTTTTTCTTTTTTTTAATGATAAATGAAACAATATATACCAACTTTTAAATATATAAACAGGGTTAAAAGTGAGGGGTGCAAGGAGCTTAGTCCCTTACCTCTCATAGCGCTTATAAAACATTCCCTTTAATATCTCTCTAGTAATTTTACAGAAACCCTTGACTGTTTGTTATAAATAATTATACACAATAAGACAGTTGAAAAATTTGCTTTGCAATTTAGTTGATGTCGCACTAAGAAGTGTTCTACAAACTAAACTACTATTAAATATAAATGTTATAACTTTATATACGTTTTTTTAATTATTTTTATTTTATTAAAAGACATTCATTATCTGTTATGTAAAACAATAAGTATATAATTTACGAGCTTATACATTTTACAGCACATGAATAGTTTGTAGAGAAAATTAGTGAATAACACCTCATAATTTATATGTATATAAAAATCTCGTGTCATAATGTTTGTGACCATATTTCTCCAAAACGGATTAACCGATTTCAATGAAAATTTGTATATACATTTGGTAGATCAGCGAATAGGTTTTTATCTATTTTTTATACCCCTAAAAGCTATTGTTTAATAAATCGTAGTTTAATTTAATCATTTTTGACCCGGTCGATAATTGCGCAATTGAAAATGAATTATTAAATAATACTATTAAAAAACTATTTAAGAACTATTAATTTTATTATTGGTATTAAATGACAGGTATTACATAAATATTATACAAAATCCCGTAACAGGTGCCAAAACAAACAAGAATGTTATTTCAAATGATTATTATGCATATCGGTTGATGTTTAGATGCGATCAGAACAAAGTTTCAAAGTTCATACTTCTTACTTTCAGGTTTGACTGGTCTAAATTTCTTCTAGATAGTATCATAAGTTTAGTCTTTTCTTCATTGATACATAAGCCAATGTTTTTGCTGGTTTCTATTAGTTTAGAAACTGAGTGGGTAACTTCTTCTCGTGTATTCCCTTAAAGAACTATGTCATCAGCATATGCCAAAACAGTTTCTTCACCAAGAACTTCCATTTGTTCATCCTTCATAGGATTCTCTGATAACTTCTTCTAGTCCCAGGTTAAATAAAGTTGGGGATAAAGCATCTTCCTGTCTCAATCCTGAATTAACCTCAAAGGCTAGCGATAATCTCTGTAAGTAATGTACTTTAAGTAACGTCTTGTCATTACACATTTTTACTAAGTTTACATATTTTTGTGGGATTCCAAAAAGTATCATTGCTTTCCATAGTTCTTTCCTATTTACACTTTCATAAGCTTGTTTGTAATCCACAAATACCAAATATAGGTCCTTATCAAACTTATAATATTTCTCCATTGTTTGCTTTAAGGTGAATATGTGGTCGACAGTGGATTTTCCCTTTACAAAGCCACAACAATACCTTCCCATGATGGCTTCTGTATACAGCGTTACTCTTTCCAAAAGGAGCGTCGACAATATTTTATAACAAATATCCAATAAGGAAATTCCTCTGTAATTTGTTGGGTCTAGTGTGTCTCCCTTTTTAAATATTGGGCATAGTATTACCGTGTTCCATTCTCCTGGCATTTCTTCAGTTTCCCAAATTACCATAATAATTTTCCGAATTTTACTTTGGTAATTTCTCCTCCATTTTTTAGTAATATTGATAAATTTTACTTAAATTGTATGTCTGTCTATATAAAAATAAATAAGATATTTTTATAAAATTTTATAGAAAATAAATATATTTCATACAAATGTACAACAATTGAACAATTAATATTCTATTAATATTTATACAATTCTTTTTAAAAGAGAATAAATAATTTTTAAATTTCACTAACATTATTATACACTGGTCATATTTTGATTAGTTTCTAACTGAGATTGTTCTGCGACAAATGCAGATAAATGGTTTATTTTATCGTATGAAGAATTACATTCTTTTATATTATCCAACACATATTGAAGATTCCAATGTTTCATTAAAAGGGCTTGATTAATATTGAAGGATGAATATCTTATGCAACGTAATGCGGTGCATGTAGCTGAACACCTTAACTTCAGTCCAATTTCATGAACTAATGATAATAAATAGCTTTCATACTCATTAATAACATTAACTTCTGAAATTTTAAATACAAATTTATTATTATTAATATAAGTATCAAGAAAATATTTTTTATAAAAAGTGAAAACTATGTATAATAGAATCATAAAGGATTAAAGAAATATTATATTTAAGTCTCTAGTCAATAAAATATTTATAGAGTATGACTAAATTATTAAGATTTTTTTGAATCTCTTCTAATATTATCTTTAAATTAAATATCTACATTAGATATTTAAAGGACATATCTACAACAAATCTCACATGATTTTATTGATGTTAATATAATCAAAATAAAATAGTTATAATACTAACCAATAACAAAATTAGGCAACTCTAGACTGATACATTTTATGCCATAAATTAAAGGCTCGTTACTTGATGTTGGTCTGATTAAGCCTTTAGTAGCTAAATCGTATGCCATTTGAGTTTGAGTATCAACCTTGGCAAGACTAAAGTAAAACTAGTAATTACATTAAGAATTAAGCATAATACTTAGAAATCTAATACATAAAATGTAATTACTGAAACATCTTTTTTTGATTTGAGGCTTGTATTGTAGACATAAGTTTATCGATATTTTCACGTTTCACAAAATCAAAACGTCCCTTTTCAACTACTTGACCATCAATATGCATGTTTTTGGTCATGATTCCCAATTGCCCATGTAAATGATATGTCCGCAATGGATAATTTTCTTGAAGATGTCTCACCATTTTAGTACCTTTATTCAGTCCCATGACTTACAAAAATATATTTTCATTATTAGAATAATTTAATAATTAACATAATGCATATCATATTATAATATATATCATACCACAAACACCTGAAACACGCATTCCTAAATGAGTAGTCCAAATACATTTAAGATCTTTGCTCTGATATCTGGGACCAACAACAAGTACGTTGTCCGCATAACTAGGTTCTAGTTTAACTTCTAGTGATTTTGTAGTGTCACCGGAAATTATAACTCGATTTTCTGGTGGTCTGACATCCATTGAATTTAAATCTATTAATAATATACAATAGTTCTTATTATTATAAGTGTAATTATTTCATTAATCAAGTTTTCTTACCCTGGCATAATTTTAACAGCAATGAATGGCGACAACCTTTTAAACTTACTCCAGCCGGTTTGTACAAACATACTATACCATTTAAGAGTTTAAATGCCTTTTCACTATTTGACAAATAATTCATTTTATTTGTATGAAATCAACATATAAAATAGAAGGATTTATCCCTATTAAAGGCACTGTTAGGATTCTCTAAAAAAAAAAAACTTTAATAGAAAATTCAAGATGCTTGTTGTTTAAAACACAGTTAACTGTTGAACATATTTCTTAACTGAGTATAAATGTTCATATCTTATCAGTCCACATAAATATAATTTTATCACAGAACTGCCATATCATTAATCACGGTCTTATAAGTTCCTGTTCTACAATAGTAGTTTAATTCTGATTTCAATTTAAAATACCGTATTACTGCATACTGGCAATAAGTTAACCTAGGAGTTAGTTGATAACCGAGGTTCAGCTAAATTCGAGTTTACCACTGCTATTGTAAAAGAGGACCTTTAGAAGATATCTTTTAAAACCGTGTCACTGATATTGATACATAGAGCATGGATACTAGCAAGGTTTATAGATAATAGATATTATCTATAAACCTTGGGATACTAGGGTATAATTGTTTACAAATGAACGCCATCTATACGAAATGGAAAGCAACTTCACTAATCTGTTTCTCCTGAACAATTATGTGAAATGTACATGTTTTATGGGCTTGGATCAGTTCTCCTCATTGATAAGACAGCCGACATCTATAGTCGTATTGTCATGCAAAATGTACGTTTGTTCACAATTTGTCTACCTATATGAATATAAAAATACTAATCTGTGAATAAATCATAGGCCTTATACTTATAACTTACAACCCAGATTTATCCATTTAAAATCGTGTTTGTAACTGATGTAACCACTTACTATCGATATTTCATCCGTTAATTATCGTAAATAATGTCATAATGGAACTTACAACACATTTATGTACCATGCATTTTACAGTAATACATTTTAAATAAAAATTAATTCTTAAAAATTTCTGATTGTGGGAAATAGTAGCACTACAAAAGCAGGGACATTTTTCTTTTCAAATTCAAATTATGATAAATGTATAAAGCATGGATAAATAAACTACCTTCTAATCAGTAAGTATTGTGTAATTCTTATCCTAATTTTTTTTTTTTTTATAAATAAATATCGATAAATAGTAAGAAGTTTCGATTTTTCCACCATAATTTAATATCAGTTATAATATCCCGCCAGTGAGCGAAATTCACGTGATTCTGATATTCCACATTGCTTCTAAGTTTTATCATTTTGACGTTCTTCGTTTAGATGCTAACGAAATCATGTACAAAGCATTGTTAACAATTCTTAAGAAAGACAACATTCATAATTGCAAATTGGCAGTCAGATGGATTGGTAATATCAACCACGGTACTGCATTAGACGAGGATTTGGTGAATCGTTTAGAAACCGTTTCGTTGGTTGGCTTTTCAAAAAATAGTGGTTTTGAAGTCTTGAGCGCTTCTGTTGAGTTTGCCGATCGTATTACTCGCATAAATACCACCAACGTGCAACCACTTATTACAGTTCTAGAAAATTGGTAAGCAACATCATTATTATTAGATAACTACAATAATAATATGATACTAACACAAAAGTTATAAAACTACACATTTGATATCTTTGAATACTTCTTAATAAAAAAGAAGAACATTTAATGGCCCTTCGGAATTTTTCAACTTATTTTAAACTACTGGTTACTATTATTTATCTTGTATATCTGATGGCTTTTATACGTATTTTTATTTTATTTAATATTTACCCTATTGTATAAATAATTTAATGTTCAAATTAGAATTATTGGAAATGTTATGATTAATTATTTATTACATGCCAATGTTCTAGTCGATTTAAATGCCATAATATTGATATATTTTTGTTTATAAAAAATGTTTTAACATGATTGTATCCATGCAGTTTTTTTATCAGTTTCACTATATTCATTATTATTACTTAGGATTTGATGGGTTTTAAGTTAAATTTGATAAGTATTATTTCACCAATTCTATATTTCTGATAACTATTAAAATTCTAAACAGAACATAGTTTATCTATTGTCATGTAAATTGTATTGTTTGATACAATTTGGAAGTGAAGAAATAATTACATTTGAAAAACTTCTGAATGTAGGTATTAAATATTTACAGTGAAACTATATGTAATTAATAGATGTAGAATATTACAAAGTGCTTATCGACATTAATGTGAATTTACAAAATGTCCACTGTAATTAGGTATTACCAGGAAAAATGATAAAGTTTGTAAGCATATTATGCTTAAAAAAATTATTTAGTGTTTTTAAATAAAAAAGTTAAAATATTTTTAAGCTTTGATTTAAAAAAATGTATATTTATTAATAATTCCATAAATAATTAAATTAAATCATCTGTATTTTTAATTATTTTGTATTTTCCTTGATGTTTTCCAAACCTCTTCATAAGTTGGATTATATATTTATTCATTTTATGTCAATTTCTTTTTCATTCATATTGTATTTATTACAATAACTTACCACTTCTGATAATTGTCTTTTGTGAAGAGATTGATCAATATATGTATAAAAATACCCTTAACTTGTTAGATATTTTTTAAAAATTTTAAAATTGTATCCAAATTTTCATTATTATTTTTATTAATAGGCTAAATTATTACTTTATTTTGAAATCTCAACTTTATAAAACGGTTTTTGCCAATCATACTTATTCATAGTTATTATATTTAATATTTAGAATTCATAAACTCTATCATGTACATGTATTTTTGCAATGTAAATCAAATTATCTACCATTAGGAATGTATCCACCATAAAGGTTTCACTGTATTACATATGTAATTCTATCTAGTTACAGTATTAATGAAAATGACATATTTACATTTATAAGAGAGAAAATTAGCCTAGTAAATATTATTGATGAACTCTCTTTTATTAATTAAAAATAGATGCCTATATGAAATTATTTAATCAGAAATGTAACTTAAATATTGGTTTTAAAGTTAGTTGCAATAGAATGCATCACTACAAAAAATTAAAAAATTTTAAAATCAATAGTAATAAGTCCAATCAAAATAATATAAAATACTATAAGGCTATAATAAAAAAATAGTCCCTCTAAAAAAAAAATGACAAAATTATTAATAAATATATTATCTTTTAGTCATCTCAGAATCATTACAAGAGAATTTTTTTTAATGTAGATCTTGGATTCAAGAATGGCAAGGACTAAAACTCAAGAAAAACCCATAAAAAGGGTAAAACCAAAAAAAAATACTCAAAAAACGAAAGCTAATAAAAAAATACATGCAATTCAAAATTCAAAAAAAAAAATGAAGAATTTTAAAGAAAATATTTATGAAAAAAGTGAAACCAAAAATGAATGTGTATTTGAATTAATGACAAAGTATCCTGAGTTAAGTCAGACATTTGAATATATTTTATATTCCAACAAGTATAAACATACATTAACTGATGTTTTCAACATTATAAAGATGCTTATGTTCAAGCTAGAAGAACTGCAAAAACATGATGTTGATATCAAAAATACACTTGAAACTATTAATCATAATTATAAAATCAAAGGTTTAGTCCAGAGTACTGCAATAAATTTATCACATGTTGTAGATCAATTAAATGTGAATGAAACTACATTCTTAGATTTTGCGAAGAAATTTTCACCACTCAAAATTGTGAATGATAGTGAGATAGCTGCACATAATTCTATATCTGGATTTTCAGGTTCATCTCAAGTACTTGAAGAACCTTTAGTATCTAGTTCACTTATAAATAATCAATTAGATACTCCTGAAAATTTAAAAACTGAACATATTAGACCTGATGCATCAAATAAAAATATTTTTGATAAAAACCACACTATAGTATTGACATCTGATGATGAATACGAAGAAACAATAAATTATGATGGATGTAAAGAAAAAAATTTTACTGTATATAGGCCTAAAAATAATGAAGAAGACTTAGAAAATTATGTAATAGGGTCTGATTTTAAAGATATTTTATCCGATCATGATAGTAATTATGATGTAGTTTCATCCCCTAAACAGAGTCAAGTTAATACTACCTCAAAATTCTCATCAGGGCATAAAACACCACTAAATAAAGTTAAGAAGATTAAACCAAAGGTGTCTGATGAAGCTATAGATGAAGCAAGAAAAGCAGACTTACATTTAAGAAAACGACTGAGTCAAAGAAATTCTGAAATGTTAAGTATTGTGAAAAAATTTAATTTACAGTCAAATGATATAGTATTAGAATTTAACAAAGTTAGTAACAAACCTTTAATAACTATTCATAAAGAACTGGCAAAAGTCTTAAAAAAACATCAAGTAGAAGGTATTCGTTTTTTGTGGGATATAGTTTTTGAATCTGTGGACAGAACTAATTCTACTGATGGCACTGGATGTATATTAGCTCATCGAATGGGAATTGGTAAAACATTACAAATCATAACTTTATTGTATACTGTTATTGCGTACCAAAGTTTAATAAATTTAAAAACATTTTTAATTGTTTGTCCACCCGGGTTAATTTATAATTGGATGGATGAAATTTATAAATGGTTAAAAGATATTGATAAAGATGAAGTTGTTAAAGTATTTGATTTACCAAAAACAAATAAACTTTATAATATAACAAACATAGCCACTTGGAAATCAAAAGGAGGTATCCTTATTATTAGTTATGAGAACTTTAAGTCTTTAGTGAATTGTAATCAAAGTGATTTATGTGAATCATTTTCTCATGCTTTAATTGATCCTGGGCCTGATGTTGTTATTTTAGATGAAGGCCATTACATTAAGAATACCAACACAAAACTTTTAAAAAGTTTATCACAAATCAGAACAAAAAGAAGGATAATATTAACTGGAACTCCTATGCAAAATTCACTTAAAGAATACTTTACAATGGTAGATTTTGTCAAACCTAATATATTAGGTAATTTTGGGAAATTTACTACAACATTTATTAAACCTATTGATTCTGGTCAATTTATAGACTCTAGTGATGAAGCTGTACAATTAATGAAACAGCGTACCTTTATTTTACATAAACTTTTACAAAATACTGTTCATCGTATAGATGATAAAAATTTAAAACCTTTATTTACAGATAAGATTGAGTATACACTAGAAGTTAATATGACCGATTTCCAATGTGAATTATATGAGAAATTCCTACAGCATAATAAAACAACTAATGATAGATGTAATGTTTTTTTACGCTTACATGTGTTAACATTAATAACTCTACACCCATTGACATTATACAGATTGTTACATTATAGAAATAGCAAACAACCTGAATTTGGGACTAAAGCATTTGATGATAAATTTGCTAAGGATTTGCCATGGATCGCAAACTATGGTGAAGATCCAAGATTTTTTGAAGCTAAACAGAGTCATAAAATTTCCTATGTATTAAATACAATTAAAGAATGCCAGAAAAGGAAGGAAAAGATGGTGTGTTTCTTAAAATCACCATTAGCGTTAGATGCTTTGGAATATTTTTTACAAAAAGAACAAAATTGGGTTTCTGGGGATGATTATTTCAGAATGGATGGTAAAACACCCATGAATATACGAAATCAAATGTGTGAAGCTTTTAATAACTCTGAAAATCCTGTTAAAATGTTTATTTTATCCATGGGTACTGGTGTTCTTGGGTATAACATGGTTGGTGCAAATAGAGTATTATTATTGAATACATCGTGGAATCCAAGTAATGATTTACAAGCTATTTATAGATGTTTGCGATTTGGTCAGAAAAAGACTGTTTATGTTAACAGATTGTTAGCTAAAGGAACTGTTGAACCAAAAGCATATTATCGACAAATTTCTAAATTAGGAATGGCTAGCAGTGTTGTAGATTTACAACATATGAGTCGAAAAGTTTCATTTGATCAAACCAATGACTTATTTACATTTGATTCTTCTAAAAATTATTATACTACAGGTGTTAACACTAAAGACCCAGTTTTAAATCAAATAATTAAATACAATTATAAATTTATAAGTGATTTAAAAGAACACGATTCTATGCTTGTAGAGTCGGTTGAAGAGCAATTGACTTTAGATGAACGTAAGATTCTTTGGACATCATTTAAAAATAACGAACTTGGAACTAAAAATTTGATAAAACCAAAACCACTACATAAGTTGCTAAATACTGAACATCAAAATCAAGTAATAAATAAAAAAATTAAACAAGAAATAAATGACAATGTACCTTCTACTTCAAATAGTCACCAGCCTAACAAACAACAAATTTCATCTCCTATTGCAAATGAAAGCCACTATTCAAAAATTCAATCATATTTCAACAACCCTTTATTACCATCACCTAAATGTACAGCTAAACGCAAATTTCCTAATCTTTCAGTAGTAGAGAATACAACAACTTCAAACAAAGAACTAAAAAATAATACTTTCCACAAAAAATCAAACCGTTTTAATAATGATGAACCTATACAAAATCAATTTAGAAATTTTCAAAATAGAAGTTTTAGTCATCATAAGAGATATCCAACTGCAAACTATCGTCCTCATATGTACTCAAAGGAAGGAGTAAACTCAAGAGATTTATCTCATCAAAACCAACAATTTCCCATTCCCTCCAAAAATCAAACTTGGCATTCTAATCAATATAAACCAACAGGAAATAATTTTCAAAATCGTTCTGGTATGTCGAAATGAAGAAGAATGTTTTACCTATAATTTTTTAACATTTTGTAATTAAAATAATTATTTCCTGATGTTACCCATGTTTGTAAACAATATGATTATAGTGTTGTTTGGTATATTTTTATAAATTTGTAAATTATATTTAATATTACTTAAACTAAGAAGTTTAAATAAAGTTTAAAATTTTAATCATTTTATAAAAACTGCCATTGATTTAAATTTGTTGTATTTATAAAATAAATATATAAATATCTTATGTGTATATTATTAATTTTAAAATATGTATATAAAATAATTTTTGTTACTTTAACATAACATTATTTACAATAAAATCTTATTGTTCTCCATACCTAAATTTGTGTTTAAAATCATTTTTACTGTTATTGAAAAATTTGATCGTTTTCCAGTTTGTCCAGAAAACTAAAATTTATTGGTGTAGCTTACATAAGAGTAGAAGTAACAACTGCCTTTAAAAATATTTAAAAGTGTTTTTAATTAAATTTAATAATTTTTTCATTACCATGTAGTGAAGATTTAACAATTTTTCTTATTCCAGGATACTTATAATCGTAGTTCCACTGCTAATATTGGTTATAAATGATTACTTTTACTCAGTACTACATGATAAATAAAATTTATAATTCTGTATAATATTTTTCTATTGGCCGAACAAATATTTTGTTTTAATTAAAAGTAATAATAATTTACAGGAACCCTGCTTTAAGAAAAGATGCATCATCAGACAAAATTGCAAGGAGAGATATTATGCGTAATGCAATAGTTGTGGAAGAAGATTATTTTGTTGCTCCTACCAATCAAAAAGTCTAATGAAAATTATAACTTCTAGCACTTAATTGCAATTTTAGACTAAATTATTACTATATGATGTTTATTATAAATATGTATTTTGATTTCTAAAAACAAGATTTTTATTATTAACCAAAATGAGTTTGATCAACAGAATATTGTCTATGTGTGAATCCTATGCTTACATGCGACCAATAATAATCAATAACGTTATTGATCATTTAAAATATGGTGCTACAGGCGAACTATTATGTCATAATATTAGAAATGAATGGCTATACAGCAATGTAACTAGTAGAGATGAAAGCGTATTTCAATTTTGTAATATTGACCAGAAAAAATATTCCAATGATATTCCAAGTAAGACGTCTAGTAATGTTTTTTTTAAAAATGTATTGATATGTATGATGTTTAAAAATAGTAGAGTTTGAGACTTAATGTACTTACAAATCATTTATTTGTTTAACACATACAAAGTAAAATTATGAATTTAACTCAAGGTAAATTTTTATTGTGATCTTGGTTATACATCTAAAAATGTAGGTTAAATATTTTATTTTTTAATTAGTAATTTATATAGGAATATTATTTTTAATAATATGTATCAATTTTTGTAAACGAATAAATATTGGAAATATTATTTTAGTAATTTTGGAATTTGTAGTGCGTGTAAATACAAGCAAATATTTGTTGATTATAAGCACATTAAGTCTAGAATCTGACATAGGTTTAAATAATTTAAATCTTATAGATTGACATGATTTTTAATAATTATTGTTTTTACTGCAATATTTATAATTGTGTGGTATTTTAACTAAGTACTAACTAGTAAATTTAGTATTATTTCTATGACATTTGTTTTACTGTTTCTAAGGTTTAAAAGATCATTTTATGAATGCTAAACAATTTTGTAATAATCAACTCCCATTCAGTTTTGCTGATTCTAGAAGTATATGTGAACAAACAAGTTTAAATGCTTTGAAAATTGGAGATAAAAAATACTTTAGGTAATATAAAATATCTAAATACCATATTTATTACATTGATATAAAACTAGTGTATATAATAGTTTTATATTTTATATATGTATTATTATAGATTTATTATATTGGTAAATTAGTATATCTGTTGATGATTTTAATCTGTAGATTATTGATGTAAAACAAATCCAGATTTCGGAATTTTGGACTTTAGAATCCAAATTTTGGGTTATAAAATTATAATCAGAGTGTTACATTTTTTTTTATAAAATCTTAACTATTTCACTGTGTTTGGGGGGGGGGGGGGGGTCAGACTATGGCGATTGCCCCACTCAAAGAAATTTTTAAAAGTCTGTAATTCTTTGTCCGATGATCAAATGCTATATTCCGTAAATAGTACATTATTATTTACTATTTTGTACTCAGAAATCAGATAATATTATCTTTAAATACACGTTCATAGTTTATTTAAAGTTAAGAAACACTGGCTCCTCCTAGGCTTATGACAATTGTTATTACGCGAATCTTATAAACTTTATTATTGATATTTATGTATTTCTATATATGTGATCTTTATAAAACAGTTTTCGTGATATCGATACCATAAAAATTGAGCTCATAATCTATAAAAAACCGTTAAAATCATTCCTATTCACCCCAAACTACGGTACATTATATTTTAGATGCAATTTTATGTTTTTATAAATAATTTCTGTAAAGTTTTTATTTAATTAGATTTATAATATTATAAAGGCTGAATGAAAGGGGTTAGGAAGGTCTAGCCGGGGTGGTATCCCTGAGCCCTCTTGAGTACTCAAGTGAAAGGGGTCCAAACAATTTAAACTGATACACATTTTTTATCATACTAAAATTAGTAGTTTTATAGACATCAATTGTATATACCTATTAATTTTATAATTTTATATTGCAATTGATAATTTGTGAAATAATGTAAAAAAGTGTATCGTTGCGTGCGTGACGAGCAGCTTTGTAAAGCATGTTTTGTCAAAAGGGCCCATATAAAATTTCAGCCTTGGAGCCCAATAGGTACTTACTTAATCTGGCCTTGATTATTATTCTATCAAATCTATTGATAGTTAACTTATACCCTATAGGCGAGGCCGGATTGGACAAAGTCGGCCCATCGAGTTTTCTGTATGTTACCAGCCCACTTACTAACTGGCGGTTCTTGTCCAATTTTTTTTTTTCGCATATTTCAATAGGTGCACTAATCTTCAACTTTAAACTATTAATATTTTCTGTTAGCGGCCTTTCACAACTTAAAAAGCCAAAAATTGTTGCGGCCCACCGAGTTTTGTTTGTAACTTGCCGGGGCAATCCGGCCCTGTCTATAGGATAAGTAAATAAATTAATGTTTTACTATCTTTAATGTTGTGATTTAATTGGGTAAATTGAAACTTTCATGTTCTTTGTTTATCATCATAACATCATTATTCATTATTAATCCTTACATGTTTTGTTCCAAAAAAATATTTTATTGATAGTCTATGGTCCATAAATATTAAATATTTAAATATATAGGTAATCATAATTTTTTAAATATTATGAAGTCGGCAAACTTAATCAGTTGCCCCACCCTTTCAAAAGTTGAAATGACGCCCCTGCACTGTATACTAATTAATCTACTAAATACCTAGTTAACTTATTCTAGTTACAATAAATCTAATATATACCTACATATTATTTATATTATTTTATATATTGATTATATATAAATATATATATATATATTATACAAAACCATCCTAATTTTAAAATTTGTCATCAATATTTATTGTTAGTTGAAAGTTTTACGAAAGGTTTTGTAATATGAATAATTTTATTGATTGAACATAAAAAACAGGTAGGACAAAAATTGATGGAAGTTTTATCTGTAGTTGGAATATTTTTTTGATTAAAGTAATCGAGTTAAAATAAAATTATGGTTGTCACTAATTTTTGAATCGTATAAAATTGAAGTAGGTATACTTAATATATTAATTTAATTTTAAAAAAGGTGAAGTCATTATGACTTAATAATAATTAATAATTAACGCACTAATATGTAAAATCATTCTTAATCAAATTTCAAAATTAATTTGAGAATTCAAAATCCGGTTTTTCAAACTTTGAAAAATCCAGTTTTTTTCCATCACTAGTATGCATAGAATTGGAGTATAAATAAGTACTGAAATAGGTATATCTTGATTAATTCAATGATTTATTTATTATTACTTATTATTAATTAAATATTGTTTGATTTTCATTTGTAAAATAAAACTAATTTAAAACAATTAAAAATACCAATTTTAAAATAATTCTATATTAATACTTACATATTTCTAAATTTAGCCCTAAGAATTATACCAGATTTAAGTATATTGCATTTTGTATACCAGAAGAAAGCCAACAATTTTTCTATCATTGGCAAAGACAACGAAAAATTTGGTGGAGAAAAGTAAGTATAAATAAGCTTTTAATAATAACAATTTTGTTCTATGATTACTGAATAAATGTTTATAAAGTTCTCAGCCAATCCTGGTAGATTTTCACTTACTGAAATATTGATCGACGAAAATGGCCAAGAGAGTACAGAAATTCGAGCTGAATTTCCATGGGGACAGGAGACAATTGAAACCATACGTAACATTAGTACTAAAATGTTTGATAATCTTGATCCATTGGAACAAGAAATGTTTATAGTAAGTATGATGTGATAGCAAAAACTAATTTAAATATCTAATCACTATTAGTGTTATTTTAATTTAAGGCAAGAGTGGGTAAAAGAAAAGTCTTACCCCACGTAGTTGAAAGTGAAACTAGCCTTGAAAAAGCATTTATGGTGTTTCTGTGTGATGGATATGCAGACCTGCCTTATCACAGCGGTCGCAGAGAAATCTTTCGGTTTCATCGTAAACTGGCTCCATATAAAATAACATTTGCTGCTCCCTTGTCAAGTGAGATAGATCTACATGATATTGATTGGGTAATGGTATTTAAAAAAAATATATTATATTAATATTCGTAGATGCCAAAAAAGCAGATGAATTGAGACAGCTTTCTATTTACTTGGGATTGAATTTAAAAAAATCTGGTATATCAACCTTAATCCTCCCTAACACTGCGAAAAAGTCTCTCGAGTCACAGTTCACAGATTTAGACTGTCTTGGCATTCCTTATACAGCTATACTCAGCGATTCTACTTTAGACAATGGTATTGTTGGAATTAGGAATATTGAAACAACTCTTGAGGTACAAGTACAATAAAATATTTATAATAACGTTATGAAGATATTTTGTTTTACAAAACACTATGATTATGTAACTGCTCAGTAAAATTATTGAGATATTCCAGTTTAAAAATGTAATTTTTTAATTTTTGAGTGATTAAATAAAATAACCATAGGTATATATGTATATATTTGTAACAACACAGTAGGTAATTAGTTGAGTGTCTATGTTACAAAAATAATTTAGGTAAAACAATGATGGTAATCAATAATAAAATTAAAAAAATTAGAAACATTTATTATACTTATACACATTGTCGATCTGGGTCATGATTGGACCATTGACAAAAAATTTACAATAAGTCACTAAACAACCTAATATTAGTATGAAATTCAATAACTACCTACTAAAAATTTGTTCTTCCTAAGCCCAAACTATACTACAAATTTTGTTAATATTAATTGTGTTCATACATACATGGATTATATTTTTTTGCATTTATTTTCCGTTCTGTAATGGACCCAAATGTATTTTAAGTATGTCATGTTCATTTACTATATCTGGTTAAAATCCTGGTCAGGGTGTAAATCATATAAACGCTCATATAAGTCATCAATTGAGTTTATAATATACCTACAAATATTATCATAATATGGTACTCTTCCGAATCATCACAGGAATATGTTAATTATAACGGAAGAAAAAAAAAACGTTCATTGGAAGCAGCTGTTACAGGCAAAGTTAAAAGAATATTTATAATTTTAAGTTTCAGTAAAAGTTTTAGAAAGTTCATTTAAAATTTTAGAAATAGAAAAAATATCATGAATTCCATCATCTCGTTATTTATTAGAATAATTTAAGTTAGTTAGGTTAATTAATTAAAGTTTTTTGCACATAACACTTCAGTTTGAAGTATTATCAATTTAAAAATGACTATAATGATTAAGGAAAGACAATTTTGAAATTAAAATAATCAGGACTAGATGATAAGAAGATATTACAAGTAAAAATGATTTCATTTTTAAAATTGCTGAAACGATGGTTAAGTTCATTCAAAAATTTAATATTCTTGTAAAATGCTCATATATCTATTTATAGTTTATACAAATTGGCAATTAACAAATATTGTGGCATAATTATTTAGTACGTAGTATTTTCAAAATGATAAAAATACGCTTGATTTTTCACAAATAACGGTTTAGGTATGGCTAAAGCTACGGTTTCTAAGGTACATGTCGTGGCGACAGGTCGCTACGAAAATTCGTCAACATCTGTTTTTACGAAAATGTTATTCATTGGTTTGCAAGACGCGACAAGTCGCAGCGACCTAACTTTGAGTCTTCGCGACCGACGACACTACTGCTCCGAGAGCAGTACCTTGCGACATGTCGCCGCAACACAACACAACGACTATTGAAACGTTTGTAGATATAATGGCGTCAACACTGATATTCTCAGCGTCGGAAGACGAAATTCTAATGCGTGAAGTCCAGAATAATACATTTCTTTACAATATTGGAGATCCAAATTATAAAAATATTATTCCAAAAGATGACATTTGATAATCATCAATCATTCTCTATCCCGGTATATAAATAATTATAGGTTTTCTAATGTTTGGCGATGAGGTAACTAACATTTGTTGTTGTAATTATTGTTGTTGTTCTTCTAATAATAGTGTGAGAAGAATATTATTATTTAAAATATATCTATTCGTTGTGATATGATATTATATTATATTGTATGAAAAATATGTGCGCACTTGAACAAGTTTGAAAACGGACGCTGACTGAATACCAGTTGTGTCGCTGTAACTTGTCGCGTCTTAGAAATCATTCTATCCGAAAAGCTTCGCGGCGACTGGTTACGGCTATCAGGCGCAACGACCAATCACCGCGACATGTCGTACCTAAGAAACCGTAGCTTAAACGACTACGATCAGCTAACCTTTAGGATGCTTTTTGATCAGACAATGGCAAATGCTCACCTTGCCACCCCCTAAATGACACCACCGACTACATTTTTTATACACATACAAGGTTCAGATATATCCAGGGCCGGCTCAAGGTATAGGCGAACTAGGCACCTGTCTAGAGCAGCATTTTCAAAATTGACTCCAACATTTTTTTAGTTCTATTGGTGTTTTATAAGAAAAATATTTAAAATTAATTTATTCGTGAAAACCACTTTCCTGTATAATAAAATAATATTGTTTAAAGTTATTATATTACTTTATATTACGGCCTACGCTGGGCGTTTTCCATTATTCAAAAATATAAATAACCACATATCTGATAGTCGCGGTAGTGATGGGTTTTGAGTAATAGTAATAGTAATAAAAATTATTTTTAAGTCTTTTTACAAATAACTTTATCCATAAAATAAAAAATTAAAAAAATGTTTAAGTAAATAAGTCACATAAAAATAGGGAGAGGAGCTTAGTTATAATAAGAGCTCAATTTTTTTTTAGAGGCGGCAAAATTTTGCCTAGTGCACTATTTTTGCTTGGGCCGATTAGGTTAGGTTAGTTGAGCCTAACCGGCCCTGAATATATCTTAAAACTGTCGAGCTTTAAAGTCTCTACCTTTTTTTTTAAATTTCTATTGCCTTTTTCATTGAACGTTACAGAAATCCGGTTAGATAATTAAATCAATTTGATATTCTATAGATAGACAATAGCCTATTACTATAGTATAATAAGTTTATTTCATTATTATAAATGTATCCAACAAATTATTTCATAATTTTTTTAAATGCTTTTTAGCATTTTATAGACATTTTATTTTATATTTAACTCTTATATTTATCTGGACATATTTTTTATCTAACACTTGTAGTATAGATTTTAAAATTATTATTATATTTATTTTAATAATTAATGAATTTAAGGTTATAGTTTACAATTTAATGGAATATTGTGTTTTTGTTTATAGGAAAAAATTCATGTGGCAAATTTGACTTCTTACGTTGAACAACTTATAAAAAATTACTGACTTGTAATTTATAATGGTTAGATCATACTTTAGTTTTTCTTAGTTAAAAATAAAAATTAATTTATATGTAATGTATTTTTCAATATCTATGCAACCAGAAAAAATATATAAATAAATAATAATCTGTATTTAGTTTATTTGTTTTTACTTTCCATTTACTATTATTATATTATATTGACCTATTATTACTTAATTTTTAAAAAGAATTGTCGGTATAAGACAAATATATCTTAGCTGAAGAACCTCCGTAACTGGTTTAATAAAACGTCAATTGATTTATTTCGAGTATCATTTAACAGGGACAAAATATCCATACGATATTCAACACCTGAAATAAGTAGAAACCTGAAGAAGACTTATTATTAGGGAACGGATTTATTCGCTCTGAAAACCTCAGTAATATACACAATATGCATTCTATAAGTCTATGGGTAATACCCATTGGATAAAATATATGGACAAATTTGCTAGTATTTAGCATAGACCAAGGTGGATACATAGACCTTACTAGTAATGTAATGTATGTTCGAATAATCGAATTGTTCAAGTATTCGATGATACAATACCTAATTTTTTTTATCCGTTTTTCCATGACAAGCTTTATATACTATTTATTATTAATAAGTAATCCATATCTACACAACTAAAGATAATGTATGTCAATAATTAATCGACCTAAATACGAAAATAATTCTTATCTTGCAGGGACCTGTTCGTAGTTAGCTTTATTTCGGTGCATACTACTTGTGTCCGAGATTATTATCAGTAGGTAATTTGCGTCCCACCAAAAAAGGTCATAGCCTATTTGCGTCCCAGCACTAATAAGTCATAAGCATAGCATAAAATAAATATTATAAGTAATTAATCACGTTTAAATAAATAAAACTATTCAAACTATTTACAGATTATATATATATAATATAACACTGCAAAATACTTTGTGTTATTCTGATCGATTATAGTACACTATATACCCAGTGTCGGCCTAGCCAAGGCAGTTAGACAGCAATCGCTGCCTGGGCCCCCGTCTATTTTTTTTTTTTATATGTATATTTAAATGCAACGAAACGTTTAGATATAATAATTACGAGAAACACGTGGTCGTAAAGTATTTTAACTTTTAATTTTTAAATCTATAGTTAGAATAAGTAAATCGTACTTCTTACTATCTTAGTCAGGTTTTATAATTGTGCTGTAGTTCGATAAATATAAATTATAATTATTATGGATGAATGATCTTGATATTAATAAGATTAATTGATAAGAACGATTAATTCCAAATGAAAATATATTAAAGGATGTAAATGGTTAGATCCAAAAATATACGAATACATCGAAAAGTTTGAAGAATATGCTATTGATATCTTGATAATTGTAACAAAGTGATCTGATGTTAATAGAGATATTGTATTACTTAAATAGAAACAATTTGCCTCTTATTATTTTAATATTATTTCAAAAAAACATGGCATAACAAACGATAATGATGGTGAAGGTTATATTATAGATGAAGTAGTGACATCTGATTCAAAAGATGAACTTGATTCGATAAATTGTAATACCTGTTGGAAATGTATAGCATGTGCTTTTAAAATTATTACCCAACTATCTTGTCATTATGGTATGTACAACAATTTGAATCAGGTTTTTAAATACATAATGCTATTAACTAATTATTATTGCCATCAACTCAAGTCACTTGTGAAAGAGTATTTTCTAAGCTTAAAGTAAAAACAAAATTAAGATCGTCACTCGATCAGCAACATTTAGAACCACTAATGCTTATGTCTATAGAAAAAGATATTACTTTAAATGTGGATAAAATAAAACTAATAGATGACATAGAAAAATCGTCAAAAGAAACGACAAGGCTTTTCATATGATATAATATATTTTATTAAATGTATTTATTTTATAAATACATAGTTTTTTTTTTTTTTTTTTATAAAAATTGAACACTTAACGGTAAATTTAGATTAAGAGAATTTTTAACTTTATTCTTTTTTATTTAAAATAACAAATATATAGTCTATATGTATAACATTTTAATGACCATTTTACATATTTAAGATATATTTAATTTCAATATAGGAGTAATAAATAAATGTTGTAGTATGGGGGTTGGATTAGGTTAATCCTACCTGGGCCCTTTAGAGCAAGGCCGACACTGGATATAACTATCTATCAAATTAAATCTCTGGTCTCTTGGTTTTTCAAAGTATTCAGTTTTATAAATACGGCTCAGGAATTGTTTGGCGACAACCAGACAATGTCATGGTACGTCATTTTATTACATTGAAGCACTATAATAGCTGATAATATTAATTTATCGATAGTCGCAAATATTATACTATATATACAATTTACACATATATAATTATTGTAACATAACATTTATAGACGCATCTCAGTCATGACTTTTATAGCAGGTAAAAAAAATAATATGGTCGAGTTGCGTCCCTAAAACGGGACGCAAGTTACTTCTTGAATTTACTACCTGAAAAATATACCTTTTTGGGGGACGCAAGTAGTATGCAGCCTTTTATTTTACTCGTTATAGTCGATAACTCGTTATAACCATACTCGTTGTAGACGTATATTTTAACATACAATCATATGTGCCGTGCCAGGATCTAACGTTTTGCTTGTTGTAAGTAGTATCTCGTTCTAAGCGATGCTCACTATAATGATTTATAGTTTATACTGTATTAATAATAATTAAATTATGATATTCGAGTATTTTGCATAATTTTTATTTTTGTATTTTAATTGCCCTGTCAAATAGTAAATATCGCTAGCTTCGAATCCACTTTCGCAGGCCTTTATGCACCATAAGCCATATAATATTATTATTAAACGTTTTATGTTGTGCGAAAACTTAAACGAATAATTTTCGTTATGTATTGTATTGTAGCATCGCATATTATATTGCCGGCCATTAATGGTCCTCCTCAGTGGCGTACACATAACTTTTGTATGTGGGGGATCATTTGCAAATAAATCGTTTTATTTTTTATTTTTATTTTATCATTATTTTTATTTTTTTACGTTTCTAACGTCCTCACTCTAAGAACATTATACTATAACAATTAAAAAAAGACCTAGGGGGGATCTGACATCCACATCCCCCCTTGTATACGCCACTGGTCCTCTCAATATATTAAAAGTTATATAAAAAGTATAGTACTCAATATTGTGTTTGTGTTGTCCCGGTTTCGCTTTATAAATTTGTGGCAATCCTCTACATAACACCACCAAAATATTCCACCGTCGTCTATCACTTTATTAGATAACAATATTATTATTAATTATGTAAGATTATAGGAATTACAAAATAAATTATAATAATAATATTTTATATTTATACAATTTACATTTGAATAATTCTCTGCGTCATATACTCATATTATTTAGTATGTATTTCACTATTCCATGCTTAAATTATCATTAAATTTTAAATAATCAAAAAAATTTGGGGGGGGCTATAATACATTTGGGGGGTTAACCTCCCCCCAAGCCTCCCATAGTTGCGCCAATAATGTCCTGATATTTTTCCATAGATTTTGCTTACTGACTAACTTGAGAAGTCATGAAACTTCCCCTGCCGGCACTGACAGTTCTGAGTATTTCTGTTGCTGTAAATTTTAAACCTTTTACTTGATCCATATTGTTTTTCAAGGAATTATAATGTGGTGGGTTCCCTATCTTTCCACATCGCAGTTAATAAGCCAGTACTTGAAGTAATTTCAAGCTCCCATCATCAACTCCTTCCATTGCTATTAGTTTTTCTGCAAAACTCAATTAATATCAAAATTAGTTATGATATAATAAATCGTAATATTCGTTATACAATTGATGTAAATTGAAATCTAAATTTTAGTAAAAATTATTTTGGACATAAGTTAGGGTGAACGTGCCCCCCCCCCGTTCCGGTGAAAACATAAAATTGGGGTACACAGAAAAAAAAATAAAGGAGCTCAGTCCCCCTGCGAACCTCCCCCTCCTAATTCGAGAACTGATCATGACAGTAGTGATAATTATTAAGTTATTCGTAACGGCTGAGTCTAAACGGAGCACGCTAGCAATGAGCACACACGTTCAATCTGTGCGTGTTCTCATTTGGACACGGCTTTCCGTTCACGGCGAAGCACTGACATCGTCACGGAACCAAATTGTAATACTGAAAATAACCACGTTATCAATTTGATTTGAAAAAATTAACCCGCGTTTCGTCGATTACTTGCACAACTCTGTAGATAGGCCTAACAAATCATGTTTTTATCATGCAGACATCGATAACTTATTATTACATGCAGTATCTATGCGATTCATTTTGATGATTATTTTAAGATTGTTTTCGTATAATCTGTGATGATACTATATAGTTGCCGACATGCCCGCGCTCTATATTCAACATTCGTACGGAAAGAAGTATTAAATTATTCGTACATTAACGTACCTTTTAATACAAACGACAGTGACGGCAATCAGTTTAATGAAATTTAGATCGCTGATTACTCACTGTACGAATCATTGTGAGAAATAACGCTAAGTCACGAAATTTGCTAGCTCTGAGCTTTTGGCAGGTGATTAGTTATTTATTTGTTATTATTTTGTTTTGGATATAGCTGTTTAATTTGTATCTACTATTGTTATTTCCAGATTCATATCATTTCATTTTAGAAAAATATTTCCACAAAATCATGGGTGAAAACATGTTTTGGTTATTAACTTACGATTATTTCAAAAAAGATGTTAATAAGCCTGAAGACAGTTCAATCATTCTAGTGCATTGGTTGTTACTAAAAAATGATTTTCAATTGCTCGGACAAGGTAATGAGGTAAATATTTCATTATTGTATTTATTCTATTATAATGTTAGAAAAGTGTTCTATTGATTACATTTTTAGTTGTTTAATAACAATCCATCAATTCAGTATATTGTTTATTGATTATTCGCTAGTTATGTATAGTTACATACTTAAATATTTTAATTTTGCACGTTTCCTTGAAACTGAGAACATAAAACTGATAACCAATTATTAATGAGTCATCGACCAATTAAAGCTTATTTTTATTTTAAGTTATTCTTTAAAAAATACGGAAAGCTTTCGGCTTAGTATTGTATGGATAATACTAATGTAATCAAATACAATTAGTATATTTAGTATATATGCAAATAGGAAAAAATATCTAGGAAGATTTAATTTCTTATATGGCACATGTATAAAAAAAATAACTTAATTAATAAAAAAAAAAGTTAGGGATGTATAAAATCTCATAAAAAATGGATGCGGTTGTCCATTAATATTTATTCTAGAGAATAACTTGTGCATATTTTGAGAATTTTTACCCCTTATATTTGTGCTCTATTAGATATAAAAACTCAATATTATTCCATTGCTATGTATTTAATTATAGCTGTAAATTTTGTAAAAATATATTTTTAAGTCAAATTAATATAATTTTTCAGAATGGCATTGATGAAAATGAAGAACCAACTTTCAAATTACCCTTAAATTGGTCGCAAAATACAACTTATAAGTTTCGATATATGCGGGACAGCAAATTATATCTTTTGAATGGTGTTAAAGCTGGTGATGGTCTCATTTTAAATTTTTATGTAACTAAAATCATTCATTATATAATTTTTAAATTAAAGATTATTTTTTGCCTGTAATATATTTATGTTTATTAGAATGTTACAACAAAACAAGTATCGAGTGGTGCTATTGGTAATACTATTACAACTGCTCAGTATATCAGTGATATGGTAAATAATAAGAAACATTTCAATGAAACTGTTAGTGCACTACAAAAAGACCTCATAGACCCAATGCAAAAAAAAAATGATGACAAAAAAGTAGCTAGCACTCAAACGTATAAAAGAAAACCAGAAAGTACTTCGGAGATTTTACTGTAAATGTTATTTTGTTTCATGTTTTAGTATAGTTTTCTAATATAATTCATTAACACTGTAATTATGCAGTCCATTAACAGAAGAAACAACGAATGCTAATGTATTAAGAGCAGACTTTGGAAGGCATAGGTTTCCATCATATGGTATGCCAGACTTGGATCCTGTAGGAGGTTTACGTAATCCTGGTGGAGGCATGATCTTTCAACATGATCCAGCAAGAAGTGGTAGAATTGGAAATTTGCCTGGGTACATTGGTGCATCATTTACTTAATTGTTATGTTGTTTTATTTGCTTATAATTTTAAACATTTAGAATTCCTCCAATGGCACGTTTTGATCCGATTTATCCGTCAAATCCAGATCCATTTATACCAGACTTTAGAAGACAAAATCCAGATCATATGAGGCCACCAGATTTCGATGATAATATGTTCATGTAATATTATTAATAACTGATTTTATCATGTTATTATATTATTTATATTTTATAAGGAATACATTTTAATAACAATTTTATATAATTTATTTAATGCGTTTATTTAATAAATTTTAAAATGAAATATAAAGCCATAATTGCATATACTGATGTTAAAAATGTTTTCACGAAAGATTTCAATAAACAATTTTAAAATTTAGAAAAATAGTTTTTTTTAGTTTAAATCATAAACTGATATCCATTGAAAATACCAATGGGATTAGAATATTTTATATTAATCCAAGATTTGGAGTGATGGTTAGAGGGTATTTATTTGCTGTGATTTAAAAGTATGGTAAAAAAAACTGGGATACTTTGGAATACATTAGAAATTAATTTTATAGTCATAAAATGTAAAATATAACTTAAGTATTTGAACTCAATAATACATATAATTAATAAAATACTAAGAACAAATAAAAAATATATGTATAACAATAAGTAAAACATACAAAATCAATAATGATATAGTACAGTTAATTATTCAAATGTTGTTGGTTTACTTCACAATCTCTTTTATTATCATCTAAAAAATAAATCAATTATACTTTAATAACTCAAATAACTACATTGAATATGAAATAGCTTTCTTTGTATATTTTAAAACAAAAGGAAAAGACTATTCATAGAAAATATTAAAATTGTTACTAACTATTATTCTCTAATTCTTCACTCTTAATGGGCGGTTGATAAGGTTGAAGAATTGGAACAGTTGTAATGACTGCAATCAATTCGTCATTTTGATCATCCCTTAATACAAACATTTATTAATATATTAAAATTAAATTGAAAGTTGTATTTTAAAAAATTAAAAAATAATATATTTACTCAACACATTGGGAATGATTGGCAAAATGTTGAGTATTCAAGATATTATTTTGATAAAGTATTGAATTAGTTAAAATTGGTGTTTGATTTAAAATTCCATGAGTAACTTCCAATGGATTCTGTGGTTCAATAGGTGTTACGACACCTGGTGAAAATGGTACAGAAGAAGGAAGTGTAACATCAGGTAAATCAGATGAGGTTTCTGATAATTGAATGTCTAAACATATATATATTTTTTAAATCTAATTTTTATTTCTCTTTAAAATTTGATTTGTATTCCTTACCAAGATCCTGTTCTGTAACTTGTCTGTTATTGTGATGATGAAGTAATTCATCAGACATATGAGGTAAAAATGTATTTACTTTGTTCCAAGTAGCATCCCAGAAAGCTTGTTTACTATGAAGATCTTCTTTACTATTTGTCTTACCATTTAACATTACTAACAACATATTTTTCAATGTTTCTGGAATTGCTTCACTCTATTAATTTAAGATAAAAGTAAAATACAGTATTTAAATAATAATAATTATTGATATTATACCAATGTGTCACTATTGTCTGATATCATAAACTTGTGCATCAGTTCTAGAACAGTAATCCATAAATCCACAAATGTTGGTAATGATTGAAGTTGAGTCAAATGATGTAAGAAAACCTAATAATATTTTATTACAATGTAGATAAATGTTAGTTTTAATATAGTTTAAAATCCAAATTACAGTAGAAAATAAAGTATAATAATAATAACCTTGGACAATAAAGTGGTAGACCGCATTTTTGTTTCATCCAAGCCACTTGGATCAATGTCTTTACCACAATTTAATAGCTTGTTCATTAAAGGAAACAGAACTTTACGAAAACATGCTTCCCATTCATCACCATTAAGTGTGGCAAGGTCGTGCATTAAAAGGGCTCGTTGTAAGTAAGTTACAGCACTCATTCTTACCTACATATAATAATTGGTATTTTATAATAAACACGATGAAATAAAATGGAATTAATTAGGTTTACTACTCACATCACGACGGCAATCACAACACAGACTAGCTATTCCTTGGAGTAGTGGACACCATCCATGATTCCACAAAGATATGAGTTCTGTATCTGGGTTTTCTTCAACCCACCATCGATAAATATCAGCAGTGCTTGTGTGTAAGGTATGCATAAGATCTAATAACTAAAAAAACACATTATGATTAAATGTACATCAATATTATGGTTAAAGAAAAAATAATTACTTGAATAGAAACTTGAGAGTAACTACTTGGAATGTCTTCAATATCACTATCATCAGCATCATATGGGTTGGATGTTTTATTTTTGTTGGATTTTGAATTAGTTTTTAGTCTTTCACTTGATTTTTGCCTTACATTTTTATCTTCTGAAACGAATTTACGTTAATAATGACATAAAAAATCATTAAAATGAACTATACTTGATTGCAAACTGGCCCTCGCAAAATTTTTTATAACTGAGACACATTTAGTGAAATTGTATGGAGTAATATGTGCAATATTACGCACTAAAAAGGCAAGGCATTCACAACATTTGACAAATGAAAATGCATCATGATGAATAAATGTTGAACATTCTGGCCAAATTTCTAATATTCCTTCATTTGTTTCAACCTATAAAAATACATACTTATAAAAAAAATAAGAAATGTCTGAAAGAATAATTAAACATAGTATCTATAATATAGTTATAGATTTTTTAACCTTTAATAATCCTGATTTACTGTCTGGAGACAAAGACAAAAGAGTCGAAACATTATTAACTGATTTAACATCTAACCCACTGTCATCATTGCTATCACTTACACTTAAAACTTCATTATCAGATTGATGATCTATAAAATATTCATATATTATATATAATTTGTTAGCGATTTTTTTTATCTTTTTTATTTTTTATTTACTACAAAATAATATTTACTAATATTATAGGTTTTAGATACAGCAATTCCAGCACCCACATATTCTAAGATTGAAAAAATTAATGTCCAATCCTCTCTTGTGTGAATATTTGCCGCACACATTTTCAATAATTCATACATTCCAAAAGCTATTTGACGACCCACTATTTGTAAAGTATTTGCATTGAGTAATAATAATACATTTAATGATTGTAATACCTGTAAATGTTAAAATGGATTTAAATTAATTTAGAAGAATGTAAAATAGTAAATATAAGTAAAAAGTATACCATTGAACTTATTTCTTCACGTCTCATAAGACGAGATGCTAATCGCATTAATCCAACAACTGTACGTTCCAAAAGAAACATGTGATTATGTTCAATAGCACCAGTTATAAGGTTATATAGATGTTGTTTAACTGCTTCCCATAGGGTATTTACTCTGTCTCTGTAGTTAATACATAAAATTAACAAAGAAAATAATTTATTGCAATTAGTAAATCTCACCTGTTTTGTAAAACTATTTTAAGAAGCATTTCTAATAAGAAGCAAGCTGCATTTTCATTTTCTCGTGATCCAAGGGCTAATACATCGTCTGGTTTATAAAATGTTCCAATTAATGCCTAAAAATGAAAATGTTTAAGAGAATGTAACAATTTAATAACATGTGAAACATGCATACTTTAACTAGAGCTTCCAAAGATTCTATAGTAAAAAACTTAGACTCTGTGATTAGACTTTCTAAACGACTTTCTGATATGCAATCCTTAGAAGTAACAATCAATTCAGCTTCATTTGATGTTTGTATCTTATGGTTAATAGTTTCTAAAAATAAATTTGTTTTTCTTACTTGAATCAAATAGTCAAACCTTATTTATTTACTTACCACCCCCAGATGCTATATATGAATAAAGTGAACTAAACAAACTTGATTCTACCTTTTGTGAACCTAGGGGGACTGTTTCACGTATTAATGAAATTTTACCACTAAGTTCTAGAAAATCTTCTGACTGAGAAAATATAACAAAATGAAATTATGGTTGTATTATTAAAATAATAAATCATTTAAAAACCAATAGGTACCTCGACTAAAATAGTAGGCAACAGATTGCATTTGTACAGTTGTAAAATTATGTCAAATATACTTGACCAACCCTCACGAATAATATCACCATACATATGAGTTAAACTAAAAAGAGTACGAGTTGCCAGTCTAGCTTTAGGGTTACTTCCAAACAATATTGTAACATTTTCTGGACACTAAATTAAAAGAAAAATATTTTTATCATAAAATTATTTTAGAACAAATTGTATTTAATATAATAATATAAATGGTATTTAAAATAATGAGTTGATCATATTAAAGTAAAAAAATCCCCAAATTTTCTTAATATTTGCTATAAAAATGTATTTGTAAAAATAAAATGATCTGAATGCTATACTCACATCTAGGTTATTCTGTAAATTGGTAAATTTACATAATGATATGATTAAGCTATCAAATTCAGCACACATTCCATAATGAGCACAAATAAAAGCACATTTTCTGAAACATTACATATGAGTATTATAATATAGTTATTGTTCTGATTGAAAAATTATTTTTTATGTTAATAATTATTGAAATAGTTAACAAAGTTAGTAAACTAAATTTTATAAAATAATAAATTACCTAAGACCAAAAATAGTTCTTGTATAAACGGTTTGATGATTAGACTTATCAAATATAAAGCTCAAAGCAGCTAAAGTAGGACCCCAGCAAATAGAAAATAATTCATGATCAAAAACTCCACTTGGTGCTTGTATATAAGAACCATCTTTACTAGATGCACGTCTTAACAGTACTTTCCATAAATAGTTTTCTAAGACTGCACCACTATGTTCAGCAGGCATAACAATTTCTTTTGCCCTATAAATTAAAAATGTTAAGTTATAGGCTACAGCCCATTAAATTAACTATCCATTTTACTTGATGTCTTTATAAATTTCTTCTAACATTGCTTGATCAAAATCTTCACCGCCATTTAGTTTTTTTAAATTCCGCTTAAATGCATCTGGTGTCATAGGTTGATCTATTCGCCTGACATTTTGATTATGTTGGTCAACATTTAACATGATAATTGCATAGGCCAACAAAAATGCACATTCAGCATTTGCAAAAGGATTTCCATTACAAGTCTAAAATGTATACAAGTATAATAATTTGTAGAAAATATTTAAAGTAATACTATGACGTACATGCCAATATTCTGTAAATGGTTCCAATACAAATGATATTAGAGGCGACTCTCCAGGTAATCGAAATGCTTCAAGATACATCCTAAGAGCTTCATCAATACGAGTTCCATTTAAATCAAATGAACTATACAGTAAATCATGTTATAAACTACAAATAATTTAACTATTTAAATTTTTAATGATTGATATTTACCTAATAAAACTGTTTAGAACATCTATATTATTCCTGTTGCTAATATATTCACCAATCATTTTCTTATCCAAAAGAGGATTTTCTTTTAGAAATGTAGCAATCTCAACAGGATTTAATGGAGATGATAATAGGCCATGTTCTTGTAAGAATTCTATACCTTTTTTTGGTTTTGTGTTGAATTTTTCTGTACCCGAAGTAAGTAACTGAAATTATTAAAAGAAGATTTTGAAAAACTAAGTACAAACTCACAAAGCAATGAATAATATTATTACTTTGAAAATAAAAAATTAAAACCCAATGATACATATCCATTTCTTTTTTATTATTTCTTTTGATGTGATAATTTATGATAAATATAGATATATATATATATATATATTACCGGCAAAGTATTAAATATAGGCACCTATAGAATTCCTAGGCATTCTACAGAACCCCTTGTACAATTTGACAATTTATTGAATTTTAATGTTATTTTATATTATGTCTATGATAATCTAACAACTCCTAGAATTTCTATAGAATGCCAATGCCATGTTAGGTAAAGTATGAAGTTTAGAATAGTATTTAATCAAAATAAGTTTATTATTAATTTATTGCAGCATATAGTTGATGCATAAAATGAATGAACTGTATAAAATTTATTTTTATTTTTACATAAATATTTTTGACTTCAAACTTTGATTTGCATGTGCATTTTAACCTTGTCCAGTTCCTGTAGACTGTTAGGTTGCTATTGTCAGTAAAATAAATATACTTTCCATTGGAACTTTGACAATATTTTTTTGGCATATTGTTAATTGAGACCTTGAGTATAAAAACTTTAAAAACTCTTCCTTAGTCCCTAAACGGTAATACCCATCAACTGTTAGCTAATATAATATTAAAATTATTATAAATAATAAAATATGAATGACTTCATAACCATGTATAATTTTATGTTTACTTCTATAACAACTAAAATATTACGAGCATCCCCACGACCTTTGTCCACATCAGATACTGGAACTCGAACTATAACACCCACATAGTTTTATCTGACCATGTTTTTATTTTAACTACTTCATTTTCAAGATTTAGTTTAGACTTTCTTTGATTATCTATTGCATTTGCATTATTTGATTGCAGAGTTGTTGGTATTGGACTTTTAACTTTTCTATAGCACTAGTACTATAATTTTCAGAAAATATTAAGTTAATTTCTTTCAAATATTTTCAAATAATTGTTTTTCATTTTCTAAATTTTCTATTACTTTTTTTGGATAAATTTGAAGTGCTAAATCCAACTTCAACTTTACAACCAAATAATGCTTCATATTTATCATTGGATAAAAAAATAATATTTTTCAATTTTTGTCTAATTCCACATAGAAATAATCTGACATCTTTAAACACATATGTTAACACAACGATAAACACTCTAAGAGGTAAAAATAATATATTTACACAAATAATTCTTACTGTATAATATAATAATGATAATTTGTGCCATGTGCTATAAGATAATAGTTATTAATCATTATTGGTATAGTTAGTAAAATTGTCTAATGCATTCTACTCTTCTGTTGTAATTATGTATCAATTTTATACAATGCCTACATGAAATTTGGCATACTATATATTACCTTGTCATTATATAAATTGTATACTATTCCCACTCATTTTTATATTCTATAGAATGCCTAAGTATTTTATAAAATGCCGGACTCAATACTTTGCCAACAACATATATATATATATATATAAAACATAAAATTTTAATTTTTAACATTATTAAATAAGAATATAATATAATAAAAGTACTTAACCTTTTTTTTTCTTTTAATTGCCATTAATTCTTCATGACTTGGAATATTAATGGAAAAATCTGGATGCCATCGTTCAAGATGATTTTCAGAATCTGATTTTTGTTCCTCAGAAACTAATTTAATTAAAGTTATATTGTTAAGTATACAAATAAAATATTAGCTTGTCAATTTTACCATCATGAGATGAACTATTTTCTGACTTTTGAGTAAATTGTGTACGGTTATGACAATGGCGTTCAATAGAATCAACTACAGCTAAAAGAGCATCCATTGATAGTAAATGAGTACTATATATATCATTGAATGGAAAAACATTCTAAAAAAAAATTTATTTTTTAAATTATATATTATTTGATAAGTGTAAAATTGAATTGTGCTTTAACTTACTTTAGATAACAGTTTAGTGATATCATCATATAGATCTGAACAATACAATCCACAATCATAATTTAAATAAAGTTCAGTAACTAGACCTGGGATTTTCCATAGTTGAACAAGACATTCTAGAGGTACAAAAAATAAAAACAAAATGTTTTGATAGTAATTTAATTTTATTATTATGCAACATACTTAATGCCATTTCTTTTTTGCCATATGGAATCTTTGAGTTTTCATTAACAACTATGTTGATCAAATTGGTCATATAATATTCTAATTGAAATTTTAAATGTTGACGCATAGATTCAAACACCAAGAAAGCAAGTCTTAGACTAGAACTGAATATGGGCATTTTTTCATAAGACAACAGCTAATCATAAATAAAATCCATAATAAGTATAAAACATAGTTTTCTTCTCAATTCAATATACATACAGAAAGTATATTACGACAAAGTTGATCTTTTATTATGGAATGCATGTTAATATGACATTTAATGGCATATGCTCCAACTTCAAAAGCAATCACTAAGAGATTGAGCCCTACACCAATCATTACTTCAGAGTTTTGCTGGTCATGTGGATCACAAGCATCAACTAAAAACTTAATAAGCTCTAAGACACAGCCACTATTATATGGAACTTCTAAAATTACAATATAAAATATAATATATAATTGCATCTTAAACAATATAAAAATATAAACGACAATGGGTGTAGATCATAAAATCCTAATTGGAGTAATACACTTACTTGTGTAAGGTATAGTTATTTGGGTAGTAAATCTTACACCTTGACCATTTATATACTCTTTTTTATTCTCGTCAACTGCATTTTTAGTCAAATCTGTTTCATTTTCTTTTAAAAAATAAACAAGTTGTAAGCAAAAATTAAATTAAAGAATAATAACAATTTGTTTTTAATAGTTTACCAATATTTAATAATGGCAGTTCTTCAGTTGGTAGTTCACTATTATCTGAAATATGTTTTTCATTTTCTACATCTGGTACTGTTCTTTCCGCAAGGTCATTTACATCACACTAGTCAAAAGAAAATAATTTTTGTATTAAATATGATTAATAATGATATTTATTTACTTGAGATATAGTATTAGGCATTGTATCCATTGCAGGTAATGGGGATTCATCATTTGAAACTATATTTCTTGTATCTTCTACATTGTCATTACAATTACTAAGAGGATCACCATAATTCTTCATATTAAGACCTAATCTCTGAAAAAATTTAACAAAAATTTTTTTGTTTTCATAAACTATTTATTAATAAAGTAATATTTTAAAATCGATCCAACTAACTTCTGAAGAATTTCCTTGTTCTTTACTTAATGTGACTAATCTTGAAAAAAGAAGCTGTATAATATCTTTCAAGCAATGCTCAGCATAAGATCGCACAAATTCTATAGAAATAAAACACTTATATGAAATAATATTAATTGAGCACAATTTTCAACATACCACTAAGTCTAACTTCAAAACAAAAACGAAAACAGCTCATCATTATTTCACAAACACTTTCATTTGGAAGATATTCTCCTTCAGGAGACATCATCAAGCAATATAAAACTTGTAATGTTTTCATTAATACTATAGCATCACTTGTTTTTTCAGTTCCCAAAAATCTAGTGTGAGTAATAGCATCTGCAATATTTTCTACAGTTGAAAGTAACTTAGATTCAGGAACACCTAAAAATAATTTATATTAAAATCAAGGTTACTAAAATAATAAAATGTGATATAATTACATTTTTTTATAAGTCCATAGTTAATAAACTTATAAATTGAAATTAATGCTAAACTTGTTACTGGGCCAGTTATTTCTTCACAACGAATCACATCCAAAAATGGTTCTAAACATAAATGAGCAATATTTATTTTAAATATAAATAATATTTAATACCTATTCAATGTAAATTAATAAATTACCCATAACATGGTCAAAATTGAGAGACATTAAGTCTTCTACTTGATTAACAGCATCTCGTAGTTTGAACAATCTTTTACAAGGAGAATATCTTTCTTCATCCTGAAGTATAAATTCATATTTAAATATACATAGTCCTTATTTCACATTATTATATAATATTTTGCAATTTCATGAATGCATTTTATAAATTCATTATTAACAGATTCAAATAAGTTTGAATAATTTAAGTTATGTTCTAATCATCAAAAAGAAAAAAAAAATTGACTTGTCATAAAAATTAATGATAAATGAAAAAAATAAAAATAAAATTTGTTTAGAATGTATAATATTTTTTAATATAATCAAAATCATGTTTTAAACTAAAATGATTTCTTAATTTACTTGGTATGAGTTGTAATCCCTTTTCAATGAGGATATTAATGTTGATAACTCTCCCTGCACAACATACAGCCCATTTGCTGCATACATCTTAAAATTAAAAATTAAAATTAAACTGATTTTTTTTTTACTATTTTAAAATAAGCAATTACTTTTAATCCAAAAATGGTATCTTTTAAAGTCAGAAATAAATTTAAATGTTCACATTACAATATTAATTCAAATAGTTTAATTTTTATGTAATAGTAAAATGTGTTTCTTAAGAGATGAAAAAGTTAATTTCTAATAAAACATACTTGAGAATTATTTTATTTTTTTGTTCATTTTAAAATTTTAACTATTAAGCCAATTTGAGTGATAAATAAGTACTATTAATCGAAAATTAAATAATCTTTTAATTTAGAATAAAAATGTATTAACATTTGTAACTGATAACACGTCAATAATGATAACACGTATTATAAATTCTGGAAGTTTCACCGTTTACATTACGTGTTTTTTCTCCTTGGCGAAAACATATTTTATTTCTTGTAATTACTCATTTTTATCAACAACTAAAGTTCAATCACATACTACATAATACAAAATATTATTTTTATTATAAAAAAATAATAACAATAAGGTGTATCAACTTTCTCATTGTTGACCGTTTTAATTTGTAGACTGTAGTTATTCCTCATGGTCCGTTAATAATAATTATTGAGTTATTAATCATCGAATAGTTTGTGCAAATTATAATCATTTATGTTTTATTAAAATTTTATTCAGAATTTTATATTATCAATTCTATCTGTGCAGAGTTTAAAGAGAGTTTCATATTCTGCTTGTAGTTTTCCGTTAATCTTTGGTAAGTACCTGTGTATTAAAAAAAATAGTAATACAGTCGAAACACTATTAACAAAAGTTTCTACTTAGCGATTTTTATGTAACATAGACATTTTCATTGTTATTTTCATTTAATAAAAAAATTTTCTATCAAACGAAAAAAAAATTAACCAATTTATTTTATATTATTATTCTATGATACATGTTATACTTAAGTTATTTATAGAATAGATACACTCTTATATTAATCTTAGGTAAAGTAATAAACGAGCTACAGTATGAACACACAACATAATGTATATTTAATATAAATGTATTGTTTATTGCTGTACAATATTGTAATTTAAGGTATCATTATTTGAATTTATTCTGCTCAGTACAATTTAGTTCATAAGATAAACACATTTTATTTTATTTTTAACCATTTTTTTCTAAAGAACCAAGAAGTATTTTAAATAGAAGTTTGACTGAATTTGTAAACTGTCATAAGCTTATAAGTACATATTAAATATCTGGTATTGTGGGTGCCATACTTATTAGAAGAAAAATAAAACCAAATTATAGGTCCTAGTTCATACCAAAAACTAGAAAACATATACAAGAAATATTTAAATATCAGGAAAGTGTAGTTATTATTTATACTTTATATATAAAGCTGTAAGTTCATTTTTGTGTAAACTCTATAACTATTCAATTTTGATATGATTTTTTTTTATGTATTATGACACCCCATTACCACTCTATCTGCCACCCACGATTAAAGATAAGATCTTAAATTATCTTTAATCTTGCTGCCACCTAAACATTTTTCACCGGTGGAAATCCATCACTACTTAAAATTATGTCCTCTTATAAAGTCCCTAGATTGGACCTAATCACAGTGGAAATTGTCCATCAACTACTAAAAAAAAACGTGATTCACCTTACCCATATTTTAAATTCTATATTAAGGCTCTCATACATTCCTGTGCAATGGAAAATGTCTGTTATAATTTTAATTCCTAAACCTAATAAGGCACCAGACACCATCTTCATATTGCCTTATAAGTCTCCTGTCTTAATAATATTAATAATAATAAGTTTATTTTGCTAATATATCATATAACAAAGTAAAATAGTGCAATATAATATAATAAAGTTAATATTGACTCAAAAGCTAAAAGCTTGTGCTAAGTGAGAGTTTCTTATAGCATTATAATATTAATGTTATAATATTAATTTAATTTATAACACAACAATGTGTATTTGTAAAAGTACTCTGAGAAGTTACAGTCTTATAAAATTTAATAGAATTAAGATAAAAATGACACTTATTTCTAATATTATAATTATGCTCTATGGCAGGGGTCGGCAATAGGCGGCCCGCGGGCCATGTCCGGCCCGCGGAAGGGAAATAACTGGACCGCCAAAAATTATCTTAATTTTCCCATATATCCTATGTATCACTCCCCCTCCGTTCATAACAAAAATTAAACCAATATTGAAATCGATTTCATTAGGCGGTGAGACAATAATAACGGTTTATAATTATCTGTATTCTGTGTTGTTGTTGAACGTGCCACAGTCACGGCTGCGGGCCGAGTCGCTTGCATTCGCGCGCGCGCGCATGTGTGTGTGTGTGTGTAAAATACAATATTCAGAGGCGATCTATTTTTATGATTTATTAGGAAATTACGATAGCGTTCATCGTATACCGCTGTTTATAATAATAGTCACGATAACAGAACACCATACATTGAACCTACTTCTTGAAACACAAATATTATTTAGTTCAATTTACGCGTTGCGTTTGTCGTTCGTCGTTCGTCAAGAAATTATTATAAATATTCGTATTCGTAGTCCGTCGCGTCTGTAGTGTTAAAACTTATTAATTTATAAATATTATTCGTGTATAATCGAGTATGTTTTCCAAAAAACGTAAAGTTGACAATGAAAACAGAAAGTTTCTGGCTGAGTGGACCGAACAATATTGTTTTACACTTCCAGTAAGAGCTGGAGCCGTTCCAGTTTGTCTTATATGTAACAGTACAGTTGCTGTCGTTAAATGTGCTAATTTAAAGCGTCATTATGATACAATGCATAAAGATTTTGAAAAAAAATTTCCTCTTAACAGTGCAGCGCGTAAAAATAAGCTCCAAGCGTATCTCTTGTCTTATAAAAATAGTACGACTATGTTAGTACAAAGTATGACTGGGCAAGAAAAGTCAGTAGAAGCAGCATTGCGTGTTTGCTGGACGTTAAATAAACACCAAAAACCATTTACAGACTCAGAAATTGTAAAAGAGTGTATGTTGGAAGTAGCCACTGCACTTTTTGAAGAAAAAAAGGACATAATTAATGCTATTCAAAGTATTCCTCTATCAGCAAGAAGCAATACAAGAAGAACAGAACTATTGGCCGATGACAACAAAAATAATTTAATTCACATTTTACAGATGGCTCCTTGCTACGCTATTGCAATTGATGAGTCATGTGATATTGTTGATTCTGAGCAAATTTCAATTTTTGTGCGCTTTTTAGACGTTGAAAGTAGAGTATTTAGAGACGAGTTGCTAGCATTATTGCCATTGAAATGCAAGACTCGTGGGGAAGATTTGTTTAAAACTTTTGACGACTTCATGACTAAATCAAATATTAGTTATGATAAAATTGTGTCTGTTTCAACTGATGGCGCACCGGCAATGATTGGTAAAGAAAAGGGATTTGTTAAGAGAATCAAGGATAAGAATGCTGAAATACTTTCATATCAATGTATAATTCATCAAACATCCCTGTGTGGCAAACTTAGTACAACACTGAAGGAAGTAATGGACATAATGATCAAGTTGATTAATTTTTTGAGGTCCCGATCTGCTCTTCAGCACAGGCAGTTTAAAGATTTTTTATTTGAATGTGATTCAGTGTATTCGGATTTACTTCAATATAACAATGTCCGTTGGTTAAGTAAAGGCAAAGTGATCGAACGTTTTTGGAGTATAAAAGAAGAAGTTATCACGTTCTTGGTAAACTTGGATTCAGTAGAATCAAAGCAGTATCATAAATTCTTAACAAATGAGAGCAATATGCTATCTGTGGCGTTTTTAAAAGACATTCTTGGATATTTAAATGTACTTAATACTGAGTTACAAGGGCAAAAAAAGTTAATTTGTGATCTGATATCAAGTGTATCTGCTTTCCGACGAAAACTTGAAATCTTTGAAGAAGATATAAAAAATCAAGATTTTATTCATTTTCCAACAATCCTAGAATATAAAAAGACTCCCGACATAGACTGCAGTATGTTTTTAAGTTTTTTGTAAGACCTTGGTGAAGAATTTCGTAAGAGATTCAAAGACTTTGCAGAAATTGGAAAACTGTCTCAATTTTTAAAAAATCCGTTTGAAGTTTCTCCGACTGGAGAATGGATTGACGTTGCTACAAAATTATTTAAACTTCCAAAATCTTCACTTCAAATTGAAATTATTGATTTGCAAGAAGATATCTCATTGCAAATGTATAAAACTTCGTCCACTGAAGATTTTTGGATAAAGCATGTCTTGGATAAATACATGAACTGTAAAACCCTTGCCATAAAATTAGCTACTATGTTTGGCTCCACTTATGTATGTGAAACTTCGTTTTCAAAAATGACGTTTTTAAAAAACCGATACCGTTCAAGATTAACAGATCACCACCTTGAAAACACTTTACGCATCAGTTGTTCTCCAAGAGTACCAGATTTTAAAAAACTAGCTCAAGAAAAGAAATGTCATTTTTCTCATTAATACAATTTTGTTATTATTAGTATGAATGTATAATTACTTTATAAATAATTAAATACTTTGTCTTAAAATGTATTTTTAATACAAAAATAAATACATTAATGATAAAATTAAGTTTAAGATTTTTTTGGCCCTCGAAATTTTTTTTTTTTAAATATTTGGACCGCCATATAAATTAATTGCCGACCCCTGCTCTATGGTATTCAAACAATGTCTGTATTTATATATAAGTAAAAGCAAAGATTTATAATATAATATTGATATACATTGTTCATTAAAGTCAATATATAACTGATTTGTGGTATATAAAAAAGGCTTTGAGATAATAACTTTTATTAAACTATTAATAGTTGTATTTAAATGAGTCAAATAATCTTTGTAGGTACCACCCCAAAAGAACAATCCACAGTAAACTAAGGATTGAACTAAAGACATATAGGTATATATATATAATTCTCAAATGTTTAATGTCTAAAACATATTTTAAACTTTTAAGGTTATAAAATAATTTCCTAATAATATTAACCAACTTATCTATATTATAATTTTATTTAAGTTTTTCATAAAATATTAAACCTAAATATTTAATATGATTCACTCTTTGACCTTGTTGATTATTACTGGATACAATTTTATTTTTACCATTTAAGGAATGTGGACAAATGACAAGACTATGTAAGGTAATTGAATAAGGTTTAACATTAAATAATATATAATTAGACCTTTTAAGATGTAACTTTAAAAAATTATTATTATACCAATTCTGAACACTATCTAATGAAAGATTAACATAATCAAATAAGACTTCAATACTTTTGTTATTAAAAAGCATAACTGTATCATCAGCAAAACTATAAATATCACCTTTTATAGAAATATTAAGAAAGTCATTAACATAAATATTGAAGAGTAAATAACTTAATACAGAACCCTGTGGAATGCCAATCGAAATATTATTTACATTACTATATTCACCATTAACCCTTACTATTTGAGTTCTATCTCTTAGGTATGACTTGATCAATTTTTAAATATTTCCTTTTATCCCAGCATAGTGTAACTTTCTAAATAATATATCTAGATTTTTAGCATCAAATGTTTTTTTTATATCAAGGAACACACCTATTACTTAATTACTTTTATGAATATTATCATAAATATGAAATAGTGTCATTAGTGGACATTTCCTCCCTAAAACCAAATTGCCTACAAGAAAAATATGTATGTTTATTTAAAAATTATTCAATTTGGCTTTAATACATTTTTGATTTATAATTCTCAGGTAAGCATTTATCATCAGATTTAAATAATGGAATAACCACTGCTCTTTTGAAAGAATGAGGAAATATACCTAATTCAATTACTTTATTAAATATAATTGCTAAAGATTTAGAAGTTGATATAGGTGTCATTTTTAATACCTTATTTGATAAGTTACATAAGATAGAAGTAAAATATATACTTTCATATACATAACACCCCTTATTTAAATCCTAAAAATTATCATTAAAATATTAGGAATAATTTTATTATCTTGATAAAATATAATATATAATAAAATATTATCTTTGATATCTTTATACCTACATTGTTTATTAATGATTGTAATGTAGTTTTAGAATTATTTAATGAGTTATTAGTTATATATTTAATTTTTTCACAAAGTTTTTTATCATTGCCTTTATTATTATTTATTTTATTATGTTAATACATATTTTTAGCTTTCTTAATCAAAATGTTAAGTAAATTTCTAAATTTATTATACTTAAAAATTAATGTAATATTATTTGGATTTTTAATTTTTTGACCATACATTTTTTCTCTGTGTCTGATAAAAACAATGATTCCATTTATAATCCATGGTTTTAATTAAAGTTATTAGAATGAAATATTCTACCTTTTTTTTTTTTTTAGCAGAATTAGTTTTACATAAATCAATCTTGTTCATTAAATTAGTAATATCATTATTAATATTATTACTGTTATATATAATACCTCAATTTAAATTATTAATACTTTAATTTATCAAAATCAATAACTGGTAAAACTTTATTAGTATTATTACAATAACTATACTGAAAAGTATTAACATTTAAATTAATAGTTAAGATTATACTAAAATTTTCTGTAATTGAAGAAAGAAAAACATATGAATGAATATTAATTGGTAAAATTATTTTAACGAAAAAATGATCTATGTACAAAGCAGAAGTATTAGATTGTTCAGTTACATTATTAATGCAAAAATAAAAACTAAAACCAGCAAAAATATTCAAATAATCAATAACTTTAAGATTTTTTTCTTTTTAAGATATCAATATTAAAATCACCACAAATAATATGATTTTTAAAATCAGAACTTAGTGTCAAATAACTATTTAAAGATAAAAAAGCATTAATATTATCATAAGGGGATCTATAACATCCACTAACAATATACTCTATATCATTAATATAAAGGTTTACTTCGATTGAATAAACATTAGACACGAGATAAGTACTAACATTTTTAACTTGATAGCTATTCTTAATGAAAAAAAAGTAACACCATCAGACTTATTATATACACCAAGAGAATTAAAAAATTGATAACCATGAATATCAAAATTAACCACTGAAGTACTTAATAATACCAGCGATTCATCAAAATGGTACTTATATTAATAGCAAATATAGAAAATTGAATTTTGAATTGAAATTTTCGATTCTCTTTCCATAATTCCTTTATTTCATTAAGTAATCTGGAAACGGTGTTATTGAATTCATCAAATTTACGGAATCGGCTTTATTTGCTAAACAAACAGAAAAATTAATTTTAAAGCGCATATATCAATTAATGTAAATCAAATAATCCCAAACACTCAATTTGGATTCAGAAATAGGCATTCTACGATACACCAAATTAACAGGATAGTTGACTCCATATCATACTCCCTCGAAATGAAAAAAATATTGCTCTGCCGTTTCACTAGATGTTGCTCAAGCATTTGATCGGGTCTGGCATCCGAGCCTTCTTTATAAATTGAAAAAAATTCTTCCTAATTATTATTATTATTATTATTCTATATCTTACTTTCTATTTTTCAAATCCTACCTCACAAACCATTTCTTTGTAAAAAAAGTAAGCATCGAATTGTCATCAATCGCCGCCCCCATCCTTGCTGGTGTCCTCTAAGAAGCCATCACCTTTCCTTTGCTATATAATTTATATATAGCTGACCAACCACCAACGTTGATCTGCAATTAATTTTGTTCCATTTTCGATTACATACATGTTTTTGTATGCCCGATGCACGAGATTATTTTTATTGACTAAGTTCTCGGAACAATTGATATCTACATGCAGATATCAAACACATAATTTGACGGATAAAAAGGTCAGATTTCAGGTAGCCGGAAACTCATGGAATGCCGCACCTAATAGATATACAATTTACATGTTTATTTTAATTATTAATAATTAATTATTTACTAACTTCAAAGGACTAAATTTTCTATGACATTTGGGCGATCATAAAGAACACATAAAAAAAAATCCTATCAAAATTGAGCCGATAGTTTTCGAGCTTACTTTACACAAAAAATGTGTTTACAAATTTAAATTATAACGTATTTATGGTATTGTTTTCTTTTTTTATCTATTAGTTGTTAATTTATTATACTAGTTTTTAAAAAAAATAAATAAATGATTTTATTAGTTTTTAGTTATCATCTGTAGACTGTTTTAATTAAAATAATATTTACAGGTAATTTTAAAAGTCCAAAAAACAACTCAAAAGTAAATCTTATTTTAATTTATGGGTTCACTTTCTAGCAAAAAAATATCTTCTCCGACTCAAATAATGGCTGCTACCCAATTTGTAAATGATGCAATTGCCCATGATAATATTGTCATATTCTCCAAAACATACTGTAGCTATTGTCGGGCGGCTAAAGAAGTAAAAATACAATTTTACATTTAATTTTGTGGCCAACTGATTTTTACTTTAAATTATTTAATAGTGTTTTGATAAGCTGAAAGTTTCTTACAAATCTATCGAATTAGATAACAGAAATGACATGGATGATGTTCAAGATGCTTTGGAAAAGTTAACTGGTGCTCGTTCGGTAAATTTATGATCATCATAGATATATTTTAAGTCTTATTTTATGATTTATTTGCTTATTATTTAGGTGCCACGTGTTTTTATAAATGGTGTATTTATTGGTGGTGGTACTGAAGTGAAAAATATGTTCAAAAACGGCAAGTTAAAAGAACTCATCTAAAAATTAACCTTTTTTAAAGCAATTATGTAATTGAAATATACTTTACTTTTATGAATATTATTATGTTTAAAAAATTTTAATGTCATGAAAATATTAATTTTTTATTTTTTATTGTTTATTAATTATTTATTACTATTATTGTAGATAATAATTACCTATAAAATGTACAATATTTAGATTGATTGGACCATTAATCAATGAGTAATTTCAATATTCTATTAATGTCGTCTACCAATTTTGTAGCAAAAAAAAAAAAATTATATTTAGTATTTTAGTCTGTGAATCAAAATAAAAGTGATGGTAAGAAATAGCAGTAGCAGTTATAATAGCATATGTAACTGTAATAAAATAGCAGATTACCATCACTACAGAATAATACTTATCTGTAAAATCCTTCTGATATCAATAAAATGTACTCTGAAAACTGCTATACGAGATATGACAATAAAGTAACGAGATTTTTCTAATGAAATAATTTATTTTTACAACGTTAAAATTTAATGATTATCACCTCCTTCAGCAATTATAATTTATTCAAAATAAGATCGTACCCCGATAAAGCGATATCACACGAAATAGTCAGCGTCAAAACCGGCAACATTTTAACACGATTTAACACAATACAGTGAATTGTGAACCCAAGTTATCGTAGTTCTTTTTTGCGCTTAATTTGACGCGGCACCACGCCTACGTCTTTGCCGTGCAATTAAAATATAATAAATATGATGATCCAAGACTCGTACGTTGTTTTCGGTTCGGTCAGGGTGTAGCGGGAGGATTTCCTTTATAACAATAACAAAAATATAACTTAATTTTTTTTATTTATACAGCTTATTTATGTAGCTGTATATTACAGTATCTCTCAATTTGGTTTTAGGGCTAGACACTCAACCATAGATCAAATACATAGGTTAACAGATCTAATTTCATCATCATTTGAAAAAAAATCAATATTGTCCTAGAGCAGTGGTGGCCAAACTACGGCCCGCGGGCTAACTCCGGCCCGCCATCATTTAATATCTGGCCCACGAAAGTCTTCTATATTACAGCACTTATTTGTATAACTGTAATATTTTGCATTTACGTAAAAAAAAATTTAGAATGCATTTTTTTATGGCCCGCGATAAAAAAAAAGTTGTTTTTTATGGCCCGAGGAAAAAAAAGTTTGGCCACCACTGTCCTAGAGTATTCCTCGTATTGCAGGCATTTTACCAAGTATGGCATAAAGGCCTTCTCTATAAACTAAAACAATTCTAACCAGCTCCTCACTTCTTACTAATCAAATCTTATCTTGAAAACCGAACCTTTGTTGTTCGGCAGTATAATTCCTTCTCCTCCTATCATCGTATTCAAGCTGGAATGCCTCAAGGCAGCGACCTCTCACCTGACTTATTCAATATATATACTGCCGATATGCCAAACTCAACAAACACAACCATGGCCTCATATGCGGATGACACATTAATACTCTCTCCAGGGAATGACACAGCGCAATCTTCCATCTTTTTACAAAATCACCTCAACTTAATTGAAAATTGGGCAACCAAATGGCGTATCAAAATAAACCCTGAGAAATCGGTTCACGTAAATATGACACCCAAAAAGACCGAATGCCCTCCACTATATTTTCAGGGATCACTTATCCCAAATTCGACAGAAGTCAAGTATCTTGGAATTACCCTTGACAAGATACTAACCTGGGGTCCTCATTTAAAATCTAAAAGAAAAAAATTAAACAGCCGACTACATCTCCTACGACCAATACTTAAATCCAAATTATCCCTACACACAAAAAATATTTATAAATCACTCTTAAGACCCATGTGGGCTTATGCCATTCATATTTGGGGTTGTGCAAAACTCTCGCAAGTCCACAATATACAGGCTTTCCAATCCATAACACTTCTACTCGTCACCTCTGCATCCTGGTACATATCCAATTCAATAACTGCATAACGATCTAAACATTAAAACAGTCAGTCAGTTAGCTTCAAAATAATACTCTAGATTCCACTCTAAATTATCTACACATCCAAACCCAAAAATCTCATCACTCTCATGCAAAACTCTTCCTGAAAACCCTATACGTCGGTTGAAATGAAAATAGTGTAGAGATTTACTCAAATAAATCCCCAATAAAATAATTCACGTTAAGTTCTATCAATGGATGGTCTCCCTCCTCATATTAATTATGGCTCATCTGTAAATTATCATCATATTTATTTATTGTGCGCACTAGCATAGATTTTTTATTTAAAAAAAAAATATTACAATATAATAATAATTTAAATAATTGCAAGTGGGCGCTCTCACACTTATTGCAATAAAAATAATTCAGCTTATAATGAATAAAATATATCACAGTAAAATTACAATTAAAATAATAAAAATAAGGGAGGTACAGGATTCTATCCATGTGACAGTGGATAACTTTCAACTCGTGCGACAGAAACTTAAGTATACTGACGACCGGAAATATTGGAGACTCCATCAAATAGGGATAGATTCCGGACTTAAACCTCGAGGTCAGTGGTGAATCACAAAAAAAAAACTAAAAAATACAATTCAACGAACGGGATTCACTCGAAGACAACACCGCCGAACTCAAGAATGTTCTAGACAGTCCCGGAAAATATATCAGACTGGTTCCGGGCACTCCGAGATTAATAGTTGTGGGTGTCAAACAGTATTATAATATTTGGAGCAAAACCAAAAAAAAATTGTATAAGATAATTTTAAATATGTTGTATGGTGCAACTATCACAAAATATGCAACAGGTCCGTTTACATTATTTGGTGTAGTACATTATTACATTCTTTCAGTATTTTTATATAAAAATATACTTCACAAGTCACATATTAAAGATTAAACATCAAAACATATAAATAAAGTAAAATGGTATAAATAATTACATAGTAAGTATACTAATCAGATTTTTTTTTTTTATATCAATTTATTGAAATTATTTTGCATATATAATTTTGATTAATAAATACAATCACCATTTCTATGGCAGAATTTTAACAGATAAAAATCAATAAATCAAGCACACATCAATAAAAGTTTAAATAAATAATATAAATTAATTGAATCCAAAATTATAATGATGAATAATAATAAAAATGATATAAACTGAAATATTAATTTTTTTTTTTTTTTTTAATATCAACACAATAGAATTCTTAGAATAAAAAATAATATGGTTGTAATCTTAAATAATAAGATTTTCCAACACATTTTTCTGCTCCTCATCAACATAAATGTCCTCAGTTGATTTAATTTCTTCAGAAACCAAAATCTCATTTGTATCGTTAGAACATATAGTATCAACCATAATCATGTTTTCATCAATCACTATCTTATTTTCATCAACCACAGTCTTATTTTCATCAACTACAGTCTTATTTTCATCAACAACAATCTTATTTTCATTATTAATTTCTTTGATCATCATTTTATTTTCATCAACTATAATTGACACAATCTCATTTTCATTGATCGTCATTGGCTCAATCTGGTTTTCATCTTTTGTATTCTCATTTTCTTCAACAGCAATCTGATTTTCATCTTTTTGGGTCTCATTTTCATCAACCACAATCTGATTTTCATCAAACACAACACCATCTTCGTCATCAGATTCTGGGCCACTGGATTTTTCATGTTCTTCCATGTGTTTTTTCAATGTCACTTTACGTGAGAATACTTTACTACAATATTCACATATGTAACGCATATCTTCAACACTAAAAGAAATTTAAAAAATAATTAATTAAGATGTACTTCAATAAATAGTGAATTAATAAAAATTGAAGTATAACCTTTTAGGAGTTGGTAAGGGCTTGTTAAATGATTTTGGGTTGCATCCTTTCAAATGATCTTTACAGGCATCTTCGCTTAACAAAAATTTTAAACACATCTTACAAACCCAAGCAGTTTTATACTCATTAGGCGAGCCATCGTATCTCACCATTGTTCTAGGGCAATAACCTTTAGGCTGTTGTTGATTAATCACAACTCTTGGTTTTCTTCGTTTACGTGATTTGCAATTAACAAATGGATTTTTCAACATTTTTAGAATACAATAAATCTAAAAACAGATATCCAATTAATATACACATATTTAATAATATATAACAATATTTAAATTTATAAGTAATAAAAAATTGGTGCTCATATAACTAATTGATTAACATTTTACATTTTATCTTTTAACCATGTCTTACAGACATTCTCTAATATTAAATTTTTTTAAAAAATTATAGTAACATATTGTATTAAGTACAAAAAAGAAAACAAACAATACATTTTTGATGAATGAATTAAATTGCTTTTATAATATATATAAGACTTAAAAAGTGTGGCAAATATTTTATTTACAAGAAATTAATATAATATGTAGTAATACATTAAAACTCCATTTGAGGTGAGAGGTAATTTATATTATATAATGATTAATATCCTAAGGATACTCAATAGATGCATATTTATTAATAATGATACAATACTTTTTTAAGTATTTAGGTTTTAAGATGAATTACTATAAGTACAAATAATGATTATGCAAAGGAGATTAAAAAAAATTAGAATTAGGTAAATATGTATTTATTTAATTGCTATCAAAAATAATATTTTTAAAATAAGATAATATAATTAATTTGAAAAAAAAAGTTAGACCCCATCTAAATAAATATTTACGGTGCACATCAGTCGTAGTCAAGAAATTAAGAACAATATATTAAACAATCAAAATTATGAAAAATGTAAAATAAATAACATTATACCACTATCATAACACTCTACACAAGTAAAAAACTTGTGTGAAAAATCCAAGACGTAATAGATGAAATAAATTGAGACACGGGAAATAGACTCAGAGAGGCTTGAACAAGATACAGTGTGAGTACCAAGCTGTTGTACCTAGACAACAAATGTACGGAACTGAAAACAGAAACAGTACATTTGTTCGGCAGAAAAAATAAATTGACAACTAATAACATGAGATTAAACTGGATATGGGGCAAAAACATCGGAAATCAAGTTATGAAAGTTATGAAAATAGACGCTGCAAGAGTACTAAACAATCTTATTGCAGTAAATACTTACTTCAATTCAATGAGGAAACGGTCAAATGACTGAACTGCGGACTGCACCGTTGATTTAATCAGAAAAGAGGTTTGGAACACAATAGGAATACAGGTTGTTCAACTAATTAACGAACAAATTAATAAAACGTGAATTGAGTATGTACTAACAAGTAATCGACTACCAGCGGGCTACAACAGCTGTGCTTTCATCGGACTGTTAAAATGTTTTTTTGCAGCTTCGTTAATATCACTGAATTCACAACAAATTTTAAATGTATTCCAATAAATCGATAAACGTTTGCACGAGGTTTTTCCCTTAGAACTGTAAGAAACATCGATTTTACTTTTATAATTTAAAAAATCGATCTTCACCATTGTCAATATACTTCGCATGTTATCACCACTATAGTAAAACCACAGATTATAATAATAAATATCTAATCAAAATAAGTATTTTCGAAATGGTCATTCTGTACATATCTTAAACATGGTATTAATTATATACAAATAAATTTTGAAAACATTATACAATAGTATATTTACGGGCAATTTACCGTCGATCATAAGGTATCACTGGTAACCCGCCTATTCTGCCGATCATTGTTGTCATCGTCGTCGTCGAACTTTTAAATATTAACCCAACAGCAACCGTAATCGTGGTTCATTTAGTTTTTACATTTAATGTTTTTTCGTTTTTAATTCGCCTAATATTGTCACCGTTAAAAGCTGAACCATGAAAACTGTTTCAGAAAATGCCAACAGAAACGTTTCTGACAAGGTAAATATAACAAATATATTAACATTGGTGAATGAGGTATTACAGAAATATCATGACTTGTTTCAGACTTCCAACAAGAAGAGTACGAGAAAATTTTTGCAAACCCTACAGCCATCTGGCAGTGGTAAAGAAAATCTAGTTGGGACGGGTAGATTTGCTGAAAAGAAGTATTTATTTATTTTTAGATTTATTCTTAATTCGTTTTGATAATTCATGTGTGTCGTATTAGTACTGATAAGATATCAAAGTCACCAGTTAAAACTGAAATAGAAGTGAATTCAAAGGATAACAAATCTGTAATTGCAAAAGTGAATCCATCGCTCTATAAAAAGTTAATTATTGACGATCTCACTAGTGTTGGTATGTATTAATGTTTTCAATTATTATAATTTTTTTTATTTCTTTATTTATATAGCTTTAGTACTATTAAAGCACTTCTATTAAATAACATACAATTAGGCAAATAATATTACAAAATAACTTTTTATGAGATTAACTTGTTTGTACAATAACAAAATATATAGATATAATATAAGGAACAATTGATGGATAATGAGTTAAATATTAACTATATGGATTAACTTTTGTGTAAAACCTTGGTTAAAAGAAACATTAATGGACCAATAACTTAATTTAAATTAGAAATTAATTATGGTTCCATATTTGACACAATGGCTAGTGGAGCACTAACGGCTTCAACATTAGATTTAAGCTGAGGCTGAGCATAAACTTTTTGAACTTTGTTTAACAGAGCCTTAACCTTTGCAGTCCGGGAAGGCCCATTTTTGAAGTTTTGGTTTTTTTTATTTTATTTATGTAATATTTATTTGCACTGTTTAGACTGATTTCGCACAATTTTGAAGGTGCCTTAAGAAATGTTTTATGGATTTAATTTTTGTTGAAGCAGGATGATGCTTTCTTATTGTGAGACAATTTGAAATGTTAGTAAGACAGACAACCTTTAAAATTGATGGTGTTAGCACTGAAATATTGAGTGAACTTAGTAGTTCATGCTGCTTAATTTAATCTATGGTGAAATGATCCTGGCAATATTTAATGCAGCAAAAGATGTATAAACAATACTTTAACATGTGCCCGTATGACTGGTATCGTTTGCATTGTCTGTGAAGTCAAGGTTTTTTTGGTCTCAATCTTTAGATGATGACTTTACAATGCAATAGTTATGTCAATTGAAATATATTCCTATTGGATTCGAGTTTATCAAGTTTAGTAGTAAAAGTAATACTGGCTGGTTGTTGGTTCTATTAAAAATATTACTAATACTAAAAATAAATAAACCCAGTTCTGTTAAGAGACTTTTAAATTTCTTTTAAGGGAATTGAATCATGCCCAATATCTGAGATAATTCAAAATTTGCTTGGAGTTGTAATTTTTAAAAAACTTTTTATGACGATAAGGTGAATTCATCTGATCCCACGATAAGGGTAAGATAACTTTTTAAACCATTTAAGTTGAAAATAATTTTGATATTGGACGTGACTTACAAGTGTTATTTGGAGATGGTTTCATTGGCGATATGTGATTGATTGCGACCTCACCTTGGTTGGTAGTTAGAATTGTAATTGGAGGAGAGCTAAAGACTCCAGTAGGTGAGGCTAAATCCTCTAAGAGTGTGGCATATGTGTTTGGAAAGAAAAGATTTTGGATTTTTTGTTGTCAGCTCCGGAAGACAAGGATAAAGATAAATTTTGTTTCTATTGCGTATTACTAAGAAACATATTTGATTTTCATATTAATATAAAAACACTCACTTTTAATAAGCAATTAATATTGAAAGATAGGCATGGCAATTGAAATGGCATTAATGAGAGCAAAGCGTGTGTAAGAAGCCACATTGACACAACACCAGTTTTTAATAATAATGGCTAATAATAATATGATATTGATAAATCAACTAATAACATGATGTATTTTAGCTGGTCCTAGTGAAAAATATTGGGAAGTAATTGCAGAACGTCGTAGAAAAGCTTTGGAAGATGTGTTAGAGCAAAATCGTAGATTACATTCCGTAATTATAGCTTTAGAAGAAGAAAATGCAACATGTAAACATTTGCTTGATCAAACTACTGATCTAGTAAACACATTAAAGGTATTTATGAAATACTATGTAATATATGTGAGATTAATGATTATATACTTTTTTTATTTACTGTTATTCATTAGCCATTAAAAAAATATCTTGCAGAGTAAACTGATGATATTTTATGAATAAATTTCAATTTTTTTTTTTTTTTTTTTTTAATGTAAAAGAATTGATAATAATTCTGCATTTCAATAAGAAAAAATTATATGTTTATATAAATGTATATAACTTATATTATAAAATAATATTAAATTCATTGTATTCTACTTTAGGAAGTTATGAACTCTGAAGAAAATAATGAAACTACTGAAGAAGTTGATGAACATTTTTCAATTGATTCTGAAACATTGAACAGTGATATTGATAATTCTGTCAATGAATCCGAATAGTTGTCATTTAATTTAAATAAATTATTCATTTTTGTTCCTACCAAGTAATAATATTTTTAAATTTAATTATTCAGTTCAACTATTTATATTCATATCCGCTTAAAATTATAAAATTTTTCATCAAAAAATTTATTACTAATAAAGGATAAAATTTTTATCATAAGTTGTTTTAATGCTCGTATTATGAATATATTTTTGACCTATATATTTTATACCTAATATCAAGACTATATTTTTAGATAAGTGTAATTATTATTGATGACAAATTATTATTTTTTCCAGCCAAAAATGTCATGCCATTATTATATATTTTTTTAATTTTTTGTATAAATACTTGTTATATCCTGATACATTAATTAACTTTTTTTTTAATATAATCAGAGATTCTGGGTTTTTCTCATTTCATTTTCCATAGTTAAATTAGTTATTCATTTTAATTTAATAAATTATTTTTAGATGTTCCAACTGGTTGGTCGCGATAAATTTTCTATTTAAAATTTAAAAAATTCATATTCATATATATTATATTATGTATGTCATATAATATTATATAAACGTTTTTTCGAATGAACACTTTTTTCTCATACACTCATACTTAATTAGAAAAAATCCTCAAACCAATATGCAACACATGCCACTAACCAGTAACTGTCAATCACATAGTGGAGGAGTGTACATAATGTACACATTCTTAAGTATCACAAATATTAGTAAATCTTAATTTTATACCTAAATCTCCACCTATATAATATGTCATGTGTTATATTGTTATTTTAAATCTAACACATAATACATCAAATACGTAACATCTAATAGCTAATAATATTTGCTGTTGAAGCCTCAATTTTCAAAGAATGAACAATCAAATGAAATAATAGCTTAGCTTAATCCATAAAACTCATTTACATTTCATACATCTATAAACTGCATCGTGTGAAATTAAGCTGAGATGGAGTTATTTCGTGTGAAAACAGTACGAGACAAATATTGCACTAATTTCTTTAGTGAATTATATACTTTTTTCGGAATTGTGAAAATTTTTTTTTTTTTTTTTTGGTATTATCACTTATAATAAAAATTAAATATTATCTAGATACCTAGAAAAAAATATATATATTAATTTATTCAGTTATAATAGCACTTCTAAAATGGCATACATTGAGAAATTTTAGTTTCTTAATTGGTTTTCATGACTTACGAAGTTGACATATGTCGCTAAAATTGTTTGGTAAGAAAAGCTGGTCGAAAAAGGTTGAAGACCATTTTCTAGAAGATCTTTTTGTAAAATCTTTTATATGTTCCTGGTAAGGTAAATATTAAATTCATTATTATTTGATAAATATTAATTTTAATATTAATATTAATATAAATATTAATAGAAACCCTCTAAACACCCTTTGAAAAACTAATAAATGGAATTGTTATAACCTTATATTAAGAATATATATTATAAAAATTGTGTTTACTTGACATAGAAGTAAAAATATCTGAATTATTTTTAGGTAGGATAAGAAGATTTGATTTTACCAGTTATATTTAAAAAATATTCATATAAAATGGTTAAGTATGTAGTTACATAGCCATGGGTTATAATCCTGAATGTTCTTCCTTAATTTGTAAAATATACAATCATTTTAAGGCATAGATATGTTGTATAACAGGGGTCAGGAATCTGCAGCTCTTTGGAAAATGCATCAATATCGATATTCGTAAAATATAAATTATATTATACGTTATTATAGTGATGATATTTCTGAATTTCTTTATAATGATGTTTATTTCAGACAAAAATAAAATAATATTTAATTTCTAATGACCCCAAAATATTTATTATTAATTTCTATAAACGAAAAGCGTATAACTAAAGAGGAAAATAGAGAATTTAGAAGTGAGTGAACTGACACTTTTGCATCATGGATTAACCATTATGTATCATTTATGACAAAAACTTTGACTAAAAGAATTTCACTGTTTCAATAAAATAAATAATATCAAACTTTATATTTTAACTTATGTTTAATAAACTTATAAAATTAAAAAGTTGGTAATTACATAGGAAAGAATTGAAAATTTAGACTTCCCTCTCAATATTTTTGAATATTAATGTTAAATATCTATTAATTATTGACTATCAATATTTACAATCATAAACTCTATATGAAATTGAAATTTCTTTTATTGTTTAAAATAATTATTTTATGATGTAAATCATTAAAATAAATATGATAAGTGTGAACTAAAAAGATTAGTATAACTGCTCTTAAAAACACAATTTCAAATAATTTATACATGATTAAATCTTATATATTAATACAAAGTTTACATTTTATTACATAATGATTAATACACAAATATTCTTTTAAAATTAAGTATTTATCAGAATAAAAATCATGTTAATAATATTAACTAATTTATTGATCAAATTGTTTCCATATAGTTTTAAATTCATGTCTAAACGGATCAACTATTTGGTATTTATTCGTAAGGAATACATTTTCCCAATTCCTACGGACTGCATTTACAGTCCAATTCATAGATCCTAAAATAACTTTTTTATTATCAATAATAATAAACTTATGGTGCATTAACATTTTTGCATTAAATTGCATAAGTTTAACTCTTTTTGCAATACCCATAGTACCAAATTTCCATGTTGATCTGATATTATCTTCATCTACAATTATCCTCACATGAACTCCACGTTTATGAGCATCAATAATTGCATTTGTGAGCAATTCGCTATTTAACGAGTACATACAAATGTCTAATGTTTTCTTTGTTTCATTGAGCCATCCAATGATTTTATATACATTGCACATCGGACATTCACTGTTTAAATAATTTAAAAGAGTAGTCTTATTACGATGAAAATCACATTGTGATTGGTTTCCATGAAAGAATATCACTTCGGTCTGTTCTTGGTTGTAATAGTCATACCAAAAGTTAGCTAATATTGCACACGCACATGCAAAATTAATCACGAGTTTTGTAGTTGTATTCCTGCAAGTAAAAAAGTTATTTAAACTTATTAGCTGACAATATAACATAACATAATGATATGTGAACAAAATTAAGGTTTGTGATGATAAAGAATAATTTGAGTAAAATAGCTCAATAAAATATTGTAGAATACAATTGAAAAAATACCAAATGTGATTGGAATATTATATTCCAATATTGTATAAATATTTATTCTATATAGTAGTTTTGTTGCTAGAACAATTTTCAATGTCAAATAATTAATATTTAATAACATCAACATTCTAAAACGGGCATAAATAGCTTCTTATATTTCTTTACCATGTGAACAAATAATTATAATACATCATAGCTTCCACGCGATAGACAATTTACACTGTAGTTGTCATTAAAATATAATTATACTTTGTAATATAGAACATTTAAGAAATTTCTAAAATGTAAAATATTAACTGTCAGTATTTTTAAGTTTAACGATCAGAAAACCAAATCATATTATTTTATTTTTAATCTAAAATACCAGTAAATCGGTGAGAAAAACAACAATAACAATATTGATAACAGCTTATCAATTCACAATTCCACGTGAGTATAAATTAATTTTGTGTTATCGATATTACCAAGTATCAACAATTATCTGTTATTTAGTTAAGCGAATATTAAAATGTTGTGTTTCTCTATTACTTGTGAGTTGTCTAAAGCTCTCATGGCTGAAATATTATACTAGAACTAATAGTTACCTTAAATATTTTACTATGAATAATATTTGACTTCGATTCCGTTTTGTATAATTTTATTAATAAAATTATTTAAAATGTTATTCGCCTTTGTTTACTAATATAAACACCAAATTACATAAAATGGACTCCATATTTTTGTCTGGCATACCTGATTCCAAAGGTATAACTACAATCCAAAAACTATATGCATCTGAAAGTATACTGACCACAAGTTTGTTCAATCAGTATATCTTACTTAAAATATCAGAAAACTCTAAAATATTGTGTAAACTGGTTCCTCAAATCGCTTTCACTTTTACATTTGGTAGGTGTGATGCAAGTGTTATAAACCATAGACCCAATAAGTTAATCGATCCATTGACAGTAAACCTAGAAGTAACTGTAAGCAAAGAGCATATAGAACCAATATGTGTCACTACCGCCAAACGTATGGTGGTCAGTATCATTTTTAAAGATGTTAAATATCAAGATATATGGTCAAAAAATACTACCAAGTTAGCAGATGTTGTTAGACATATTTTACGATTATATGTAGTACTTAATAATTGTATTGTGAACTTAAAAAAACTTGGATCAAAACAAAACTTTAATATTGACTATATACTAATTCACAAGACTGATTGTAAGAATGCTGCTCGTATTAGTTCAGAAACTTCCATAATGATTATCAAAACAATGTCTACTATACAATTTTATCATGCAGAAATTGGATTAGAAATAAAACCATTATTTGGTATGGAACCTCAAGTGACATGTTTAAAAAACATCATAAAAGCTGCTAGAAATGGCTGTAATCCTTTGTGTACTATGGTTAGTGAGTGTATTATTAATGTTAATGTAAATACTCATACTATTGTTAATTTTTTAATAGATATTATTAATTGGTCCATCTAGTAGTGGAAAAACATGCTTGGTTCATCATGTTGCTGCATCATTAAAGTGTATAATTTTTAATTTAATATCTACAGATTTGATCAGTGCCGATCCAGGTTCTACTGAATTAGCTATTCGAGATTTATTTAAAAGAGCTCAATTATTAATTAAGCAAGATAGCAAAAGTGAATAATTACTTATTGTGAGTTAAATATGAATGTTTTATTATTTTAATATTTCTACAGCTGTATGTATAATAATGTTTGAAAAAGCAGAAAGTATGTTGAATGGAAAAAGTACTAATGCTAAAAGAATCTGTGCTCAGTTTCAAGATTGTTTATCATCAATTCAAAATTATTGTCGTATTATAGTTATTGCAACTACTAGTATGCCACATTTAATTGATACTTCTTTTAAACAAGGATCAAGATTTTCTTATGAAGTAATTATTATTATTACAAAGTTAAAATACTATAGTTATTTCTTTATAATTTGTCTAAATCATAGATTTACATTGGTATTCCATCTGAAAAAGATCGGGTAAAATTGATTAAAGGCATGCTTCGTACTTTGAATCTAAATATTCAACATAAAACTACATTATCTCTAGCAAAACTAACACCGGGTTATACTGCTGCTGATTTAGAATTGGTTTTGAAGGAAATATGTCGTGAATCTTGTATTGCTTCAGAATTGTTTGTTAATTATATTTTATTTACAATATATTTATTATTTATATAGCTATATTTAGTATCTATCAATATCATACATTTCAGAGAAAATGGCATATTAAGTAATGCAATTTTACTTATTGCTAGACACCCAGCTTCATCTTTGAAGTCAGGGATCGGTCAAGTAATTACAAAGTCTGAATCTAGTCCTGATATAAATTTGGGAGGTTTAACAAATGTTAAACTCATGTTTGATGTTTGCATTAAATGGCCTCTTATGTATCCAAAAGCTTTTAAACATTTTTCTGTTCCTCCTCCTAAAGGTAAGAGGTAATATAAATTTTATTATTTATTTATTTATTTATTTATTTATTTAATTTTATTAATAGTCTGTACATTTGATTCAAAATTAACATACTTTTATAATGACAGGTGTTTTGCTTTACGGACCTCCAGGGTGTGGTAAAACAAGTCTTGTACGTTCAGTAGCTTCATTGGCCAACTTAAATGTTCTTACAGCAATGGCTGCAGAATTATATTCTCCATATTTAGGTGTTACAGAAGCTAATATTTCACAGTTATTCCAACGAGCAAGAGCTAATATTCCAGCTGTATTATTCATAGATGAAATTGGTATAAATATTATAAAGGTTTTTAGAATTTAAGTCATTGTCAATTAAATGTATTAATTATCAATTAATTGTATTAATTATCAATTAATTGTAATTTATTTAGTTATAATTCTTAAAACCAGTGCATTTCAAAAGAAATTTTTACTGGGCGACAAAAAATGTTTTTTCTAAAATAGTCAATGTATAATACCATAGTACGATTATAGAATTACACATTTGTTTCGCATTATTTCGCCCAATCTTTTAAAATACTGTCGATAGTGTATAATCTCACTGGATGACATTTGTGTCGCCTAGTTAATTAGTTAAAAAACGCACTTCATAAAACACGTATTTCTTAGCTGAACAATTCATATTTTTAATTTTAATATTTTTTTCCATTTGATTGTCATTGAATAAACTACAGTACTATAAATTATGACAACCACTAAACTTTGTGTATTAAAATATTTTATATCAGTCTTTTCTAGAGGTTTTTCTAATACACGTTGGAAGCAAAAAATAATATTGTTAACATTTCAATATAGAATTATTTTTCTTATACAGTGTACTCTCGATTATCCCTGGAATAGGGTGGCAGGACATCCACAGATAAACGAATCCCTAGGATATTCCGCTGATAAAAATTTTAAAACTAAAATGACGCAAAACACTAATCATTAATGCAAAGTTTTAGTCGATACATGTGTTTGTATAGTAGACAGAACACTAAATAGGTGTATGCGTTATTAGATCAAATTCAATGTAATGTACAATCCGCGTTATAGCGTAATCGACTATCGTAACCCAATTAAATCGATAATGATTTATAATGTATAGATATATATTTTTTTATGTATCCACGAAAGACAGCGGATAATCGAGAGTACCCTGTACTTTTTATCTTATTTTATGGATAATAATTTTAGTAGCAATTTGATTTTTTCCTTTTTAAAGTTGTATTCTAAATGAGATAATGTATTTTTCAGATTCATTAGTAAGTTGTCGTTCTGAAGACAAAAAAGGGTCATCGGGATTTGATGACCGAGTTCTATCAACGTTTCTGGTTGAAATGGATGGTATCACCAATGATACTGAAGTATGTAGTTTTTAACTATACTAAAATATAGATTATATTAATTAATTTATGTGTAGTATGGACAAGGAGTTGTAGTTGTAGCTGCTACCAATCGCCCCGATAAAATTGATACTGCATTACTAAGACCCGGTAGATTTGATCGACAAATTTATGTCCAACCACCTCTCTTAGCAGAAGAACGTTTTAACATACTACATACAATTATTAATAACTCTGAACAAAGGTACACAAATTAAACAATTTTGATAAATCAGATTTAATTTTAATTAAATTTTCTGTTATTTTAGTGTGCCAATTTCAGATTCATCAATTTTAAATAAAGTAGCTTTGATGACTAATTATTTTTCTGCTGCTGATCTTGCAAATGTTGTGAAAGAAGTACTTCAAAATATTTTATAGTATGACTTGAAATATGATTTCATAATAAATTGACAATTTTTTTCTTTTAGGCTGTTCTGTCTTGTTTGACTATAGATGGATTGGAAACGTGTATGACAGTAAAAAAAGAACATTTTGAGGATGCATTGAAAATTGTTAAACCTTCGTTATCTAAAAAGCAAATTTTATGGCAAGTATATTCATATAAATTTAAAAAAAATTATCCGAGTACTATGCTTAATTTAAATCAGAACTCCAAAACGTTTTTATAATGTTATAAGCAGGGTTCATAAGTGCATACATTTGCATATCAATCTTGCAAAGTTGTATTTAATGCTAGATGATAGAGAAATCCATTTCAAGGTACCACTTTTAAATATGTGAAATCTTATTAAGTATGTTTTTTGCATATTTGGCATGTTTTTGTACATTTGGCATATGTATGCATATTTCTATTATCAGGCATATTATACAACATTCTATTAGAATCTACCAAAAATCTAAATGGAAAATATATATAAAATTAAAAATAGAAATTGTATTATATCTTATTTTCATATCTTTTTGATACTCGTAAATTTAATGAATAAATTTGTTTCAAAAGTTTCAGTTTTAAAATAAATTATTTACAAAGACGTACATAGTACGCAGCTCATGAAGGCTCAAGAATAGTATTAAATAGTAATTAAAATTATTTTTTTTCTTTAATTGTGACATAAAAAAAAATATAGCTTTAAAAAAAATGAATGGATAATTCACGTTGTTTCAAAAATTATTTATGATATTTTTAAGCGCATAACTTTAGATAGTGTATATAAATATATATTTTTGAACTTTTTAAGGCATATTTCAAAGTATATTTTGCTAATTTTAAGTGCATAAATGCATGCTTATTTAGGCATTTTTTAGGGCATGAACTTACGAACCCTGGTTATGAGTATAGGTCGCTCCATTCTAGGCATATTTCGCATTTCGTGTTTTTCGTTTCGTAATTTCCGTTTCGTAGTGTTTCGTTCAGTTTTCAGTTTACTGTTATTTAGTACGTTAAGTTCGTGTCAACATACAAATTATTCATTCCTTTTCATTTAAATAAAAATGAATAGTGATAGAGGATATGAATTATCAATTGCCAGTGCAATTTGTATTATATTGGCTTCAAAACTAAAAAAAAGTGTGTGTTACCAGTACGCGCACGGGAAGTGAAACTTCTATTAAACAGTACACGGAATGAGTGATAAAGAAAGAAATACATGGATAGACTGGGTTAATAAGAATAATCAAGAAAGAAAAGAAACAATGTAAATTATATTTTTTAGATTTTAAAAATCTGGCACCCCGCCGACCGTATGAAATCATCTCGGACGATCATTCCGTTTTTATCTAATTATTTATCTCATTATGACGTATTTAATATTATTGTTAGTATTCAATATTAACTACAACTATTTATTTATTGAGTTCTTTGTTTAATAACCCAACCAAAAAAACTGTCGCTTAATGTTATACTTACAAGCAATGTTGGTATTATTTTCACCTTATCACATATTTTCACTTGTCACTAGATAATTTTTTTTCTCTACATTAAATTATTTCATTTAATATAGCTGTTTAAAAAACAAAATAACACTATATAAATCATAGCTCCCTAACCAAAAGTCGGATAACATTGATATCGGTACCAAACGATACAGTGCAAAGCTATCTCTAAAGCCCGACTACAAAAATGACTCGACGTGCCTAAAAAAAGTGTCCGTGCAGAAATATCCCGAAAAACGCAAATTTTGAACTTTCGAAGCCCCGAAATACGGGGAAAAACGTCTCATACAGTCTCGACACAAGACAACGAACTTCATTACAGACCTACATACTGTAAGAAAACTCGAGTTTCAGAAACGTGGGACGACACTTCGAGTTTTTCCGAAATAACTTTGCGGGGAGGGGTCAAAAATACCCCGATTAGGGGGGGGGCTATTTAGAGAGTCTAAAAACAAAATTTTTGATGGTAAAACGGGGTACCCAAGTTGAAACCGAACCGAGATATACTTAAATCAAAAAAAAAGGGGGATAACTTTCGGTATGTTATACACGTGGCCGCCCATAACACAAAGCCGTTTACAAAATACAGCTACGACATTCCGCGGCTGCGGACACGAACATGTACGCGTTCGCGTTCGTACGACCACCCGTTCGCTTTTTTTTTCCTCACTACTCATACACTCACGCGCTCTCACACGGACATGTACGCGTTCGGCGTTCGTTCAGCCGCCCGTTTGCTTTTTTTTTCTCACTACCCTGCGTAAAGAAGTTTCACTTCAAAAAAAAGAAAAACCAAAAACACAAAGATGGTGGTCTATAACTTTATTTAAAAATAAAGAACGGTATTGGAAATTGGTAATTGGAATTAAACGAAATTACATGATTCCACACGATGATAATTGATCACATTCATTTACCTATATTTTATATTTAATTTAATTTAATTTATATTAATTATATGAACTTCTTGTTTACGAAAACATATGCAACGCGAAACAACACGAAACCTAACGCAAAATGACACAAAACAATACGAAATAATTGTTTCGTGTCCTTTGATTTCGTCAATTTACCGCCTCGTTTGTGAAACACTAAGAAACTGTTTTCACGAAAAAACTATACACACTATTCACAAAATTAAACGAAAACGTGAAAACACGAAACATGCATAGTGGCTACCTTTACATAATAAACTTGTATCAAAATTAAAATTTTACGAAATGTATTATAAGTTACTATTTAATATTTACTGAATTTAATGTTTTCATTATTTTTTAATTATAAATTGTTACACGTGTTTATTAAATAACAATGTTTTTAAATAATTGTTTATGTTTTTACAGGTATAAAAACTTTTCCTCCGAAAAAAAAATAAATCACATAAAAATAGATTGCTGTGATGACATTGAGCAACTTGAAATGTAAATAATTACAATTAATATTAAAATTTAAAAAAATGATTGATTTTTTATATATATACATATAGTAAAAAATTATAAATCTTGTACATGAATAAATATGATGAAATGTGTCTTGTAATTTTTTTTTTTTTTAAGGGGTTACGACCTATAAGATAAGCCTTCCAAGTATATTCTCCTCCATCTGTCTCTATCCTCTGCAACTTCTCCCCGTTGTACTTTTAATTGCAGATTATGAGGTGATAATTCCAGCGAATTTAAAAACTCCGTTGGTTAGTAACAGAATCAATCGATTTGTATATCATTAATTCGTCAGCTATCTTATTTTGCATCTGAAAATTAATTTTGTTGACATCAACATTTTATTCATTCAATATAACTCTTTCGCTCAACCATACACGATCTTTATAATTTTGTGCAATGGTTGGGAAAACCTTCTCAATGATACATAAACATTGAACTCTATATGATAACTGTACTGAACTATATGTACACACTGTTTAAGATATACATAATATATAATAGATATACATATATATTTAAGATATAAGGTATATCTTAAACCGTTATTGTACACAAGAGACAAGATTAAGGTTGCCATAAATTTATAAAGCGAAACCAGGACAAAACAAACAAATTATTGAGTATTGTACTTTTTATATAATTTTTAATATATTGAGAGGACCAGTGACGTATACAATGTAGGGGTCAGATCCCCCTAGTCCTTTTTTTAAACGTTATTTAATAATGTTTTTAGTGTAAGGGCGTTGGAGACGTAAATAAAAATAATGATATGTTTGCAAATGATCACCCTCCCCCCCACCATACAAAAGTTATGTATACGTCACTGAAGAGGACCATTAATGGCCGGCAGTATCATTTTTTAAAATCTTTTTGTGAAATAAAATATATTATATGTGTAAATTACAAATTATGTTTTTATTATATATATATATAAATGTTGAGAATTGCTCATTAAGACGATTTTCTCCCGTTGTTGATCTTAAATAAGTTTTGACCCTTTTTAATGAAATGATTTTTTCCGTTGAATTATTACTTGAAGGTGTACATAATAGCATCCTTAGAGCAATATCAATATAACGATATACTTCAACTAAACTATTTTCTTTTATAAATCTAATCATACATTGAACACTTTTAGGTACAATTTTACTCCTTTTATAAACTTTTTAAGTGTGAATAATACGTTCTGTGTATCCGAGTAAAAATATAAATAATATAAAAATTGAACGAAAATATTATATCATCAAATAATAAATTTAATATAATATAATTTAAAATAAACCTATTTTGCTATTTCAGTATTATCTAGGTGACTAGGTATGGGGGGCGGGTGGTAGTAATGTGAAAACAGCAGTCCTCAGTTCAAAAGCAAAAACAAAGGTGACTAGGTATAATATAATTTTTTTAATTTCTTAATAGATGCTCAAAAATATTTTTTAAAATACTTAACAATACCGATAAAGGTGTAAAAATTAAAAAAAAAATCATGAACACATTAATAATAAAAGTTAGAATATTTTGTCACTTGGGGCATTTGCCCCTTTCGCCCCCCCCCCCCTTAAATACGCCATTGAAAATATAATTATAAATTTATTAATAATATTTTACATTAGCCATAACACAATGACTTAAGTTACTTTAGCCGGGTAATGTGTACAATATTAGATATTGTACTTGGGAAATCATGGGTATAGATGTTAAAGAGTGTCAGAGCTAAGACTGACCTCTGTGATTGACCATTGTAAAGTACGACTTATACTGTGATAATTATATTAATTGTGATCTTGTTCAATAATTAATATCTGCGCCAAAAATGAATGATAGACACCATGCGCATATTAGTGCGATCCTACTGTTATGTTGGCTTCACAAATTATTCGTATGACTCCATTCATTATGCGGGATTTAGGTAATAAAAATCACTCATAATTTAATTTAATTATATGGTAAAGGTTAGTTTGGTTGGTCTGTCCAATTGAGTGGGTAAGGTTTGAGTAGTTAGTTGGTAGTTGGAGAGGAGTACGTTTTTCCTAGGAGGCGGACGTGGTCATGGCCAGAGTAGTTTTTATAAAACATCGTTTTGAATTGAGAGTGAATGGAGTACGATTTTTTGGACAGATTCAATGCGTCTCCAGAGACTGGGACCGATAAAGGGTACCCAGGAGGAGCAAGCATATGTGAGAATATGAGACACGTAGAGTTTGAGTATGTTAAACTTTGTTTTGATTGGGATGGGGCTAGTTTGATTTAGTATGGAGTAAAGCATTCCACGTATGCGGGTAACCTTTTTAGTTATGTTTAGGACATGTTTTCCGAAGGTGAGTATGCGCCCGATAGTGACGCCAAGATATTTGGTTTGTTTGGATCAGTTTACGGTTTGGTTGTCGAGTGTAAGTATCGGTATGTGTGTTGTGTTTGTTCGTTTGACTAACTGAGCGTCTGACCAGCCGGTATATATAAGCGTCGATTGTTCTAGAACATTTTCGAAATTACCCTAACAAGATAACTATCGAATATTCTAGAACATGGGATTTCCCCTTATCCACTGACAATATTGTAATATATATATGCCGGCAGTACACATTCGCCGAGATATCACGAGAGCAACCAATCACGAGAGTGAACTAGACGTGCTCTTGTCGCCTTACCTCGCTCGCCTCGCCTCTCCTCTCCTCGACGGCGCTCGGTCAGAAGGCGGAATTTTGTGCCCGAGTCAAAGGGACCCGAGGCCACTCGAGACGTGAACACAAGAGCACCTAGTTCATACTCGTGCTTTTTTTTTTTTTGTGCTTTTTAACATGTGTGACTGTTTCAATGAATTTACCAATAACTTGGCTAAAGCCGAGAGCGAGAATGTACTGCGTGCACTCGCGCTTCCTCGCCTGATCTAAATTCTTGTCGAGAATCTCACCGAGACTGTCTCGGCGAATGTGTACTGCCGGTATAAACAACTTGAACGACTCGCGGTGCGTTATTTACGTCGCCACAATCACATCGTATATGATCTAAAGTCGCGTACACACGATCGAACAAAAGTGAAGAATTCTCACGTATGTTCGCATGCGACCCATTGTAACGAGCGTGTAAACGTGTGCGTGAGCATTCCGGTTCATTCATCAACGTTCGTCGAATAGGTCGCATGGCGAGCAGATCACTGTCGGTATTTTAACTTTGCTCAAAAAAACACCGCGCGCATTTGAGTTAGGTATCGTATGGACGGTTATTTTGATTATGTGTTGTGCGTCCGTATTCCAATGAGAATAAATATTAAATATTTATTATTTCATACGAATAAAGCTATAAAACTATTTTAGATAGTTAAGTACATTTTTTTTTGAAAAAAAATGGACTGGAATAGCAAATTATCTTTTGAATTAAGGCGGTTGAAAGTGGCTCGTTTTTTCGTGCATTTATACCAATAAGCAAAAGAAAAAAAAATACACTTCCAGAAGTACATAAATTTTAATTTTGAAAAAATGTTTGGATTTATTGTTTATTGTTTATTATTTATTGTTTATTTATTGTTCGTGTTATGTAAGAAATTAATTTTTTATTTTATGTTTTTTTAGTAACAATAAAGTAAAAGTGAATTTTGGAAAAAAGAAAATTAATTAGGTACTCTAATAATTAAACAATAGAAAGAATCGAAAATCCATTTCCTACCTTCTTCTAACCTAGAAAACAGAATAATGAATTTAAATATGTTTTCAAAATTAAAATCGGGCTTTTGGTACTGAGTGAATTTTTCTTCCGCTTTTTGGGACTTTCATAGCCGCATAGGGGTTGAAATATTTTGAATCACAAAATATAGTGACTTGTGGGTACGCTATATGGATTTCCGAGAATCTTAGCCGTGACTATTATACAGGCGATAAGAAATCAATTACATACCAATATTATAGCTGTAGAATAATAATGATACACAGCTGCTAATAAATCATTATTAATATCATATTATTATATAATATTATATATTATTCAGTATAATGTGTATAATTCAGTAGTAGGTATGTGTATTTTTTTTTGTGTGTCTGTCATCATGTTTTCATGGCTTTGCCCCCACACCCCCTAATACTATAATCAACTGCGTTGCCATAATTTTTAATTTTTATTAATGAATATTTAAAAGTAATTATATTATAAGTTATAATAATATGTTATTATTAATAATATATTAAACAAGAATTAATTTCCTGTTTGATGATGCAAATTTTTCCAATATAATTTTTCCATCTATTTTATTGGTCAGATCTCTCAATGCTAAGCGTAGATAACTTAACAAATCTTTCTTGGCCTATTTTAGTGCGTAACCAATTTTTAAATCTACGCATAGCTGAAAAGGAGCGTTCACACGTTGTAGAAGAAATTGGAATTGTCATTATCACTTGAACTAGTTTATTAACATTTAAAAATTAACTTTTATTACATTAATTTTTCAAGTCTTCAAATTCAAAATTGGCTATTGTATTTAAATACAAGTATTCAAAAACTTGTATTCGAATGTTTTACAAGACTGCCTATTATATAATATACTTTTCTAATTTCTTTTTACTAGGTTAATTTGTGGCGGTAGACGTATTGTTAATATAAATAATTTATTTGATTCGATTCAGAAAATCAACCACCCATTTTTTGGCTGCTCATTTAAAGATCTTACTTTAATAAATGAAAAAAAAAATGGTTTTTATTCCGAATTTATTTTTTAGTGTATGATGTGCAACAAATTATAAGTCATAACAACTAAATGTAATAATTCATCGTCGGTGTGCATAAATACAGAAGTGGTTACAGCAGTTCTAAATACTGGACAGGGATACAATACAATGCGCGCTGTGACGGTAATAAAATTTGTTGTTTTCTTTTTGTTTTACAATTTTGTAAAATTATACCTAATCAAGGTTTTGGAGCTGCCCCTGTATATCATTTAGCAAATTTAATCATCTATCTGTATTGTTCTTGTACATTTTTGAAATCCACCAGCGGCGATCACGTCGAGTGTTTTTTTTAATCACTTCACGCATTACTATAAAAGCTGCAGCACACACTTGAAGCTGGACATTCATTATTTATTACAACTTTAAACTATTGTTAAATTAAATCAATTAAAGACACTTAAATTTAACTTTTAATCAGGGGCGTCATTTGGGGGATTCAGACTATACATTGGCAGCCCTATTTTTTTAAATGTTTGGTTGGCCCGTATAAAATGTTATAATTGCGCCGTCGTCGATAAAATGTAAGATGCAAACGCGCTGTAATGGTGCGAGTTTTTCATAAGTACCTATTGTTCTATTGAAGTATTGAATACATCTATTACAGTATTACATTTTATCAAAACTCGTTGCGTAACCATTCTATTTATAAAAAAAATATGCCTCCGCCGCGCCGATGTGAGAGATTGCAAGTCGCTCCGCTAAATAAACAGGATATATAATTGGCCTGGTGGAGGGAACAATTGGTCTGATTCAAATGTTTGCATCCCTATTGAAAAGTTGAAATGACGCCCCTGCTTTTAATGTAATTTAACATAGGTATGTACTTCACTCAATATAAATTTAAAAAATTATTGGCTACTGAAAAACAACTGAAAGCTGGAATAGGAATCGAATGGGTAAATATCGTTCACCGCATGGTATGCATCGCACATTTTGTATACACAAACAAACAAAATTCATACGAATGTTCACGCATGCTCACATGCTCACGATGTGCGATGCACAAAAATGCTCACGAGTGTACATGTAACCATTCTATTATCTATGGCGCCATTCACTGGCGGGTTTAAGGGGATGGCTAAGGAGGCATTAGCTCCCCCCTGAGATTAAGCTATCTATTTTACAAAGCAAAGTATTATCATATATTAATAATTATAATAAAATATCTTCATTGGTTATTAATGAATATGGTACCTATTTTATATATTTTTTTATAAATAAATAACTTACTTTTGTTGTTAATTATATGTATTTACCTATATTTTAAAATGGTTTTTGATTAAAATTGATACCAATAATGTAACTATTTAAACTTTGTCAATATTGTGAAAAAAATGACTTACTTATGAGGGACTCAAAAACATATTTTGTAATTTAAAATTTTATATAGATTTAAAAAACCTACTAACTAAATTCTTAAACCTCCATTAGCCTCTCCCTTAGTTAGTGATAAAATCCGCCTCTGGCGCCAATGTCACATGTAACGCTCTACTGTTTTTAGTTGTGACCGGGGCCTTATCGTGCATTCCTAGTGAGTAGAATTGATTATGCTCAATTCTATTTGCCGCGACTATTTGCAGTAATATATTTTAAGTTCGTTCTTACAAGGTATGCAATTTAGCACATATTAAAACCATAGATAACATGTTATCTATGCTTAAGATAAAAGAATTTATTTAATTTCATAATAATATAACAAAATGTATCAGATGAATATATGCATAAGTAGTGTCCACTGATCACAAAAAACAATTATTTTGAACTTCTTGAAAGGTCAAATATAATTAAGTTACTTTAGTATTTTGGTAAGCACATGAAATTTTAAATAAATACAATAGTTTCTTAATTTCATTATAAAGATTTAAAATATGTGATACCTTTTTTATATATTAGGCTAAGATTATCATTTTTCTTTTGAAAAGTACAATAATATTGTTATAAAATAAAAATTAATGAAGTTAAAAACTAACTCTGTATAAAATGTAAATAATAACAATTATATTCTACTTTGAAGTAAATAAAATCACTTTATCTCTCCATAAACTTCATTCTATATATTTTATTTTATCTTTAATTTACTAGCACCTTGAACTATTTTTAACTAATTAATTTGCAAATTTCATGTTTTCAGCTTAATTTATATGTACCTATAATTGAAATGGATTGTCCTACAAATATTATAAAATTTGATAATGATAAAACATCTGTTACTCTACTTCAAGATATATTAAATAAACAAGGTGTTCGCACTGTTCAGTATGAATTACTTCAAATTGAAGGCGCTATAAGTGCACCATCATTTCAATATCGTGTTACAGACGGCCGCTTTGTTGCTTATGGTCAAGGTTAGTTTTATTTTATTTGATCTATTTTAAAAAAAAATTTGTGTACATTAAAGTACAAATTATACTTAGGAAAATCAAAAAAAGAAGCTAAACAAAATGCTGCAAAGGCTTTGTTAAGAATTATTCATAAAGAATTCCCTGAGTTATATACTGATCCTCTATTAGAATCACAAATTGATGGTACTTCAGATTTGAATGAAACTTTTGAAACAATGAATTTTGGAGACAATGATGAACGAAACCCAATTGGCATGCTCCAAGAACTTTGTACATCTCTTCATCTTCCTCCCCCGGTCTATATAACAGAATGTGAAGATGGCCTTCCACATCAACGTCTGTTCACTGTTTCATGTAATGTGTCCGAATATAAGCAACATGGGGTAGGCAAGTCTAAAAAAATTGCCAAACGTCTTGCTGCTAATAATCTATATTTGATGTTAAAAAAGTAATCAATTAATATATAATTGAATTATATTTCAATTTTAATTATAATTTTTTGTTTGTAGCATTCAGTCAGATCTAAGAAATACCTCTCGAACAGCTGATAATGTAGATGACTTTGTTCGTCATGAGTCCAGTAATTTAAGTGGCTTGAAAAATTCAAAATCTAGCTCTCAATTCCATCGGTTACCTGAAATTCATAGACATTTGCCATTGACTGAAGGTCCTTATTGTAATGAGTTGAAAGAAATGAATGATGAACAATTGTATTCATGTAATACAAAACAAATTTTAGACAATTTTACTGTTGAACAAGGATTAACAGCATCTTTTATTGATTTTGAAGAACTTTCAAACAAGGGTACATATCAAACTTCTCTCCAAGTATCTACTCCCATCACAGTGGCATTTCACGGTGAATCTTCTATCAGTTATGAAGAAGCTCAATTAGAAGCAGCTTATAGATCATTGATATTTTTTAAATGTATATTAAATAACAGAGCATTAAAGTCATTGACAATTAATTAATTTGTATAAACTAAAATTGTTTTATAAATTAAACAAACAATCTATCATATTATGATGTAAGATATATTTTTGTACTTTTCATGCAAATGAGTGATAAAAGACTTTATATTAAAAATGTATTATAATAAATGTTACATTAGAGTTAACACATTGTAAAATTGTTTATTATTTACTTATATATCTAATGATAAATTAAATACTAAAAAAAAAAAAATTAAAATGCATTTAGGTTTGATAAATAAATTAAAATTGTGTTGAAATGGACAGTAAGTAGAACTCTACTAAATTAACATGAATAACACTCAGGACATAAATATTTTAATTATTTCTATATTATATGTGTTATAGTTATATAAATAGTATAATATTTATATATTATATTATAGTTATAATTCCAAATAAATATATAAACATTTTATGGAATTAGAAACTTTTTAGAAAAATGTTCTTTTTTTTCTTTTTTGTCAAATTTATATGATGCTTATTCCTTAAATATAATGTGGTCTCTTAGAATACATTTGAACTTTTGTTAAACATAATAGTCATCAGAAATGCAAAACATTTATAATGTTTAAAATATTCAATACTTACTTATATATACATATACAGTGTGTAAACACTGCAATTGAGAATACTCAATATCTTTGCGTAGAGACCTACAATTAGATTTCAGTTTTTTATTTAGTTTGTATTGCCTAAAAATACACATTTTTATAATTTCCAAAATTTTTTAACTTAATTAGCCAAGGTTTAAATTTTTTATCATAATAACATATGAAAATAATTTTAATAAAAGAAGATTAAATCTTTTTCTGACTTATTTTAAACCAAATATCTAAAGTTAAAATCTTATTTCAATAAAATTACAATATATTTATTTTGGAAGCCTCCCGAAAAAATTTTTTAGATACGGCCTTGCCCACCCACCACCCAAAAAACTGAAAGGCGACTGCCCCTCGATTACCCATATTGCCATGCTATTGCTGAACACCCTCGGTAGTTTGCGGTATGGTTTCCTCTACATAAGGCGCAGGTTGGAGGAGTATCTTTTGATTGAGTACACTGTGTAGTGGGATGAAAATCAGCACAACGAACACATCTAGGAGAATGAGCACAATATTCTTTCGAGTGGCCATATTCTTGACACTTAGAACATTGAATGATTTCACGTCTTTTATGTGGCTCTTCTACCTTTATTTTGGTATGAAGCAGTGAGGTCAATTTGAAAATCTCATTGTTAATTTGAGCGGGTTCAAGATCAACAAAAAATATTGGGAGGGGGAATTTTGTAGATTTGTGGATAACATTAGAAACTTGGCGGACAGAATATCCGATATCTTCAATGGCAGCATCTACTTCGGAAGTTGAAAAAGACGGATGCAAGTTACGGATGACAATACGAAAAGCTTTATTTTCACGGGCTTGATAGGTGTGATATTCGGCATTACCTGTTTTCAGGTATTTTCTTATTTTATATTATTTATAGTATTTCTTATTATTTTTTTCAGGACTTCTCTATACGAGTCAGGGTTGGAAGTGTTAATTTTTAGGTTATTGGCTGATGACTAAAAGCTGAAGGTTTGTGGACCAATCAGCTTTATTAAATGATTTCTTAATTTAATGAAATCAGAAACGTTTCGTACAAATATTGGTGGAGGTAACGGAATGTGGTTTGGTTGGACGTCATTATTCGTTTCCATAGTGTTTTCATTATCATTAGCATTATCCGGTACTTGGAGAGGGTTAAATTTATTTGAACTAACAAAGACGGGTTTTGTTTTCTTTTTGTCGTATTTTCCGGTTGAGTTGGTAGAAGAAAGATTACATTTTGATTTATTTGTGACTAATTTAAAATCTGGGTCATTAGGATCATCGTCCGTAAAGACATCATTTGAATTATTTAATAAAGTTGAAACGTTCTGTGTACGATTCGAATTATTATTAGACAGATTTGGTTTTATTGTGTTCGTATGATTATTGGTAGCGTGAGAACTGCTCGATGACGGTCTATTATCGGTGCGGGTCATTATTATTTAAGATAAGGTTAAAACGACCGCCGGCTGGGCCGGGGAGTTCGAAGATAAGTATTACCTGCTATAATTAGAGACCGATGGGATTGATGAGTAGATGATTAATTAATTAAAATTACCAAATTTTCACCGTTGATGGGTAGAAAACACTCTGTGACTTCCGAAGAGCAGCAGAATTGGCATCAGCGTGACACAATGGAACGATTGGAATTAATTCCAAGATTAACGGACACTTTTTAGTTGACAGAAAAGAAAAAAACACTGTGGAACGAGAGTGAACGATCATAACGCCACGGTGTACGACGAGCGAATGTCATAAATATTAAAATTTAATATTATGATCAAATAGTAGTTAATATTATATTATTCTATATATGCTTGGCATTAAAAAATTGGATTTTGAAATTTATTTCTGTTTTATATATATATATATATACTATAATTAGTTTATAGTATATTATAGTTTATTGTATTTAATTATGTATCTAATAACAATTTATAATAATTATGTTTATGTATTCTTGATTTTAGTTCCACTTTGAAAACTTAACTAAAAACTAATACGTTATACGTAAGATATACACTCTTTAATGATAAATGATGAATGAGTCGCAAAATGGTGGTGTTTCATTACTATTATATATTATGCCCTAGTAAAACCTGGTGCTATCCTTAGTATGTTACCCAAATACCTAACTTTTTTTTATATTTAATTATAGGGTTAGAAATATCTTTACGGACAAATATAATTGGTATAATTTTTTTTTTTTTACAAAATTTCATTATATTACACAAATTGTTATTTGAAATACAAAACAAATTATAAAATTTAAATACTAATACATTATTTGAGTATAAAAGTGTATAAATACATAATCAAATTATAATAAACTAATAACAATATTTTCTCTTGGTTTTATTCTTAAATTAGAGATCAAATGACTAAATACCTGTAAGCAAAATTATAATTTCTTCGAAAGTATTATATATTATTTATATATACGAAAGATAACATTGAAAGGATTTTAGAGTTCAACAAATTTATTTTATAATCCTGAAATATAGAAATTTTGAATTTTTTTTTCTTGGATTTTTAATTCAATTAATTTTTCCAATATTTCTTGCCTCCATTTGGTTTTAAGAATATTTTCTTTATCTTTAGGTGAATTAAACCTAAAATAAATATGTTGTTAATTTTTAAGAAATTGTAATTTATTAATAATATTTATACTACCATTGAGATATAAAACATATATCTGGATCAATTGAACCTGCTACTACAGAACTCCAAAATATAGTTTTTGGTTTTTGAGTCATCATGTTACTTTGTACTTCAATAAATGAATCTGGTTTAGCCTCCATACCAAGTAAAGATCCAATACTATGCTTAGGACTCCAAGCAGAAACTCTACGCTGAGAAGCCTTAATTTCTTTAGCACTAAAAAATTGATAGCGATTAAATAGTATGTAATTCATTGCAATATATTTTGTTATTTACTTACTACAAGTTTAAAGAATTATTTGAAACATTTACAGTGAGACGGGTTGGAGCAGAATGTGAAGGTTCAGTGAATGATGATGATACAGCCCAATGTTCTATTTTTTCATGTCTTTTCTACAGAAGTACAATTAGTAATTAGGTACATAGGTTTAATTTTTAGTCTAACATTTTTATTCTTAAATCAATCCCAAACTATAAGTTTAATATATTTAACTATAAATTAGTTAACAATTATATTTAATGCTTTATCTATATACCATTATTGTACTGAATATTAACCAAAACTATCAGGTACACATTATTATAACAAAAATAAATATTTTTAAACATATTTTGTGTAGATATACCTATATATAGAACATATACAAATCAATTGAATACAATTTAGTAATTTAGATTATTTTTGATTAATAATATCAAATAAGTAACATAAATATTATTAAATACTTGAAGCTAATATTCTATATTATTTTAAAAAATTTTGGAAAATTACCTCATACATTTTAGGTTGTTCATTTTCAATAGACGCTTGTATATGAACCCACTTCTTCCCTGTAGGATTGTTTTTAGATACCTCACTCCTAAAATATAAATGTCTATCTAATCCCACTGAAAATACCTTTTTGTATTCAAAATTAACTTATTAAATATTGAAATTTAATTTCTTATCTAATCAAATTTACTTGATCATTTGGCGTCACAGACACAGAAAACATGAATGTGTTTAATTTAACCCAAGCAGTTCCTTCATTGAGATTTTCATCAATTCCATTTCTATACCATACTCTAGAATCATTTGTAATTGCCCATACTGATAGAAATCCAACAGATAACTGAGTGATTTTTGAATCAGATTCTGGCGATTCGACAGTAATCCACTCTTTACCTTTAAAATATCAAATATATTTATAATAGAAACGAAAAGAAAAATAATAATTTTTCTACTGCTTAATACCTTGTGGTGTTTTAGCACTGACTTCTTTTCTGACCAATATTATACCATTCCATAAAACCACCCAAACAGAACCTGATGGCCCACAATCAATATACCTCGATTCACTGCCTTCTTTTGTTGAAACACAAGCCCATAAACTTCCTTCTGGCCACATTTTGTTCACGTTTTTCCGATAAAAAATCTGCAAGGTAAAATCTTTTAGAACAAATATTTTGTATTTATACATCATTAGTACTAAAAATGTAATTTATAAAAATATTTATTTGTAATTACCCTTCCTTGTGCTGTAACAGCCCATACCATCATGACACCAAACTGGGCACCAGCAATTTTGTGGCCTCCAACACTCACGCAAATAAATGGTTCCTAAAACCAATTATATATAAATGTATAGATATTTTATTTTGTCTAATATATTTAAAATATAATGAAGTATACTATTATATATATAATATGAATGTTTAATAATGTGTGCCAAATCATACTACCTGTGTAAAATCTTTATGGAGAGGAGATATTATACACCAAGAATTTGTGCCAGTATATATACGATTTCGATACCATTTTCTTCTTCTGACACAGGAATTCCAACGCTTAAATGGATAAAATTTGGCGCAGAATTCAACTGCATATGTCCATCCCTGAAATAACGAATAGGGTATTTTTTATCAATAAATACTAAAGTATTTATAAAATAGTCAACCAGTTAATAAAAATAAAAACAGAAAAATATCTATAATGTATAATAAATATAGATTTAGAAGTCAGAAACATGTCAAGAGGCAATATTTCAAATTTTTAATTGAAAAACATATTAATGGGAAGAAGTTACTAATTCATGTGTTAGTTACAGATTGAAAAATAAATATTACAAAGTATAAATAATAATATAATATTTCATTTACAGCATTCGCTTACGTCATCATCTAAATCTGTATCCTCAAATGTGGTCTCCAACTTCCATTCATGTTCCCACTGCCAGACAAAAGAGGGTAACTTGATATTTTCTTTTAACTTTTCCTCTTTGCCGTTTTCTGATGACCAACAATATCTGTCAGTAGGTAATAGTCTCTTGGAAAAACTCCCTCCTGGCATCCACCTCTAAACGAAAATACTTATACATTAAAATAATGAATATATTTAATAAAAGTAAAACATTCAGGATTTGGCAGTTATAGATCTAGATTCTAGGGTCCCAAGCTACTAGAAGTCATTGAGTTATTATATAAGTTTTAACACTATAAGCTATAACTAATAAACAATTATGCACTAAAAATGAAATAATAAAAACATACATTAGTTTGATATAATCACGGGGACATTGATTTAATATTTTCATGATTAAAATTGCATATTTTAACTTATATAGTTAGTTATATTTGATACCAGTTTAATAATTTTTTCACATATGTAAATATTTTGTAACATCCTAATAATTTAAATCAAAATAAATTATGTGTGTTATTAGGTATGCATTTTTACTTTTCATCATGATTGATAGATTAATTTAAAAATTCGGTTTAAAACTAAAATTATATTGGTTTTACTATGATGTTTTTTTTTTTATCCGAATCAGGGACGGATCCAGAGAGAGACCCGAGGGACTTTGTCCCCCTCAGACATTCTGAGAACGATGATGAGTTTAGTTAAAAAACACGTTAAAAACGCTAAGATCAACAGCAATAGATGCACTAAATGATATTAATAGACGTATTGATTTTATTATGTAATACCGGCTTTTTACTCTATTAATAAGCAAATCTATAAATATTTTTTATTGATTATTATAATTAAATAAATATTATTATATAATGTTTATAATATACTTACATATATAATTTTATATATATAATTTAAACTATTATGTATGTACAAGTTTTATTGTTGTTACAGTTAGACCCTCCCAGATCTTGGTTATGAATCCGCGCTTGGTCTAAATACACAATTTTGATCATGAAAGCTCTAATAATCAAGGTCATTGAAGTTATAAATAGTAAATACTATCTAGTAAGACTTTAGGAGAATAAATTTTTGGACAGTTTTCGAATAATTAGAAAAAACTAACGAAAAATTACAAAAAAAAGGACATACCGGTATTTGACTAAATCGAATTTTCGTTTTCAATTTTCACTGAATCCTTATATTACTGTTTGCATTAAATGGTGTAATTTTAAGATTTTTGTGTGTTATTTATAGATATATAAAGCTTTCATGTTTTCTTGGGTGTTTTTTGAAAATATTGATTAAATAATTTTGATTTGACAAAATATCTTGAAAATTTAATAGTTTTTCAAGCATATCTATTATTGATTAATGAAAAAAATTGTTTAATTAAAAAAAAAAAATTTAAAAAAAATATGCTAGTTATAATTGATAGAACAATAAAAAAATCCGTTTCCTGTTTATAGTTAAACTCATAAAACTTCCTATTTTTTACGTTAAGCTTGAAAATTATTTACATTATTTATCATAAGATTTTCTCAATAACCTCGTTTTCGAACACCTCTTCTTTTATCCGTATTGTTTCGTTCAAATTGTGTACCAAAAGATACGTCTGATTGTCTCCTCCGATGGACCAGATATAATTTTCAATCGCGGAAATATGTTTCAAGTCCATACCAACGTACGGAAATGGTTTCCATTGATCGTCAAACGTGGACAATGTGAAAATCCTACCATAGTTGTTAATGGCCAATAAATATTGTTGTTCTTCTTTGTTCATTATTATGTATGCAGACAGGGTATTAGAATTATCCAATATACATACTTTAGTATGGCTTATGTACATAAAAAAAAAAAACGCTCACACGCGAAGTTTACGAGTAAATAATAGATACATATATTATAATGCGTGAGTCAGTTACATCGTGATACAAAGCGAATACACTTCGGCAGACATTACGGTTATATTTCTGTTAACAGCGCAAAAAATCAATAACATAATACGTGTAAAATGTTTGCAACTTGCGAGCGTACTGCTAAACCACCCTCACAACTGTAAAGCATGCGTCGCGTGCATGCGGAGACGTGCCTGCGTTCGCATCATCATCTCCAAACGGTTTGCGGTACTTTTTTACCCAGAACTGAACAATTTGATTTTTTCGTCAATAAATTAATTTCTGTTTATAATTATCAGTAACAATTAGTATGTAATGACGGAACAATTGTTTTAAATTAACTATGTGTACCTGGCGCGTTAACCACCTAATCTAACCATATACATATAGATGAACTTAGTAATTAATAAAAATATGATCTAACTTCAAGACACTTATTTTTGTAACATCATTACATTTCTGCATTTGTTTATATTTTTATAAACACTAATGTTTATCAATAATTTGTGTGTTAAACTGGTTTATGTTAAAGGACATACCAGTGTATGTTTAATTTAGATTATAGACAATTGTTATACCTAACTTAAAACAACATTTGTTGTAAAATTAGGTAATTTTTTTTACAAAACTGGAAGTACATTCATTTTTTTTTTTAAATTATTTTCTAACATTCTTAGTAATATGTATTATAAAATGCATTACAATATTGTACATAATTGTGTACGCCAGCAACGTATTATTTTTACATTTTCTGCCCATAGAAAAGTTTCCGATGCACTTTTTTTTTTATTACATGATAACAATAAGTAAATAGCTAAGCTCGTATCTGGTATACGGAGTTCTTAAAAATTATTATTTATATTTTAGTAAGATTTTAAATAGGATACTTATATAATTAAAGATAAGACTTAATTAATTAATATTATACAGTAGACACAAATTTCATGGAACATATATTAGTAAATGTAGCTCCACACTTTGCATGTTTCGCGTTTCGTGTTTTCACGTTTTCGTTTAATTTTGTGAATAGTGTGTATAGGTTTTTCGTGAAAACAGTTTCGTAGTGTTTCACGGACGAGGCGGTAAATTGACGAAATCAAAGGACACGAAACAATTATTTCGTATTGTTTTGTCATTTCGTTAGGTTTCGTGTTGTTTCGCGTTGCATATGTTTTCGTAAACAAGAATTTCATATATATAATATAATATAAATAATAATAATAATAATAATAATAATAATATATTATTTAAAATATAATATTTTATTTTAGTTGTCTGCGTTCTGCCGTCATTTGCGTGTTGCGTGTGCGTTTGATCGTGAACTATCGTATTTATCGTGTTTAAAAATGCCTAAAGTTAAACAAAATTTGTCAAATCGGCTCCAAACCTATGTTAATTTATATGGTCCTAATATTTTTTCAAATGATAAAAGTGTATTATTTTGTAAAATTTGTGAAGACAAAGTTTATGTTACCTATAGATATCGATTGTGTTCCGCGTCGTT